ATGACCAAAAGAACCTTGGAAAGTCATCGAGAGCTACAATTCAGGGTATCCATAGTAAGATCAGGGTTGCAAGTAGACACAACACCGAATGAAGTCAATGTGGAGCAGTTTGCATACCACTTGTTGGCCGAGTTTGAGCAACTTGCCCTCACAGAAAAACGTCCTGGAGCTCGAAGTTATCCACAAAAGCCAAAACCTCAAGAAGCCGAGAAGCCGAAGGTTTCAAAGTTGAAGAAGTTCGAAGAAGAAACGAAGTCCTCTACGAGAAGAGTGGATTCCAGAGAATAAAAGCCAAAATGCAAGTTCTACTTGAGCGAGCAAGGTTGCCGACGTGGAAAAGCCTGCAACTGGTCGCATGATCAAAAGGATGAGCGCCGTCGATGTTGGAACTGTGGAAGCCCTGAGCACATGGCTCCAGCTTGCACTCGTCCAAAAGAACGAGGTGATGCATCTCCAACGAAGCCCAAGATCCAGAAGGTCGAGGGGGAGGATTCATCATCTACAAGCTCAAAGTGAAGGAAGACGAAGGGTCAACCGAAGGCCCGTCCATGAAAGAATTGTTGGAGCAAGCCAACACCATGCTGAAATCTTTGACTACGACGGCTGCATCCTCAACGGCGACTGGGAGTGCCACTGGCTCCAGAGAAGATGTCATGGATTGACTCCAGAGCCAATTGGATCAGCTAAAACTCAGACTCAAAGTCTTTAAGATTAACCAGATTAGCTACGGAAGTCTTCAAGGACTTGTAGACTCTGGTTCAACACATTCTCTGAGACCACGACGTCTGGAGAAGGAGATGAAACCTATAAGCGTGTGTCTGTCACACTGGCCAATCGAGAGACGACTTCATTGCAAGTGACACCTGGCGGCATCATGGTGACCGAAAGAGCCGATGTCGAACCAATACTCCCTATGGGACAACTTGTCCATGACCTTGGCTGCGAAGTTTGCTGGAAGACTGGTGACTTGAAGATCCTTCATCCACGCCGAGGTCTACTACCAGTGCAAAACCAAAAAGGATGTCCTCAACTACCACGAGCCCTTGCCTTGGATTTGATCGAGGAAATGGAGGTGGTGGGAAGTCAGAGAACGATGAGAAGTCTGAAGTTCGAGAAAGAGCAGAAGTGGATGGAGGAATTGATCCAAAGTCACTCTGTTCTCTGTGAACTTCCAAAACGAATCAAAGACCGGCTTTTGGTCGATGTGGGCGATTGGAAAGATTTGCCAATCAATCTCCGCCAAAGAAAACGTCTTCAGTGTGATGGCTGTTTGGTGCATCTATACGCTGGAGAAGATGAGGGATTCACTTTGTCCAGAGCTTTGAAGCAGCAAGGGGGAGACACCAATCAACTACTCGAAAATGACCTGAAACGTGGGGAGTCCCACAATATGCTGAATGATGTTGGAATGTACTCTGGTCTCCTTTGCGCTGTCATGCATGACAAGGTAGATGCCTTCGTTGCCGGACCCAATTGCAGAACGAGATCGGTCCTCCGGCATTACCCAAAAGAAGATGCTCCGAGACCAATCCGAGCGTGGCATGGAGCTGAACATGGTCTTTCCGACCTATCACCTGCTGAGCAACGACAGTTGAATGAAGATGATGTCTTGATGTGGCGATTCATCTTTCTATGGATGGCTGCAACATATCTACGACAAGCGCGAGAAGTTAAAAAACCTGTGGGGTTCCTGCTGGAACAACCCGCGTCGCCTCGGCACTATATGCCGGTCCTTTTGGGATACAGAAGAATGGAAACAGCTCAAGGTGGAGTTCAACTTTGAAGAGACTACTCACAAGATCGACATGGAGGTGCTGCAACAAAGCCAACAACTATGGCTGGAAACTTGAACCTCAACGTCGAAAGTCATCGAATGCCTCGATGTAATGTCACCGAGATAAAATCATCATCTGAGCTCTCAAGATGGGTACTTGGAAATATGAGTATGGTCGCTGAAGCCTTGCTCACCCATGCAGATTGCTCACTGCCAACCAAAGCTCGCGCCGCTGAGCTGGCAAGAACATTTGCAACATGGTCATGTGCCTTTTCGTCGCGACTGTTTGGTGTACCAACAAAGTCTTCAACAAGAGCCACCTCATCGAAAAGTTAAGCATCCTCTTGGTGGAGTTCTTTCAGTTGACACCGCTGGACCATTTGTCCGAGCCTATGATGCTGGAGGTTACAAAACAGCTTATATCCTTGTGGGAGTTCTGACATGGACGGTACCGAAGAATTCACCATTGAAGGAGGATGACGTTGAGGAACTGGAAGTGGAAGCACCTAACTTTGACGCGAACAAGGGTGAAGAACAAGACCAACTACAAACCGAAGATGAACCAGCTGGCCATGAACCGGTCCAAGGCATCTTCGACGACCCTGAGGATGAAAGTGAAGAACCTGAAGTTCAAAGAGCCCCAGAAGGCGAAGTTGAAAGGAAGAAAGAAAAAGTAGAAGAAAAGAAAGAGGGTGAGGAGGAAGAAAAGTCTGCAGAATTTGAAACAAGGGTTTTTCGACTTGCCGCTCCAATGTACTCTAAAAAGGCTAAAGAAACTACAATGGTCACCATGGATGTGCTTCTTCGACAGCGAGCTGATGGATTTCACAGTGGCCACATACACAGTGACCAAGGGCATGAATTCCAAGGTCAGTTCAAAGTTTGGTGTCGTGAACGTGGAATTCACCTCACTAGAACTCCCGGTGATGACCCCCGATCGACTGGCCGGGCCGAATGTGCCGTGAAAACCATCAAAACCCAGATTCGCCGAGTCCTACTGCAAGCTGTAGCTACTGGATCTTGGTGGCCCTGGGCAACAAGATTTGTCAACGAGCTTAATCGTGCGGCTCGAATTGGGAAGAGGCCCGATTGGCCACCCTTCCTCTCCACTGCCATGATCAGAAAACGAAAGTGGCGCCGGAGAATGTCAAATATCTGTGTCCGTCACCTGAAGACCATGGTCATTGGATTCTACCTGATGGTGAACGTCCTCGTATCACTAAGCTCATCATGAAACCTGCACAACTTCCAGTCACTGCAGAAGGTTGGACTTAGAAAGAGAAGCAGCGCATGCAGGCATGGTGAGGCGAAGATTGCGCGGGAAGTCGGCAATCCGAAAGATGGAGGAGAAAGATCAGGTAGAGGACGAAGAGGAAGCTGAAAAGAAGAGAAGAGTAAAGATTTTGAGCGTGATTGAAGAAGAAATGAGAAGAATGGTGGATGATGATGCGGAGTTGGCCTTGGAAGAGCTTCAAATCCTTTCGAAACTGAAGAAGTCGGCCGTCATGCCAAACGAGGAGGAGGAAGTCTTGCAGACCAAAACCGTATCTCCCCGAGAACTAGCTGAAAATTGGGAAGAATGGATTCCTGCAGTTCGCAGTGAACGAAAAAGAAGCTTTCCGTGTAGTATTTCCAGAAGAACTTCTTAAAACTTGAAGAAGATGCAGAAAAGAAAGGAAAGGGGATCGAATATATCCCGTCTAAACTGGTGTTAACCAGAAAACCTGGCCCTGATGGCGGTAAAAAGAAAGTACGGTGTGTGGCATGCGGGAATTTCGAGCCCCGCCGAGAAGAAGAAGACAACTTCAGTAGTGGAGCTGATGCTTCAGCTCTTCGCATCCTGATCTGGGTAGCTGCCCGTGGCCAATGGTGTGCAACAACTCTTGATGTGAGAACAACTTTTCTTAATACCAAGATGGTCCAGTCAGATGACGAAGACTTGCTGTTGGTGAAGCCCCCATACCTCTTCACTGAGAAGAAGTTCCTGCGAAAGGACTTCCTCTACAAGCCTGAGAAAGCCATCTACGGCTTCCGTCGATCTCCAAGATTGTGGGGTTTGACTAGAGATGAAACTATCAATGGCTTTAACATTGAGGGGGAGCATGAAGGGAGATCCATGAACTTTGTCCTCGAGCCTCTTCCATCTGAACCAGATCTATGGAAGTTGCAAAATGCTGATTGCGAAGATGACCTTTATGGGCTCTTGATGACCAATGTGGACGATCTCTTGATTGCAGCTCCAGAACCTCTCATGTTGGCCGTCCAGAACAAGATACAATCGACTTGGACTACGTCAATTCCTGAGCCAGTATCCAACACTCCGGTACGTTTCCTTGGAATGGAAATCTCTCAACTCTGCGACGCAGAGACCAAAAGAGATGCGTGGATGCTGACACAACAAAGCTACACACTTGACTTGGTCCAGAAGGAGAATGAAAATGTAAAGCCGAAGAAGATTCCACTGTCACGAGATCAATCTGCGATGGAACCAAAGGAGGAGTCACCTTCGATTGAAAAAGTTCGATCAGCCCAGAAAGCTGTACTCAACTCAAAGGCTATTTGGCCACCACTGCTGCTGAAGGTCTGAAATTTGATGTGAAAGAGAACGAACTTCCTGCGTTGACCGTCTACACGGATGCCTTGCCCCTGACTCTGAGGAATCCCATGGCTCTTTCATCGTCCTTCTGGGATCATCTCCAATTTTTGGAGAGGCAGACAGGGGTTTGTAACTCTGTCTACAGCCGAAGCAGAACTCACTGAAATCATTGAAGGCATGATCGCAGGAGAAAGCATCCACGTGATCTTAGCAGAACTTTTCCCTCAAGTTCCAAAAAGTTGTCAAGACCGACAACATGCCTGCCCTTGCCATACTCACAGGTGATGGAGGATGCTGGCGCACTCGCCATTTGAAGCTGAGAGCAGCCTTTGCAAGACAAGCTGTAGCTGCAGCTGAGTGGGCGATCCAACATGTCCCTGGTGAATCAATGGTGGCTGACATTGGAGCAAAGCCATTGACTCCTGCACGTTTTAATTTCCTCAAAAATCTCATGGGCATGGGAAAGTTTTGCGACCCAAATGAAAACGAAGTTGAAGTTGAAGAAAAAGGAGGAGGAGAAAAGATTACAAGAAAAGAAGAAAAGAAGGACGACTGGTTGGTCAACAAAGAGTTGAAAAGGCTTGCACAAACAACGCAAGTGCTGCAGCTCATCACTTTGGCTGTAACTCTTTCTGTTTCAAAAGCGGAAGAAGGAGAAAAAGCTGATGCGGATGGATCCTTTTCTTTTGAGATTATCGTGATCTATACCCTTCTGGTTATCTTTCTTACTCTGGTGGCACAGCGTCTATTGGATGTTGCAGTACGGGGAGCCGAATTCGTCATACGACAGTGTGTTCTTCGAGCTCAACCTGGAAGTCACGCAAGATCCAGGACATGTCGTTCCGCAACCAGTTCAACATGATCCGAGATCAAATCGGAATGCTCCGCAACCAGATCCAGAACCAGAAAGCCCCAGACCAATAAGTTCACAATCTACCGACCTCACAAATGCATTGGCTGCCTTGCGAGTACATGACGCATCGATGCCAGACTATGAAGCAGAGTGGAGAGAGATTGAACACGAAGAACGATTGGTACGAGAGGAGCTTACTCAAGCTCTTCCAGGTGACCCTCGCCTCGGACCTCTTCAACCTCGAACTGTGCGACGCAGAGACCCAACACCGGCATTACAAGAACTTCCATTTAAGGTGTTCACCACGCGCAATGGAACGGTGTATCATACGCGATATAACTGCAATTTTCTGCCTGCGCCAACAACTGGACCGACGACGTGTCATGGATGGTGCAATCAGTGTCCTGATGAATCAGCCCAGACTGGAAGCATTCCTGGGCCTGGCGCTGCGATACTTTTGGCTGGTCTACGTGCATATGCCCATACCGATTTGACTTGCAGCCGTGCTGAGGGAGCCCGTAGTTTTTCAATTTGTACATCATGCTTAGATGGTACATAGGGTAGCTTGAGCTGGAACTGTAAAGATTGAAGCTCCTTTCGCAAGCTTCAAAGGGGGAGTGCAAGTATCCAGTTACATGTCTGGTACATAGCATGCATTCAAACCCTGTTTTCCAATTTAGCTTGAGTAACATTCTCAATCTGCTGCGATTCTGTAGCTACCTTTTTCTGTCTCAAGACTCGACCTGGCTGTGACTCCAGCCATACGTGCGGCCAAAACCGAAGCTGCGCTGCATTGATTCTTGGAGGTACGGAACTTGAAGGTGAAGATCGGTGGTTGGTGGACGTAACCTAGGGCTGACCTTTCCAATACCATCCAATACCAATATCTGACTTCACTTGAATGCACTTGAATGCCTTGGAAAAATAGAATTCCTAGCCGAGCCTTTGCCGTATTTTTTGGATCCTCATCACTCGGTGACGGTGCGTTGTATGGCACGAGAACACTCCTTCTCTTGCAGGATGAGACCTCGCGGTTGGGAGTGTTGCAGAGCTGCCCCCACAAAAGCCATGGAAACCTTCAATAGTCCGATTTGAAGAAAGGAAGTCCCAAAAACTTGGATACAGAGTTGGAAGTTCTTGAAAAATCAACGCCACAAATGGCAACAAAGTTTGATGTCCCACCCTAAAATTCATCACAGCTATGGAAGATAACCCCTTTTTAATCGGAAATTTCCTCGAGAAACTCCAAGTTACAGATGTTTTGCTTGGCGTGCAGGGAGAGGAGTAATTAGAATAAAGTAGCGTAGCATAGCGTAGAGTAGAATAGTCACTGATGGTTGAAATATACTTCTTGTCATGAAGTCCCTTTTTTGTTTGAACGTTTTTCGACAAACCCCCACCCTGCTAGTACTGCTTCTATTCGATGTTGTCCGGACATCATCGCTGCGCTGGGACAAGAGTTCCGTGCGAAGCAGTTGGATGGTGTCGATGATCCGGGAGACATCACCGGGATGCCTGGGTCCCACGATGAACTTCAGCAGACTGGCTTATGGAGAAATGATCCCAAATTCTGACTTCGGGAATTCTATGGGACAATATGGGACAATCATCTACAAATGCTGATTAAAACCTGGTGCTCTTGCTCTGATTGCTTTGCGAAGCCATGTCTTTGAAAATATGCTCTGCCACTCCACATGGATCACGTTTTATCACGCCTTAAGAGATGAATCTTTTTTGATCACTTGGATGGCACAAGTTCAAGTGGTGCGATTCCAAAAAATTGGGATCCCCTCCAGCAAACCAACAATGGCAGCTATGAGAATCCGTGGTTCTTTCCTTGGAAAGAACGACTACAAGTGGCGGACCAATACCATGTCTAGTCTTTTACCGGAGGGCATAACCCTCAGAAGTGGGAATGTTATGGAATGTTGGAATCTTCACCAGAGGTACTCCACGCCCTACAAAAGCCCAACATCTGCCAGTCACATTTGGTCCAGCACTTCCTTTGCACTGGCAGCTTCAAGGTCAAGAAGTCTCTCAGACACCTGGTGCCGTAGCTACTTGCGGCTACTTCAACTTGTTTTTTTTGCACTGAAATCATGGCCAGGACCCCGTTTGAAGAAGCAGAAATCATGGCGCTTCTGGGTTTTCCATGGCTTTCTACATGCTGCCAGTGTTGGTGGCACTTGGATTTTTCCAACCTTGAACTTGACCCCAGTTGATTGCTGGAACGGGGCTGTCTTAAAATTGGGAACCCTCCCATCCTATGGTTGAAACTCAATACCCACTTGTCTCTGAAGATGACCATGTTTTTGGGGGTAAATCCTTTCTGATTCACCAACTTTTCATGGTTGCCTCCCCATTTCATGGTGAACTTCAACATTCTTCACCAATTCTTGGCACTGTTTCCTAAGGTCCACATGTTTCCTTGTTATTTCTTGTTTAATCCCTAATTGGAGCTTTCCCAAAATAGGAGTACCCCCAGTCATCATCCATTTTAATCAGATTTTCCATGAAATAAACCATCCAGCTATTCGGGTACCCCCATTCCAGGAAACCCCCAATTCTCATGGACACAAATCCGCAAAATGCCTCCTGCCCCACCTTCTTGATGAGCTCAGCAATCTCCACGCTGCTCTGCCGACGGCGCAAGTTCAAGATGGTGAAATCCTCCCAAAATCGGGAATCAAAAAGCAACAGCCAGCTGCGAATACCTTCTGGTAAACTAACAGTTTGCTATGGAAAATCACAATATGTTTAATAGGTAAATCAACTATAAATGGCAAGTTTCAATAGCTATGTTACTCATTACCAGAGGGTAGTAAGTGTCCACTTGGCTAGGGTCGCAGCCGTTTTCAATCTTTTTCATATGGCAGCGGTTCAGGCGATCCAAAATGGAGTGTCATTGGATGAAACCTTGGAGTATGAATATTAGTGTGGTTTCGACATATAACTTGTATATGGGGGTTTGAAATAATGGGGGTACCCCAATAGCTGGATGGTTTATTTCATGAAAAATCCGAAAATAAAATTGATTTTTGAGGCGTACCACCATTTCAGGAAACCTCCATATTGTAATTATTAGAGAATCATTACAATCTTCAGACCTACTTGCATGCAAAACCCCTAAAAGTGTTGAGAACATCTACTGCCAAAAGCTCCTGACCAGGTAATACCAGGACCTCAAAAAGATTTTTACAAGATCGTCCTGAAAGCACCTTGTATAGGATCTTACAAGATCTTTTGCAAGAACCTCCTAAGAGCATGTCGCAAAAGCTTTCGTTCAAGGACCTCTTAGAGGTTTCGCCAGCTGGCTGCTTACAAAACTTATGCCAGGATCTCTTATCACAGACCTCTACATAAGATCTTCACACCAAGACCTCTGAGACAATTTGACAAGCTCGTCAAAGAAGGACTGTCTAGAGGATCTTACCAAGATCTTCGTACAAGAACCTCCAGCATCCCGCAAGAGCTTTCATACAAGCACCCCTCATAGGGGGCATCAAGATCTTCAGGAAGGAGCTCCAGGAGCAACTATGAGACTCTCGCAAGATCGTCTTAGGAGGACCTTCTAGAATCTCTACAGATTGGCTAAAATGAGCACTGCGCTGCAACGAGAAACGAGAACCATCCAAGGCGCACCAGCAGTGACGAGAAAGTCACACGGGCAAGAAACATCAAAATGAGCACCCACCACAACGAGAGCTATCAAACACGCACACACTGTGACGAGAGGGCTGCACCAGCCACAACGAGACTCAAAAACCAGACGTCCGAAGCAACATTGGACGTCACAGTTCCACTATACGATTTACAACTTTCACCATCTTTTGTAAAAAGTGTAAAAAGTATTGCGCCTGCCACGAAAAATTGAAGCTGAGGCATGCGCAGTCTTGCACCTACCTACCACCCAAAATGATCTCGACATTACATGGCCCAAAACGAGCATTTAGAGCCTTGCAAGACATCGTCCACATTCACCACGTATATCGCCTGCAAAAAAAATTGCCTCCGGCAGCACCTCTCATTTCGACCCACGTGTTTTGTAATATGCACGAAGTATTGCGCCTGCCACGGGGATGCAAAAATGTCTGATGTCCTGTACCTGCCACGAAATAAAGAAGAAGTTCTGACTCTCCAAAAATGCCGAATCTCTTGCCCCCAACAAAACATACATAGCTCCAAAAAGCGGACACGGCACGCCCGCGAGAACGCGACTCTTCAATTTCGAGGTCTCCTAGTAGCGCGAATCCTCATAAGATCGAGGAACTTCAGGGCCACCATTTTTCGGAGGCACAAACCCTTGATTTCACCGTAAGAAGCCCGGATGATTCCGGATGTGAGCACACTGAAACACAGGAAAAATATGGAAAAATCGTTGACCATCCACACCTGTGTCGATGCGACAGCCCGGCCAGTGGCTCGCTCGACGACTTGGTAGAGTTTTACCAAAGCCACCAAGAATGTCAAGGAGGTGAAGAGAAAGAGCATGCACGACAAGATCACCAAAGCAATTCCTGAAGGCTTCTCTGTGCTGTGGCCCCAGATACATGAAGTTTTTTTAATGTGCAAATTCAGAGGTTTAGTTACCAATTTTCCCTTCAAAGAGGCTAGAAATTTCCATACGCGCTGGGTTTGAAGCAAGCCTGTCCTTGATGAAAATCTTCAATGGCATGGGTAAATTCTATGTCTGGTGTGATGGCCACCAGAAGCAGCAGCATGGCCTGCAGGCAGCCATCCACCAAGTTCACCTTGGACTTCCCCACAAGAATCAAGGATTCCCAATAGATTCCCAGTAGAGTGGATGAACCAGTTCAGTTGGAAATAGAGCCAGAAATATCCAAAAATCACACCTCACATCTTCAGGCAATCCAAGTCGCCACAGGCACCTTCCACGGCAAGAAGCAAATGTGCAGCAGCAGGCCTGCCATCAGCACCGTCACAACCATCGCGGCTTGTGCGGGGGGGAAGTCAGTGGCGAGAGCGGGGCAAAGGGACAGCAAGGGGAACCGCAACAAGACCGGCACGCCATACCACCAGCGGTCCATGCGGAAGCGGCTGATGAGGAAGGCAAAAGCCCAAATCCGGTCGGAATGCGTGAGGCTCCAACGCGGGATATGCCATGCCCCCCACGCACAAACGCCGACGAAGGTAACCACCATGAAGGTCAGTAATCCGATGCCGCTCAGCAACATCACCAGGTGTTCCCCAGTGTTGCAGAACACGCCGGCATGTTTCAACAAGCTATGTTGGCCGTTGGGATGCTGATAACACATCAGTGGCTGCAAGGATAAAGCGCTCATAGCACTAAAGCCCACCTGAGAAGTGAGCGCGCCCAAGGTAGTTCCTGGGGATTTAAATCATCCAGCTAGTGATTCAAATCCCATGTCAATGGTAATAGGGTCCCCCAGTGAATCACTATCAACCACCCATCATGTATCAATTATGTAACATGATCAAAACATGGTATGTGGGGTATGGCCATCCATCCCATGATGGCATCTTTATAACGGGTACCGAGTACGTCCGTATGCGAATCCCTATCAATAGATTGATGACCATCCTCCACTATGTTTTTTTTCTAATCCAACGCTGACACATGGCACATACGTTTTAAACATCTTCACACGATGGCTAAATCCGCTTTTGAATACTTAATGATAATTGAGTCACATCTTACATCCCGAAATATCCTTTTTAGAACGTTGCTTAAGCCCCACTCAAAGTCCAATTTCATATCCAATCAACAATCTGGGTATATAAATCATAATAATTCACTAACCTGAAATGTTGGGCCATTTTGGGATGATTCCTCTTATTAACCTGTTATAATTTCCCCAGAACCATGGTATTTTCAAAGATCTTCAAGCCGCCTGCAGAAAGTGTCCCATGGTGTTCAACAATCGAGTCCAAGTCCAGGGTGCAGGACACATGCAGTTTTTGAAGCACCTGGTGATGGAATCTGCGGGCGAAACACCAAGAAAATATCAAAGATTACTGGTTGGTGGTTGACCTACCCCATGGTTAATAGTGGTTAATGATGGTTAATCATTGATTAATTTATGGCTGGTTGGTTGGTGGTTGACCTACCTACCCCTCTGAAAAATCATGGAGTTCGTCAGTTGGGATTATGACATTCCCAACTGAATGGAAAAATAAAAAATGTTCCAAACCACCAATCAGATTAATAAAAGGATGTTGACATTTCGTGGGAGAAAATACCGGGACTCTTCGAAAAATTGGAACATCCTCCAATTGTTTTTATTCGGTGTTGTTTGGTTTTATGGTACTAAGATCCGTGAAAATGCGATTGTTTCTTGGCATCGATTCCCAAATCATGGGTAACAAGTATCATTCCCACTTATTAGATATACCTTACCTTATTAACACACAAAATACTCTCTTCGGGTGATCCCCACGAACTGACCTTCTATCTGACATATGTTCGTCTGACATTTCATCTGGCATTGTATCTGACATGCATCCTGACATATATCCTGACATGATTTGAGATTCTACCTGACATTCTGTTTTTGTTTTAACCAGAAAGCTAGCGAGCTTCCGACCGGGGGGTGAGAGGAGGTGAGACCCCCGGACTTCCGGGAAGACTCAAAGGGAATTTTTCCGCGGAAGCTTCCGGAGGGATACGACCCTTTTTCCCGAGAGCGCCTGCGAAGGGTTTTTCGTAAAAAAGCAGCCGTTGTAATACATCTTCACACCTTCACATCTGCTGATCTACATCTTCACACCTTCACATCTGCTGATCTACATCTTCACACCTTCACATCTGCTGATCTACATCTCGACACCTTCACATCTGCTGGTCTACATCTCGACACCTTCACATCTGCTGATCTACATCTTCACACCTTCACATCTTCTGATCTACATCTTCACACCTTCACATCTGCTGATCTACATCTTCACACCTTCACATCTACTGATCTACATCTTCACACCTTCACATCTGCTGATCTACATCTCGACACCTTCACATCTGCTGATCTACATCTTCACACCTTCACATCTTCTGATCTACATCTTCACACCTTCACATCTTCTGATCTACATCTTCACACCTTCACATCTGCTGATCTACATCTTCACACCTTCACATCTGCTGATCTACATCTTCACACCTTCACATCTGCTGATCTACATCTCACACCTTCACATCTGCTGATCTACATCTTCACACCTTCACATCTGCTGATCTACATCTTCACACCTTCACATCTGCTGATCTACATCTCACACCTTCACATCTGCTGATCTACATCTTCACACCTTCACATCTGCTGATCTACATCTTCACACCTTCACATCTGCTGATCTACATCTCGACACCTTCACATCTGCTGATCTACATCTTCACACCTTCACATCTGCTGATCTACATCTTCACACCTTCACATCTGCTGATCTACATCTTCACACCTTCACATCTGCTGATCTACATCTTCACACCTCACATCTGCTGATCTACATCTTCACACCTTCACATCTGCTGATCTACATCTTCACACCTCACATCTGCTGATCTACATCTTCACCCTCACATCTGCAGATCTACATCTTCACACCTTCACATCTGCTGATCTACATCTTCACACCTTCACATCTGCTGATCTACATCTTCACACCTTCACATCTGCTGATCTACATTCACATCTGCTGATCTACATCTTCACACCCTCACATCTGCTGATCTACATCTTCACACCTTCATCTGCATCTGCTGACACCCTCACATCTGCTGATCTACATCTTCACACCCTCACATCTGCTGATCTACATCTTCACACCTCACATCGCTGATCACATCTTCACACCCTCACCCTGATCTACATCTTCACACCTTTCTGATCTACATCTTCACACCTTCACATCTGCCGATCTTCACAGATCTACATTCACACCTTCACATCTGCTGATTCTACATCTTCACACCTTCACATCTGCGACTACATCTTCACACCCTCACATCTGCTGATCTACATCTTCACACCTTCACATCTGCTGATCTACATCTTCACACCCTCACATCTGCAGATCTACATCTTCACACCTTCACATCTGCTGATCTACATCTTCACACCTTCACATCTGCTGATCTACATCTTCACACCTTCACATCTGCTGATCTACATCTTCACATCTACATCTTCACATCACATCTGCTGATCTACATCTTCACACCCTCACATCTGCAGATCTACATCTTCACACCCTCACATCTGCAGATCTACATCTTCACACCCTCACACCTGCAGATCTAGATCTTCACACCTTCATCTGCATCATCTTCACACCTTCACTGCTGACTACATCTTCACACTTCATGCTCATCTTCACACCTTCACATCTGCTGATCTACATCTTCACACCTTCACATCTGCTGATACATCTTTCACATCTTCCCACATCTTCACCACAATCTGCTGATCTACATCTTCACACCTTCACATCTGCTGATCTACATCTTCACACCTTCACATCTGCTGATCTACCCTTCACTACCTGCTGATCTCACATCTGCAGATCTACATCTTCACACCCTCACATCTGCAGATCTACATCTTCACACCCTCACATCTGCAGATCTACATCTTCACACCCTCACATCTGCAGATGCTACATCTTCACACCCTCACACTGCAGATCTACATCTTCACACCTTCACATCTGCTGATCTACATCTTCACACCTCACATCTGCAGATCTACATCTTCACACCTTCAAATCTGAAGATCTCCTCTCGCTCTTCTTTCTATCTCTCTCTCTTAAGGCGGGGGCGGTGCTGCCGGAGCGCCACGAAACGCAACCCTTTCGCACGAAATGGACGTTGGACGTCCAAAACTGATGTAAAATTGCGAGTTAACTTGTCCCCTCGCAACCCTTTCGCACGAAATGGACGTTGGACGTCAAAAACTGAAGTAAAATTGCGATTTAACTTGTCCCCTCGCAACCCTTTTCGCACGAAATGGACGTTGGACGTCAAAAACTGAGGAAAAATTGCGATGTTAGTTAGTCAAATGCAACCCTTTCGCACGAAATGGACGTTGGACGTCAAAAACTGAGGAAAAATTGCGATGTTAGTTAGTCAAATGCAACCCTTTCGCACGAAATGGACGTTGGACGTCAAAAACTGAGGTAAAATTACGATTTTGAGGTGTCCATCGCAACCTTTTCGCACGAAATGGATGTTGGACGTCAAAAACTGAGGAAAAATTGCGATTCTAGTTAGTCCATCGCAACCCTTTCGCACGAAATGGACGTTGGGCGTCAAAAACTGAAGTAAAATTGCGATTTTGAGGTGTCACGGGCAAATCTTTCGCACGAAATGGACGTTGGACGTCAAAAACTGAGGAAAAATTGCGATTTCATGGGTCCGGTCTCTGTGTGTAAAAGCTTCTGTCTGTGTGTAAAAGCTTCTGTGTTTAAAAGCCTCTGTGTGTAAAAGCTTCTGTATGTAAAAGCGTCTGTGTGTAAAGTTGTCTGCGTGTAAAGTTGTCTGCGTGTAAAAGCCTCTGTGTGTAAAAGCTTTTATGTGCAAAAGCATCTGCGTGTAAAAGCGTCTGTGTGTAAAAGCGTCTGTGTGTAAAAACGTCTGTGTGCAGAAGCGTCTGTGTCCAAAAGCGTCTGTGTGTAAAGGAGTCTGTGTGTAAAAGCGTCTGTGCGCAAAAGCGTCTGTGTGTAAAGGAGTCTGTGTGTAAAAGCGTCTGTGCGCAAAAGCGTCTGTGTGTAAAAGTGATTGTGTGTAACATGGTCTGTGTGTAAAAGTGTCTGTGTGTAAAAGTGTTTGTGTGTAAAATGGTCTGTGTGTAGAGGTGTCTGTGTGTAAAAGCTTCTGTGTGTAAAAGCTTCTGTGTTTAAAAGCTTCTGTGCGTAAAAGTGTCTGTGTGTAAAATGGTCTGTGGGTAAAAGTGTCTGTGTGTAAAATGGTCTGTGTGTAAATGTGTCTGTGTGTAAAAGCGTCTGTGTGTAAAGGAGTCTGTGTGTAAAAGCGTCTGTGCGCAAAAGCGTCTGTGTGTAAAGGAGTCTGTGTGTAAAAGCGTCTGTGGGCAAAAGCGTGTGTGTGTGTAAAAGTGTTTGTGTGCAAAAGCATCTGCGTGTAAAAGTGTTTGTGTGTAAAAGCGTCTGTGGGCAAAAGCGTGTGTGTGTGTGTAAAAGTGTTTGTGTGCAAAAGCATCTGCGTGTAAAAGTGTCTGTGTGTAAAAGCGTCTGTGTGCAAAAGCGTCTATGTGTAAAAGTCTGCGATTGAGAGATGCAACGGTTGGATTGCAAATTGATTTCTGTTTTCTGTTGAGGTGGTATGTGACTGTGAGGATTGATTTGTCTTTAGTCGGATCATACAGTCCCGTGGGATTTAAGTATGGAGTTTGTGCAACCACGTTCTCTGGTCGGAGCCTCAAGTGGATACAGATATGCATTTAAAGCAATGCTGTCGACATCTTTCTTCCTGCATGCATTTTTCTGGAGATTATGTTTTGTGATTGTTCCATGTTCTGTCTCTGCGGACATGGTGTTGCATTCATTCTTTGGAGATTGTGTTTTCTGATTGTTCCAATTCAAGCATGGAGTTTTACCGCACAAGTCTGTGCGAGCGGCATTCAACTGCATCTTCTACAAAAGAATCGTTTGGTCGGAGCCTCAAGTGAATGCAGAGATGCCTTGAAAGTAATGCTCGTGACACCTTTTTTCTGTGGATATGGTCTTGCACTGATTCTTTGGAGATTGTGTTTTGTGATTGTTCCATGCTCTGTAGGGGCTGTCCGTGGACATGGAACGGTTGCACTGAAAATTGAGTTCTGCGAGGATTGATTTGTGTTTAGCATGACAATACAGAACTGTTTGACATCGGCTGAGGATGGATGATTGATAGCACCCGCGCTGGCAATGTGTGGAGCTCGGTTGCTTTAGTTGCAGTGAGGGTGATGATGGCAGTGCGGCAGTCACGATGTACATTTTTGGAACTTTGTTTGTGTTGCGGCTTGTGTTCTTGGTGGACAACATGGAAATGACAGAGATTGACGGTGAACATGCTTGCTAGTGAGCATTATCTGCATGCAAAATGTTTGGTTCAAGTGGCGCACCCGTGACACTTGTGAAAGCATTGTGGTCACTGTTTCATTTGCTGAAGGGCTTGTCCGTGCGAATGGAGCAGGCGACCGCGTCGCCCAATGCCGTGGAAATTCGGTTGCAGGAGCTGCGTAGCAGTAGTGTGACCAGGGGCCGTGAATGGCTCCAGGGGGCCCTGGAAGAAATTTCCGCACTGGAGCTTCGCAAAATGGCAAGTGCTCGGAATGTTGGCCGTGGACCGGACAAGAAGTGGCTCGCGGTTGGAGAGCTGCGCGCTCGATTGTTGGAAGTCTTGGCACCCCCAACGCAGGTCGGGTGTGGCAGAAAAAGGATATGACGAAAGTTGAATGTTTGTTACATGGTTCAATGTTGTCGGATGAGTGCTGTTTTGTGGTTGCGGTGTGTTGCATGCTGTTGGCCTGTAGGAAGTTGGATCGGCTGCCAAATTGGAAGAACTTCGCGTAGGAGCTGTTTCACATGGTGTGGAATGGCTCCGTAGTGCTCTGTCGGAACTATTCAGAGATGAGCTGCTGCGGGTGGTGTGGAGACACGACCCGACAACAAATGGCTCACTGTAGCAGAGCTGCGCGACGCGTTGGTGAAAGTCTTGGCGTCATGAAGGGAGGTTGGGTGCGTCAAAAATGGGTTTTAATCAAATTTGTATTTTTGATAGAAGTTGAATGTTCGTCACATGGTGCAATCTTGTAGGATGGGTGTTTTTTTTGGTGGTGGCACTGTGTTTGGATGCTGTAGGTGGATGATCGAGAAGTTGCATGGGCTGTCAAATTGGCAGAACTTCGTGTAGGAGCTGTTTCACATGGTGTGGAATGGCTCCGTAGTGCTCTGTCGGAACTATTCAGAGATGAGCTTCGGCCCCTGGCTGCTGCGGGTGGTGTGGAGACACGACCCGACAACAAATGGCTCACTGTAGCACAGCTGCGCGACGGGTTGATGAAAGTCTTGGCGCCATCAAGGGAGGTTGGGTGCGTCAAAAATGGGTTTTAATCAAATTTGTATTTTTGCTAGAAGTTGAATGTTCGTCACATGGTGCAATCTTGTAGGATGGGTGTTTTTTTTGGTGGTGGCACTGTGTTGGATGCTGTAGGTGGATGATCGAGAAGTTGCATTGGCTGCCAGATTTGAAGAACTTCATGTAGAAGCTGTTTCACATGGTGTGGAATGGCTCCGTAGTGCTCTTTCGGAAATCTCAAAAGATGATCTTCGCTCCCTGGCTGCTGTGGGTGGTGTGGAGACACGACCCGACAAGAAATGGCTCACTGTAGCAGAGCTCATCTCTTGCTATTTCCGACAGAGCACGACGGAGTCACTTTCAAGGGCGTATCTCCACCGACGCGCAGCGCGTTGATGGAACGGTTGCATTGAAAATAGAGTTCTGGTTTCTGTTGAGGTGGCATGTGACTGCACGGATTGATTGTCTGTACGATCGCGCTTACGTCTGTACGATCGCGCTTTGCGGCTCTTGCTTCAAAAAAACAGAGTGTTCTGGCGCATCTCTATGTGAGGTGCATTGTCGTCTATCAAAATTTCTTCTAGATGAATGCATGTGTTTGAGACGGGGCATGCGGCACTGAGGATATCACGGCGTGACGCTGCATCTTGCATGACCCGTCTCAGTGAGGCGCAGCTCCCATTCAGGTTCCAAACTTGTGCTGTGTTTTGCAGTTGTGATGTCAAGACTTGTGCTGTGTTGGCATTCTATTGATTGTGCCGTTCACTACAGCACTACACCAAGGCTGTGACCTACGAGTGTTGCTCAATGACATTTATTTCGTCTACAACTCAAACTTTTGTGTTTTTGACATCAAGCACCTGATGGCATCGAGCTCTGTTGCAAGCGTCTGCGGACATTTCACATTACATTCAGGGTTTTTGATGGATGTTTTTTGGTCTTGGAGTAAATCAAATTACTGGAATGTGTCCAGCGCTGTGCTACGCACTAAGGTTGGCACTTCTGAGCCACGACGTTTCACTGCGATTTCAAAACATCATTTCGTGTTGGTCTGTCACGGGTTTTGTCTGTAAGCGTCGGCCTGTAAAAGCGCCTGTGTGTAACGGGTTTTGTCTGTAAGAGCGTCTGTGTGTACAAGAGTCTGTCAATAAAAGCTTCTGTGTGGAAAAGCGTCTTGGTGTAAAAGCTTCTGCGTGTAAATGTGTCTGTGTGTAAATGTGTCTGTAGGGTATGTGTGTAAAAATGTCTGTCTGCAAAAGTGTCTGTGTGTAAAAGCTTCTGTGTGTAAAAGCCTTTATGTGTAAAAGCGCCTGTGTTTAAAACAATATGTGTGTAAAAGGGTCTGTGTGTAAAAGTGTCCGTCTGTACAAGCGTCTGTGTGTAAAAGTTTTTGTGCGTGTAAAAGCGTCTCTGTGTGAAAGCGTCTGTGTGTAACAGTGTCTGTGTGTAAAAGCGTCTGTGTGTAAATGCGTTTCTGTATAAAAGCGTCTCTGTATAAAAGCGTCGCGTTTCTTCACATCCACGGAATGATGGTGCCGAGCTTTTTCGGCAATGTGTGTAGGAATTGCTATAGTAAAATGAGATAACACATGCCGTTCGCAGCATCATGGTACCGAGCCTCCTGTGCATTTTTGTTGCTCACATTATATTTCTCCATGTTTTCTTTCTACCCCCCTTTCCTTCTCTCTCTCTCTCCTCCCTCTTTCTCTCTGTGGTTGCAAGACACGTGTCATCTGATGCCCTTTACCACAGTATCCTCTTCTTAATCAATCTTACTTTTTCACACCATATCCTTCCATAGCTCATATATAATTCACCAACTATTCACCGACTATCTTTTACGACTACCATCCTCAGAGCTGCTTGAAAAACATCTTTTTCGCTCTCGGGCCAACCGTCGTCTAGTTTTTAGGTTGAGGGGAACAATCATGGAAACACAGAAAGAACATATGGAACCATAGGAGGAATACAACATACGCAAAGAAGCTTCTGGGAGATACAACCCAAAAAGGGTGGGGGGAGACAATCATGGAATCATAGGAAGAAGGTTTCTGGGGGGATAATTACAACATATTACAACATTTTAGGTTGGGGGAGGGGCAACAATCATGGAACCACAGGAAAAATATAACGTACGAAGAAGATTGCGGGGGGGATACGGCCCTTTGGGTTGGGAAGGCAACTGATGGGACGCACAGCTCATGTGGGATGGAAGATTTGGTGGCAAGGGATGTGAGGTATGGGTCACCAAGAGGAGGGCGAGAGGGGGGGCGAGGGGGGGCGAGGGGGAGAGGGGGCAGGTCAGAAACCAAGTCCTGCTCACCATCGAAAAGGAAAAAACGGAGGCGCGATGTATTTGGTAAAATCTAAAGACCTTCACCTGTCGGGTGGAAAAAAATCAACCAACTTGTGTTTTTTTTGTTCAAGCGCCTGGAAGATGTGAAGCAAACCAGCAGCCACAGAGGCCCCAGAGGAAATACTGCCAGGCTCATGATGTAGCGTCCCCAATTTGTCCCACCCACCATACATGCAATCGAAAATATCTCCATGTCCAACAAGACCACAGAAGAACTTTTAGCAATGGATTCGAAGGCCTTAGGCCACCTGGAGATGGATCGTGGCGCCAAAGGGAACCCAAGAATCACAAGTCGTCAGAACCATCGTAAAATCCTGCTTTGTGTGTAATATGCCCCAAACATATATACACATATAAATTAGATAAATTAGTAAAAGGTGAAATATGAATAAATAAAAATAAATAAATAATTAAATAAATAAATAAATAATTAAATAAATAAATAAACAAATAAATAAATAAATGAATGAATGAATTATAAATAAAGTATTTTAATAAAATGGCTCTACTAGGGTTGACGGTATATGAACTATTGACCGTTTACGATTCCAGGGATGCACTTCGCTACCAAAAATGCCAGCTATCCATAAGTTGTGGTCGTGTGCGTCTGTTCAGCCCCCACCTAACTGACGTCAGACCGATGATGGCCAGGCATTGAACCAATCCTGCAGCGACCCCAGCACACATTGATAGGGTTTCCCCTTGTGTTGCCTTTGCTGTGATGCATGGAGGTATTGCATAGTAAGCAGCAATCAAGCCGAGAAAGAAGACGCTGCCAGCCAGTATCCTCGGTTTCGCAAGGAACCAACAGAAACCCACCTGAAGCACCAAAACTGGTGAAGCTTGGTGGTTTAATTCAATAGCTGTTAAAAATGGTTCTCTACCCATCAAGACGTTGGCGCAAAACGCCCAAGCACCCCCCCGGAGCTGAGCGCCACGCGACACATTAAAAGACCGTTGGAATCAAGGGAAATCTTATGAGGAGATCCACCTTCAATAGCGTGGGTGCAAACCCCAAACCAGCAAGCACCTTGAGACCATGGTCAGAAAGAACAAAAAAAACCTGCAACTTTATCCAAACAAAGGGTTTGAAATGAGTACAGTTTGCTGCTGTAATGGCCTTGCAGCCACTACACTTGGGAACCAGCACACTGCACAATGCAGCGCCGAATTTTGAGTGGCCAGATTGGATTGAAGAAACATGGTAATTACAAAAATCTCTTGAGAAGAGAAGGGGAACACGAAAGGTAGGAGGCCAAGTGAAGAAGTCAGGTCTCATGTCACACCAGCCGACGATAACATGAATAATATGATGATGATGATGATGGATGATGGATAATGGATGACGGATGATGGATGATGGATGATGATGGATGATGGATGATAATGGATGATAATGGATGATGGAGGATGATGGAGGATGATGGATGATGATGGATGATGATGGATGATGATGGATGATGATGGGTGATGGTGAATGATGATGGATGATGATGGATGATGATGGATGATGATGGATGATGATGGATGATGATGGATGATGATGGATGATGATGGATGATGATGGGTGATGGTGAATGATGATGGATGATGATGGATGATGATGGATGATGATTTCATGATGATGGGTGATGATGGATGATGATTTCATGATGATGGATGATGATGGATGATGATGGATGATGATGGATGATGATGGATGATGATGGATGATGATGGATGATGATGGATGGTGATGGATGATGATGGATGATGATGGATGATGATGGATGATGATGATGATGGATGATGGATGATGATGGATGATGATGGATGATGATGGATGATGATGGATGATGGTGGATTATGGATGATGGATGATGGAATATGATGATGGTGATGATGATGATGATGATGATGCTGATGCTGATGATGATGATGACGATGATGACGATGATGATCATGATGATGATGATGGATGATGGATGATGGATGATGGATGATAATGGATTATGGAGGATGATGGATGATGGATGATGGATGATGATGGTAATGATGATGGTAGTGATGATGGTAGTGATGACCGTAATAATGATGGTAGTGATGATGGTAATGATGATGGTAATGGTGATGGTAGTGATGATGGTAATGATGATGGTAATGATGATGGTAATGGTGATGGTAGTGATGATGGTAATGACGATGGTAACGATGATGGTAATGATGGTGGTAATGATGACGGCAATGGAATGGCATTCTTCGGATTATTTGTGGGTCAGAAACACCAGCAAGGCAGTCGTGGTTTCGTTTTGGCTGGGAACAAATTCCGTGGAAACCCGATGGAGGAAATTCAAAATGATGTGCACATTTCCTCGTGGAATGTGTTTTGATAGATTTTTCCCTGAGAATTGTCCCTCCTATTTTGCCTGAATCTGAGCCTAATAAAACAATGTCCTAAAGTTGCACATTCTTATTGCAGCTTCGTTGCAAAACCGATTTATCTGCTCATCTGTGTAAAGAAATTCTGTGCGTAAAGACGTCTGTTTGCAAAAGTTTCTCTATGCAAAATCCTCTTTGTGTAAAAACATCTGTGTGCAAAAGCTGGTCTGTGTAGGTGTAACGGGTTTCTCTGTGTAAAGGCATCTGGGTGCAAAAGTAGCTGTGTGTAAAAGGGTCTCTGTGCAAAAGAATCTCTTGTGTAAAAACTCCGAGCGTTTTCGATATGCTGTGTACACAGTGGTTTTCTGTGCATGCGCAAAAGCTTCTGTCTGTACTAAACAGTTTCTGTGTGCAAAGGCATCTATATGAAAAAAAAATGTCTGCGCAAAAGCCTCTCTGTGTAAAAGTGTCTGTGTGTAAAAGCATCTGTAAGTAAGGCGCCTGTGCATAAATGCTACTCTGTGCAAAAGCCTCGGCCGAACTCTCCCGGGTAGATTAAGCTCAAAAATAAACTGATTCCTCCAAGATGTAACTATTTCATGAATGTAGGATTTCGAAACCAACAAACATAACTTGGGGATACTTGGGGGTCTTCTTCCTGTACAACCTGTACACAATTCTCCCCAGGTTCCTAGGTTCGGGTCTTTGATGTGCCAAGAAGCGGAACCACCACAAGGCCACCCGAGCACTGCCGGCACTCCTTGCCGGTCCATGACGTCCCCGAAGGGCACTCCGAGCACGGAATCCCTTCACGACGTCCAGGACACCTCCCAGGAACTCCACCAGGACAGTGCTCCAAAGTCTGGCATTTGAAGACTTCAAGGGGCTGTTCCTCCACAGGTTGATTCTGCTGATACCCTCTGGTAATTTAACATGGCTATTGAAAATACCCCGTTTAGTTCCTTGGTTTACCTATTCAAAATGGTGATTTCTATAGTTATGTTAGTTTACCAGAGGGTAACTTTCAGCTCTTCTTATGATCATCCCCCAATATGCATTTGCAGGAACGCCTGGCTTCGCAACAAAGCGTCCCTCGGAACGTCAAACCATTTGTCATTCCAAACTCCACAGAAATACACACGCTCAACATCAAACAAACTAATTTTTTTTTCAAGCTGAAAGTCCATTCAGAACACGGGTCCTCGGTGCTGAAATATCCCTCCAGAATCCTGGGCGTGAAGGCCTCCCCAAAATTTTTGTCGCCCATCTTCAAAGACTCCAGGCTGGAACCCAAGGGACATCGTAGTCCCTCAGGACATGCAACGCACGTCACCACGCCCACCGTTGCATTCGCCACATTGATGCTGCCTGGTGAAGCGAAGTGCTGTGCTGGTTGGAGTCATCAAATTTGAGTATCAAATCTGTGACAACTATTTCCTAATATGTTTTCAAATGGTGTTCATCAACAGCAGGCAGAGATGTTTAAAATACATTTATGTTGAAAATGATGATAGATGATGATAGATGATCATAGATGTGGGTTTGTTCCCCACCTGCCAGGTGAGGGTTGTTAGATTTTATCAGAGCTGTTCTCCTCCTCCGCCTCCTCACCCGCCGCCTCCTCCTCGCAGTCCAAATTCCAGTGGGCACAGCCGGACCTCCACCGCGAGCTCCAGATCCCAGTGGGCACTGCCGGACCTCAACCGCGAGTTGCAGATCGCAGTGGGCACTGCCGGACCTCAACCGCGACTTCCAGGTCGCAGTGGGCACTGCCGGACCTCAACGGGAAGAATGTCAGAAAAGATGTCAGATAGAATGTCAGAAGATATGCCAGATAGAATGCCAGAAAGAATGTCAGAAAGAATGTCGGAAGATATGCCAGACAGAATGTCATAAGATATGCCAGAAAGAATGTCAGAAGATATGTCAGATAGAATGTCAGAAGATATGCCAGATAGAATGCCAGAAAAAATGTCAGAAGATATGCCAGATAGAATGTCAGAAAGAATGTCAGAAGATATGCCAGATAGAATGTCATAAGATATGCCAGAAAGAATGTTCTGAATGCCACAAGATATGCCAGAAAGAATATCAGAATATATGCCAGATAGAGTGCCAGAAAGAATGTCAGAAGATATGCCAGATAGAATGCCAGAAAGAATGTCAGAAAGAATGTCAGAAGATATGCCAGATAGAATGTCATAAGATATGCCAGAAAGAATGTTCTGAATGCCACAAGATATGCCAGATAGAATGTCAGAAGATATGCCAGATAGATGGGGAGGTCGAGAAAAAATGATTCTGCTCTTTGGTGTCCTTCGGCCAGGTTGCGTATTTAGATTCCAGAGCTGTGGAGTATGTAGCTATATATGCCATGGTGGGGATCATTCGAAGTGAAGTATTTTTTTTCATAGGTTGCTCCATTCCATCCATCGATTTATCATCATTATCTAAGAAGTATCCCTGTGATAGACTTGCCGCAACTTGGGGCCTAAATTTGCTATATATATATATACCCTCAGGGACCCAGGTTCTCCGATGACCGCACACCGGTTGTTGCCCCGCTGCAGATGATCCCGTTGTATCATGCTCCGCGACAGGGCGGGGTGGGGTGGGGTGTATTATCGTTCGTGGAATGTTGATCACGTTGTTGATGCTCCGCTGCAGATGATCACGTTGTATCATGCTCCGCAACAGGGCGGGGTGGGGTGGGGGGTGGGGCGGGGTGGGGTGCATTATCGTTCGTGGAATGTTGATCACGTTGTTGATGCTCCGTGTTCAATCTGTTTGGTTGCAGGTGATGCGCAGGTGGTCCCCGGGGGATATCAATGTATACATATGTACATATATATATATATATACTGTTAACAGAAATGGTGATAACAGAAATAATTAAGGCTTACTTGATGATGATTTATAGGAATTACTTGGATTAAGACAAGTAATCGTTGGTTCGTGCTCCACGGTCAGTGTATAATAGTGAACAATGATGATCCATTACTATGAACAAAACTAGCTACATGCATTCTTACAGTGAGTGATCATTAACAATATCATTGATCATATCATAAATTACCACAAAAAAAATCGTCATGAGCACAGATGTCGAAACAAAAACAATATCTTGAATCATATGGGAAATACCATGGAAATTTCACCACACATGAGTTTCGATTGGGAAAATACAATGAAAACACATGCACGAAAGATCAAAAAACAAAAAACATGCTGACTGTCAGGGTTCCTCACTTTCAAGCAACTTTCAAATGTAGTGCAAATACCATGTAAAATAAGGTTACCTTTATTTTGCTTGTGAAAACACAGGGTAAAATGAGATGTTTCAACATATGTTGCATACCATCGCAACGTATCTGTGCTGTATTTATAAGGGGATTTACAACTATACCCTCCTAACCCATATCAAGTAAATCACAACTTTGTAAGCGCTCAAAACGGACGAGATTTTTTTCATCCGTTTTGATGCCCAATTCCACATAACAATGCTTCATGTCAAAATGCTAGTTTCGCTATGGCGAAACGCACATTTTTCACATGTTTGATCATCAACACCTATCATCTATCGGAGAGCCTAAGGGCCCATCCGTATATACATAATATATACATTCCCCCCGGTTTCATCGAAATAGATCATTTCAACAGCTGATAGCCAAAACCATCTTCATCACTGAATATGAATAATGTTGGATGCTGATTAGTGTGGTGGTACACGATTGTGTCCAACTCAAAAATAATTCTGAATCTGTGGAAATGACGGGGTGGTTCACTATTGTGTCCCCAGGATTTTGGGGTAAGTTTTTCAGTTTTTGTTATTTTTAAACTGTTTTAAATTATGTGTTTGTTTAATTTGTGTCAATTTTTAAAAACTTAAATTTCTATTTTTATTTATCCATTATTTTTTGTGATTTTTTTCATTAGCAATATTGAGCCTAAATAATGTGTTTGTTGTGCGGGGGTCCACTATTTTGTCTAGCTGTTGTCTGAGGTGTATTTTTTTTCAAACATTCCCTTTACCTTTTCCTTTGCTAAAGTGTTTTTTTGCTTTCTGAGTTTTTTCACTTGATCAATTGATTTTTTTTTCACTTGAAATTACAATGTGATCCACAATAGTATGTTTGTTTTGGGGGTCCACTATTGTGTCCAGCTGCTTCCTGAGGTGTTTTTTTTTAGCATTCCCTTCCCGTTACCTTTTCCTTTGCTAAAGTTTTTTCTTTCACTTTCTTAGTTTCTTTCACTTGAAATTCGCAGAAATGTCCAATTTCCCAAAATATATGTTGCCTTATTAAAACCCAATTACAAAACATCACTCAAACAATTTTTCCAGGGGATAGTCCATGACCAACCCTGATCCGCAATAGTATGTTTGTTTGGGGGGTCCACTATTGTGTCAAGCTGTTTCCTAAGGTATGTTTTTCAAACATTCCCTTTACCTTTTCCTTTGCTAAAGTTTTTTCTTTTGCTTTCTTAGTTTCTTTCATTTGATATTCTCAGAAATGCTTATTTCCCAAAATATATGATGCCTTGTTAAAACCCAATTTAAAAAAAAGCAGCATCCAAACAATTTTTCAAGGGGGTAGTCCATAAGCAACCCTGATCCACAATAGTATGTTTGTTTTGGGGGTCCACTATTGTGTCCAGCTGCTTCCTGAAGTGTTTTTTTTCAAACATTCCCTTTACCTTTTCCTTTGCGAAAGTTTTTTCTTTTACTTTCTTAGTTTCTTTCACTTGAAATTCTCAGAAATGCCCATTTTTCCAAAATATATGATGCCTTATTAAAACCCAACTTTAAAAAAAAAACAGCACCCAAACAATTTTTCAAGGGGGTAGTCCATGAGCAACCCTGATCCACAGTAGTATGTTTGTTTTGGGGGTCCACTATTGTGTCCAGCTGCTTCCTGGGGTGATTTTTTTCAAACATTCCCTTTACCTTTTCCTTTGCTAAAGCTTTTTGTTTTATGGTATTTCTATAGTATCACTTTTGGATTTCTATAGAATTCCTATGGGATTTCTACGATGTTTCTATGATATTTCTGGAGGGATTGCTATGGGATTTCTAAAGGGGCGCATTGGGAATTCTATGGTATTCTTATGGTCCATTGGATTCCTATGAGATTTCTATGGTATTTCTATGATGTTTCTATGATATTTCTATGGGGTTTCTATTGGATTCCTGTGGGATTTCTATTGGATGCCTGTGGGATTTCCAAGGTATTTCCATGATGTTTCTATGATATTTCTATGGGGTTACTATGGGAATTCTTATGGGGTTTCTTTGTGGTTCCTATGCTATATGTTATATCTATGATCTTTCTATGGGATTTCTGTGGGATTCCCATAGGATTTCCATGATATTTCTATGATATGTCTATGGGATTACTATGGGATGTCAATTGAAAGTAAGTTGAAATCAATTGAAAATAAATTCAAACTAAATTGAAATCAATTGAAAATAAATTCAAACTAAATTGAAATCAATTGAAAATAATTTGAAAGTAAGTTGGCATCAGTTGAAAATCAATTGAACGTAACTTGAAACCAATTGAAAATCAATTGAATGTAAGTTGAAACCAATTGAAGGCATATTAAAATCAATTGAAAGTAAATTCAAATCAATTGAAAGTAAATTTAAAGTAAATTGAAATCAATGGAAAGCAAATTGCAATCAATTGAAGGTAAATTGAAATCAATTGAAAATCAATTGAAAGTAAGTTGAAATCAATTGAAAGTAAATTGAAATCAATTGAAAGTAAATTGAAATCAATTGAAAATCAATTGAAAGTAAATTGAAATCAATTGACAATCACTTGAAAGTAAATTGAAGTAAATTGAAATCAATTGAAAATCAAGTGAAATCTATTGAAAGTAAATTGAAATCAATTGAAAATCAATTTAAATCAATTGAAATCTATCATTTTTTTTGGACCACACACTATTCAGGATCGAAATCATGAAAATTTCCACATTAAAGAGTGCCCAAAATTTGTTTAGGGAGGGGGGTCCCCCCTACACTAATCAGGATCCGACATTATCTGGATATGGGGGTTGTCCAAAATACACATCCATATCTGCAGATGTCACTCGGATACTAAAAGCCTTGCATGGGTTTTAGGACGACTCCCGTATGAAAACTTGATGACACATGTTTCACCACCGTTCTGACCTTGCTTGCATCCACAATCTCCCAGAAATAATGATCCAAGTCCATGTGTGGACGTCGCAGTTGGACACGGCTTGCATCCCGTTGCACCTGAATCATGGTGGGTGTACCAATGGAGCCACGGCAAAAGATCCTGGTCAGGTTTAGATATGTTTTGTATGTAATCATCCGTTTTGGACATAGCTTTGACCCATGCCCAATTTTGGCATCCAAACCTGCTTAACCTGCTTTGTTTGGATTTGCTGGGGATGCGGAGTTCGTGGTTGATGTGACTGTGCCTGCTGCCATCACACATCAAATTTCTGATGGTTCTAAATCCTAAGACCATAACTAGCAGCGCTGGACGAAAGGGTCCTTGGATAACATGACAACGAAACCCATCCAAAACCCGCAGCCTACGCAACGACAACGCTTGCAAATTTAGGGAAATTGGTAGATTCGGACAGCACGTAGTTCACGGCAATTTCTGATCAAATCACATAGCAAGAAAGTGCTAGAATGTGAATCAAAAAATAAACAAAAATGGGATTTAAAAAATGCCAAGAAAAAATCAACAAGACATATCAAGACAACGCATACAAAAGATGTGCGCATATCATACAAAAGCTGTGACAGCAAGTCTGTGAAGGCAATCCCTACATCTCGTTGGTAGTATTGGCCAAACTACAGATATTGACCATGCACCACCGATGGTCAGTGAAAACAACGGGAATTTACACCCCTGTTCTACCGTTCTTTTGAGCGAATAATTTTTCAAAGACAAGAAACCTGTCTGATCTTGGTATTCGCCCATTCCACAGCGTTTGCACGAAATGCTGCCGTTCTCATCTTGGTACTCTCCTGCCTTGCAAGGTATGCACTCAACCGACGCGCCTGAAGCTTGTATAGAGCCTGCTGGGCAGGGCTCGCATACAAAGGTAATCCCTGCGCCGTCAACCAATTTGGAGGAGAATGTGCCTGCAGGGACATTGTCCGCGTTGAAAAACGGAAACCTAGCTCCCGATTCCACTAAATCATCACACAAATAATGCCAGCACAAAACTTAGCAGCTAGCATAAGGCACGTTCTGTTCGGCGGGTTCAACCGCGTCAAGGTATTCAAAGGAAATCCAGAAATATAATTTCCTCCAAATGCGCCAACATTTCCATAAAAACAAGATGCAACCCACGAACCTGAACGCAGTCACGTAAAACACTATTGTGAAACAAGTTATTTGAACAGTTTTGCGCACGATTCCCATGTTACCGTACTAGTGCACTGTAGACACTGTGGAATGTGGAAGGGAGTGAAGTGCAAAGTGTGGAGCGTGAAGAAAGTGGAATGTTGAGTGGGGAATGTTGTGTGTAGAGTGTGAAGTGGGGATTGTGGAGTGTGGAGTGTAAAGTGTAAAGTGTGGAGTGTAAAATGTGAAGTGTGGAGTGTAAGGTGTAAAGTTTAGAATGTCAGACATGTAAGAAGCACTCACCTCTGGAAGTTCTCAAGGCACAAGTTTTCAGCAAAACAGCGTTGCAACGCGAAACGCTTTTTTTCAAAAGAGAACGCCGTTTAGGTGAGAGGCTCCCAGACCTTGTGAGTCTGGTATGGCGGTTAAGCGCCCACTCCCTGCTGAGCCTCTGTGCTGCATGCACGGAGCATTAAAAGCAACACAGTGCACCAGGTAAGAACAGGTACTGCTAAGCATATTTTGGCCACTGTCGTGAAGATCAAGGACAGCAGCGTAGCTAAACAAAACGCTGCACAGGTGCAGCATACTGCAAAAGTGTAACATAGCTGCAGCGGTCTTTGAGTATCAATGTGTACTATGACTTCAAAAGAATCAGTGGGCGGGTGGAAGAACTGGAAAAAGGTCAATCCAAGAGGATTGAACACTGAAATTGGAACCCAGCTAAAGGCCATACATCCGTATAAACTGCTTGTGACAGCAAGAAAGCAGGCCATCCACCAGCTGACGGGTTGTCTACATCCCAGCCATTCCAACCCAAGAACCCACAGGTCTGCTTGGAAAGCAAACGGTATCAAAAGCATCAAAGCACACACTTCCAAAATCTCAAAGACCTTGAGGAGTAATGGCCCCAAAACTGTTGAGTGGGAGCCGCATAGAGTTCGCATCAGGCTCTGAGTGTGAGTATGTTGCATGGCTCAGGCCTAGGCAATCTAGATCCAGAGCCAAACACGGAACGAATGCTCAAAAGCTACTCACTTCCCCAGCATGTAGGCCACAAGCCGCTCAATGATCTCATGCTTGCTGCCACTCTTCTGGACCAGGTTCTTCTCGGCCAATTTTAGGATATCTTCCTTCTTGGCAATGTGGGCGAGCTCCGTTTTCCATTCATCACTTTCAAGATGTTCTGCTGACAACTTTCCTTCTACCTTCAGCTCCTTTGCGAGCTCAAGGCGGCGGTCTTTGGAAAGGTCGTTCTTCTTTGCTTCATCTTGAGCTGGGCTGGAGGTCAACGGCGCCAACTTTCTTGGTTGCGCGGCACTCTTGCCTTTTTTCTCATCTTTTGTCTTCTTGTCTTTTCGCTCTTTTTTGTCACTTCTCTTTTTTTCTTTTCTTTTCTTGGCATGTGCCCACATTGAGCTATCCGAGGAACTGGTTGAGGAAGTGGAGCGTGTCTTCTTCCTTTTTCTACTCTTGGCTTTTCTCTCTTCCGAATCTGATCCTCCTGTAGTCTTTTTCATGATTCTGCCCGCAATCCACTTGAGCATTTCGAAAGGGGGGGTCTTGTCCTGTGAGCCACTGGAGGCTACACTTGTAGATCCACTGGCTGTGGGGCTAAGACCAAACATTCTCATGACCGTGTCCTTTGTCTGCTTCTGGACTTCGCTGGCTTGCCGTTCTTCTGCTCTGCGTCTTTGCTCTTCTCTGACGAAATCCACAACTTCGCGTGACAAAGCAGGTTCTGAGTGCTGATTTGGTCTTCCGCGGTCACTCCAGTTTCGCCAGCCTGGCTGGCCTCCATGTGGGGGGCGCCATTGCTTTGACATGTCACTATGTACGGCGTTCTCAACAGGAGAAGCAACAATTTCACGAATCAAGACTTCGGGACCAAAAACATCATGTATTTTGCAACGCCGCAGCTGTCTACCAATGCCCCTACAAGCAGAGATGAGCGGCGAAACATGTCTACGTGGCAGTGAGCAGAGAGCTTTCCTGATGAATTTTTCAGGCCACTGGAGCTTCACAATTTCAAGCAAGAGAACGCCAACGTAAACAAACATGTTGTCATAATCCCCTTGCACAAGATGATTGTAGGCAAGGATTTTCGCATGCAAGAACTTCTGCAAGTCAGCATATTCATGAAAAGGTTGCCCCAAAAATGGCCCAAGTCTGGCCACCTTCTGTTCCGAAGAAAAACCTAAAGCAAACGAAGTGTTCGGGTTGTACGGCCGGATATGGACAGTCAAACCAATGATGTGAATGTGACTGTGCAGCATCCGAACCGTTGGACCAATTTCTTCCAGAGAAATACCAACATCTTGGGGCCACAATCTTTTCATACCTTGTTCCAAGCAACCCGGACAGAAAATTCGACTGAAAACCACGGCATCATCAACATGCATGAGACCACTGACAAGATCATGTAATTTCCAACCCTTGAAATTCCATCCAACCTCGACCAATTTACCAGAATTTTCATCCAAAAGGCGGATCTCTTCACTCAAATCAACAAGAGTACCAGGTTCACTGAAAGATCCGCCCATTGGCCATCCGCCTTTTCGCTTCATGACAAGGGACCCGACAGTAAAATAACGATCATGATAAATAAAGCTCAAAGTGTCTCTTATCACGGAAAAGGGAACCACCTGTGCAGACTGATCCGAAGCCCTGATGCTTTTACACAAAAACCCAGCACATCTCGCAGATTTACGAACGGCAACAGCGTCATAACCTTGTTGTTCGACTCTAGTCAGCAAAGATCTAACTCTTTCAAGCCCTCGTTCCAGAGATGCAGCTTTGAAAAACTGCGCAGCGTCAATCTTGATAAGGCTGAGTTCGTTGCCTTTCTTTTTTCCACAAGGACAAACAATTTTACAGTCAGCATGCCCTTTTAAATGAGCCACTCTTTCTTTGAGAACAGGTTTCAACTGGCTTTGCCTCCAAAGTGTCCAAGTGCGTTCCCCACTCAACATCTTAATCAATCTGACAGCCCTAGCCACCAAACGTAAATGCTTCTTACAAGGGTTGTGAAAATCAGAAACAATTTCACGTTCATGTGCGTGGTCTTTAGTGCAAGACAAGCCGCCCGAGGGTGCCAGGCATTTTCCTTTGTAATTGTGGTACGCATATTGACAAGTACCAGCATCAAAGCGTTTTCTGCTGGCAACTTTTGACGGCAGAAACTTCTTACCAATATGCTCCCTCAGGAGTGCCAGGTCTTCTTTTCCAACCCTCTTTTTCAAAACGAAAAAACGATCGTCGTGAACATATCCTTGGTGCAAGCGGTGAAGGAAACCAAGTCTGTCCATCAAGACACGTCTTTTTGGATCTTTGTCAACAGGGACTGCAAGCATGCTGCCGACATGATCACGAACATAAGCTTCAAGAAAAGACTGGTTCTCATCAACATGAATATAAGAGGTTTCACTCACAAGGGTCCCAATATGAACATTCAAATGCCCAAGCTTATACAAATTCAACATGCGATGCAACTGGTTAAAAACAATCTCTTTCATTTTCCAGTCGCTGTGTTCCAAAGGAATGTCCCAATACAAACCACTCTTCAGAACATCATGTCGCAAGTCAAACATACTCGCTTGTTTTTTGTCAACGCCATCAAGCTCACTAGCATCATGACATCTTGCAACCTGAATGCATGACGGGACAAGTTGAGAGAGCGTGGGGCATTTACCACGGACAACTTTGATTTTCTTTGCAAGCAACATGCTCCACCAAGGAGATTGCTGTCTCACCCTGGACAAAATGTCATGAACATGGTGCTTAACAATGGCAAGCGTGCTCAAATTCCGGGTAGGCACCTTCACAGTAAAAGACCTGCAACTGGTCAAGGGAGAAGTGTTCATCAAGAAGCGTTCAATTTTCGACTGCGTACGCGCGGCATGTTCACGGTCGAATTCGCACGCAAAAACCCAAGCACCAGTAGCAACTGCACGCGCTTTTCCTGTGTCCCAAATTTTTTGGTAGTCAAGGCGGGTGTTTCTTTGCGCGAGAAAGAGAGCAAGCCAACTAACATGTTCAGGTGTATACATCATGCAAGCAACATCACTGCGCGATCTTCCAAACACAGATTCCTGCCACCTACAGAGACCATCAAAATCAGTGACCCAATCAGGGATTCCTGGGAGACCTTTGCAAACGACCACTCGACGCCTACTGCGAACTTCACACAGCTCATGTGCCACATTCAAACGAGTTTCATGCTCGACTGTGGGAGATGACCTTAAGCGTGGCCACGGCCTTTGACGGCATGGTTTGAAGGAAGCAGCCCTAACACGGTCTTGGATTGGGGCTTGCAAATGATGAATCAAGAACCGTTCATATGCCAGAATGCTTTTCTCATCATGCCAAGCAGAAACAACCATGAAAAGCTCTTCCGGACGTGCGTTTTTCCAGACTCGATACCTCTTGACGGTGAAGGCGGCCTGTTCAGCTTTGAAAGTGGCAGCAACATGTTCTTTGAAACGTGCAACAACCCCCATGTGATCAGAAGTTTTTCTGCGAACGTTAGCTTTTCCAACATAGAAAACTTTCTGCTGACTGGCCCAAACAAAATATTGAGCACAGGGTTCAGGAACCTGACCCCAAATCATCAAGAAAACCTGTTTCATGTACATGCGCCAATTATTTTCAAGAGGGTTTTTCTCCAAACATGCTCGCTGAACCCCACGCGGATACGCTCTCAACATCACGCGAAGGGAGCTTCTCTTCCAAGCAAAATGCCACAACTCATGCAAGCCAAGAACATGCGACAACGTACAAGCCAACTTCCACAAACAGCAAGAAGCTTTGAACTTTTTCATTGGCACATGCAGCAAGAGTTCCATGATGACCCCATACATGTGTTTCACAAGCTTCCATTCCTTTTTGTTCCCATGCCCGGGAAACCCTTTTAAAGCCCAACCGGAGGAAGCTTTTGCAACTTGTTGACAACGTTCTTCAAAGCCAAGTTTACGCACATCAAGCGACAAGCTACGGTTGAATTGGGCAATTACTTCATGTGGTGGGACATTTTTCAAGCTTTCCACAAGCATGTCACGTGTGCAAAAATTAGCATCACATACATCGTGCAAGTTCATTATGCATTTTTGCGGCAAAATCTCTTCAAGCACAACAAGCCAAAACATGAAAGCAGCAAACATGGATTGCCAACGACAAGACGACAGTCAAGGATAAGGTGTGTTTTAGTTACCGCTGGCGCCTCAGAATCAAATCAAGGTACAACCAGCGTAGTCAAATGTCAGACATGTAAGAAGCACTCACCTCTGGAAGTTCTCAAGGCACAAGTTTTCAGCAAAACAGCGTTGCAACGCGAAACGCTTTTTTTCAAAAGAGAACGCCGTTTAGGTGAGAGGCTCCCAGACCTTGTGAGTCTGGTATGGCGGTTAAGCGCCCACTCCCTGCTGAGCCTCTGTGCTGCATGCACGGAGCATTAAAAGCAACACAGCGCACCAGGTAAGAACAGGTACTGCTAAGCATATTTTGGCCACTGTCGTGAAGATCAAGGACAGCAGCGTAGCTAAACAAAACGCTGCACAGGTGCAGCATACTGCAAAAGTGTAACATAGCTGCAGCGGTCTTTGAGTATCAATGTGTACTATGACTTCAAAAGAATCAGTGGGCGGGTGGAAGAACTGGAAAAAGGTCAATCCAAGAGGATTGAACACTGAAATTGGAATTGTAAAGTGTAGATTGTAAAGTGTAGAATGTAAAGTGTAGATTGTAAGTTGTGGAGTGTAAAGTGTAAAGTGCGGAGTGTAGAGTGCGGGGTGTAAAGTGTTGAGTGTAAAGTGTAAAGTGTACAGCGTAGAATGTAAAGTATACAATGTGAAGTGTGGAGTGTAAAGTTTAGTAGAGTGTGGTGTGTCGGTGCAGAGTGCGGAGTGTAAAGTGTAAAGTGTCCGAAAAACTGCGCCTGCCATGCAAAATGATATTCACACACGATGGATCTGCACCAAATATTGCCCCTGCCACGCAAAATGACACTCTCGCGCTGTCCCACACCTGCCACGCGTTTGCACGTTGTCACCACTTGACGCAGCCCTGACAATGCAATTCGCAAAAACATGCAACACGACACGTCTAAAGTTCTGCGCGTGCCACGCAACATGAACATGGACACATCCAAAGTGCTGCACCGAAAAATGATAATCATCCTCTGAAACTGACGCAAAAAGACCGCGCCTGCCAGGCATGCCACACAAAAAGACTTTCGACACGTTATGAAACATGTTGGAATGTCACGAAGTGCCACATCTGCACGCGAAACGAGGCTATGCAAGGTTTGAAACTTCCAAAAGTGAGAACTTTTGCAGAACTCGCCATAGGCACGGCCATACAGCCCTCACGCGGACGGTTGCGGACGATTGCGAACGGTTGCGAACGGTTGCGCAGCGTGTGGCGCACACAGCCTCAACCCCCAAACCCCCAGTGAAACGGGAACCCTTGAAACAGGAACCCTTGCTACGCATTCGAAAAAAACATCGAGAACAACAATACCAAAAAAAAGAATCGAACAGCGCGGACCAGTAAGGATTGGCGCAGCACTAGAGAGCAGGATGCAAGGCACACTGTGCCGTTTTACCTACAGTACCCTCCAAGAAAATCGAAAAGTAAATGCCGCCCAAAATCGTGGTAAATGATTTCTATATTTTTTTCGATAATTTTCCCATGTTTGGTGTATGTCTGGGGTCCCTTGGGTCGTTGTACTGTGGTCCGCCTGGCCTGATGGGCAAGGACTGCAAGCCAAACTGACGGGATTTCGCCGGTCCTTCCTGGCGGAGCTGTGGCATGCCATGGTCACTTGATGTCACTTGTTATATGTCTTCACCTTGGCTTGGGGCCTCTCGTCATCCTTGCCATAGCTGCCATAGCTATATAAAAATGAAATATCTCTTCAGTGGGTTGTTGAATATCCCCTATTCAGAAAGGCTTGGCCCAGCATGGTTTTTATGCCAACTTGCTTCTCCCCAAATTTCGGCCACAAGCCCAGCGACACGAAGCTGTTGCTGGGTGGATGATAGAGACCAAAGCCGCTAAAGCACTTGGTGGGATCGGGCAGCCAAGGTTTCCACACATCCTCGTGCCCTTGAAGCCAGCGACATGCCACAGCCCGACTGCTGTCACCTCCACAGACCCCAAAGTTCTGCAAGTGGGGAAACCCCGTGGTGTTTCAAGGGCTACCCCAGTGTTGAACTAGACGACGGATGAGCAAGTTACTCAGGCGTAAGGAAAAACACAATGTCGTAAGTATGTAAGAAGTATGCGGTGTAAGTATGAGGCAAGGTGTCAAAACTTTAAGATGAAAGCTGAAGAGAGGCATTGAAACATTTGTACTGAGACAGAACAGCAGCAAGAAGATAAAAAATTGCAAGGGCGATGCTGTACGAAGGAGAAAGGGTGGTAGGAAGAGGGTGAGGGGAGGAAAGAAAAGATGGAGAAGATGCAAGATGTGAAGATGTAACACAGACGTTTTTACACACAGACACCTTCTACACACAGACACCTTTTACACACAGAAACTTTTGCACACAGATGTTTTTACACCGACACTTTTACACGCACACGGTTTTCTTTACATGGAGATTTTTTACACACAGACGCATTTACACACAGACGCTTTCACACAAATACGCTTTTACACACACACCTTTCTTTACACAGAGACGCTTTACACACAAACGCTATACACATAGACGCATTTACACACAAACGCCGTTACACACAGAACGCCACCTACCTCATCTTAAAAACACCTTCGCGGCTCAACCTTTTTGTGTAGATTTTACTGCAAATTTGCTGTGAAAACGTCCTCCACCTCATCATCATACCACCTGCGGGGTTCAACATTTTTTGCACATTACACTACAAATATGCAAAGAAATTGTTTTTCCACACGGAGGTTTTTTACACAGACGCCTTTACATACAAACACTTTCACACACAGAGGCTTTTACACGCAGACACTTTTACACACACACACAAGCCTTTGCACACAGACGCTTTTACACATAGACGCTTTTAACACATTGCCGCTTTTAGCCACAATTTGACGCACAGATGCTTTGACACAACAAAGTTTGCACAGAGAGGGAACGAAAATCCAAGAACACACAACAAAACACACAACAAAACCGCATAGTATGTCGCCGCGGGGCCACAAAAATCGTTGTTTTACCACAATTTTTGTCGCTAGAACCTTTCTGGTCCAAAATTTGCTCCAAAACTTAAAATTCGGCGCCAAAGCTGAAAAAAGTACGATTCTGAAACTGTATAAAAGGAATTTTAAAAGGAAAATGGAAAGTGCCAAAAACGGGAAAATCATCAAAACCTGCTACAAAACCAGATTTATTTCGGTGCCAAAGCTGGAAAAAAAGTGTGATCTTGAAGTTTTTTGAAAAGAAATTTGGAAAGGAAAATGGAAAGCGCCAAAAACGGAAAAAAACATCCAAAACCTGCTCCAAAACCGGGCGTCGGCGCCAAAGCAGAAAAAATTAAAGGACCGGATAACCACACAAGTCAACTTCTTCCAATAATGAGTTTCAAAGGTTGTAGCGGGGTCGGAGAAGGAAGGAAAGACAAAGGAGGTGGTGAAAGACTGTGTGTGAAAGTATGTGAAAAGATAGTATGCATGTACGTATGTATGTATATATATATATATGTATGTACGTACGTACGTACGTACGTATGTATGTCTGTATGTACATACGTACGTATGTATGTATGTATGTATGTATGTATGAATGTATGTATGTGTATGTGTGTGACAAAGTTGCGCGTCTGGTGGTGTTTCTTCCACTAGATAGTGACTTGTCACTGAAGGCCAGAAAAGAAACAAGATATGCTTACCACGGAAATTCTTTGTGGGATCCAAGGGTGTGTGCTGAACACTAGGTCTCACGACGTGTCTCACTCGCCTTCTTCGAGTTCCACCAGGCTCTGATGGTTTTTTCCCCGACGTTGCTTCCCGAAAGAGCTTTTATGGCAGAGCCCTCTATCAAAGCGATGGTGTGCTCTCCATACTTCCGCTGACCAAAGTAATGTTCTGCACTCTTTCGGGCGAAGCCGCAAATTTTGCGAACTCTTTCTGCATGCCCTGTGGCTGGTAATCATACCTGGTAAATAGTCATGATCAACTGCTGGCGTCATGGACGTGAGATTGTGCCCACCGCGTGCCACGTGAAATCAAGGTGTATAATATGTCACCAAGTGCCATCAGTGAGGCGCCTGCCACGCAAAACGACCTTGCATGTAATCAAGGTGGACGTCACCAAGTGCCACGCCTGCCACGCAAAGTGCCGCGGCGTCACAGGCGACAAATCCGGACCAAGCGCGCCACCCAGTACCATGAGTGCCACGCCTGCCACGCAAAACGACGGTGGATGCGAGTTTTGTGCCACGCGTGCCACGTGAAACGAGGGTGGATGTCACCAAGTGCCACGCCTGCCACGCAAAGTGCCGCGGCGTCACAGGCGACAAATCCGGACCAAGCGCGCCACCCAGTACCATGAGTGCCACGCCTGCCACGCAAAACGACGGTGGATGCGAGTTTTGTGCCACGCCTGCCACGTGAAACGAGGGTGGATGTCACCAAGTGCCACGCCTGCCACGCAAAGTGCCGCGGCGTCACAGGCGACAAATCCGGACCAAGCGCGCCACCCAGTACCATGAGTGCCCCGCCTGCCACGCAAAACGACGGTGGATGCGAGTTTTGTGCCACGCCTGCCGCGTGAAACGAAGGTGGATGTCACCAAGTGCCACGCCTGCCACGCAAAGTGCCGCGGCGTCACAGTCCGACAAAATCCGGACCAAGCGCGCCACCCAGTACCATGAGTGCCACGCCTGCCACGCAAAACGACGGTGGATGCGAGTTTGTGCCACGCCTGCCACGTGAAACGAAGGTGGATGGCACCAAGTGCCAAGCCTGCCACGCAAAGTGCCGCGGCGTCACAGGCGACAAATCCGGACCAAGCGCGCCACCCAGTACCATGAGTGCCACGCCTGCCACGCAAAACGACGGTGGATGCGAGTTTTGTGCCACGCCTGCCACGTGAAACGAGGGTGGATGTCACCAAGTGCCACGCCTGCCACGCACGCAAACAAATCCGGACCAAGCGCGCCACCAGTACCATGAGTGCCACGCCTGCCACGCAAAACGACGGTGGATGCGAGTTTTGTGCCACGCCTGCCACGTGAAACGAAGGTGGATGTCACCAAGTGCCACGCCTGCCACGCAAAGTGCCGCGGCGTCACAGGCGACAAATCCGGACCAAGCGGCCACCCAGTACCATGAGTGCCACGCTGCCACGCAAAACGACGGTGGATGCGAGTTTGTGCCACGCCTGCGTGAAACGAGGTGATGTCACCAGTTCCACGCTGCCACGCAAGTGCCGCGCGTCACAGGCGACAAATCCGGACCAGCGCGCCCCCCAGTACCATTAGTGCCACGCCTGCCACGCAAAACGACGGTGGATGCGAGTTTTGTGCCACGCCTGCCACGTGAAACGAGGGTGGATGTCACCAAGTGCCACGCCTGCCACGCAAAGTGCCGCGGCGTCACAGGCGACAAATCCGGACCAAGCGCGCCACCCAGTACCATGAGTGCCACGCCTGCCACGCAAAACGACGGTGGATGCGAGTTTTGTGCGCCTGCCACGTGAAACGAAGGTGGATGTCACCAAGTGCCACGCCTGCCACGCAAAGTGCCGCGGCGTCACAGGCGACAAATCCGGACCAAGCGCGCCACCCAGTACCATGAGTGCCACGCCTGCCACGCAAAACGACGGTGGATGCGAGTTTTGTGCCACGCCTGCCACGTGAAACGAGGGTGGATGTCACCAAGTGCCACGCCTGCCACGCAAAGTGCCGCGGCGTCACAGGCGACAAATCCGGACCAAGCGCGCCACCCAGTACCATGAGTGCCACGCCTGCCACGCAAAACGACGGTGGATGCGAGTTTGTGCCACGCCTGCCACGTGAAACGAAGGCGGATGTCACCAAGTGCCACGCCTGCCACGCAAAGTGCCGCGGCGTCACAGGCGACAAATCCGGACCAAGCGCGCCACCCAGTACCATGAGTGCCACGCCTGCCACGCAAAACGACGGTGGATGCGAGTTTGTGCCACGCCTGCCACGTGAAACGAGGTGGAGTGCCACGCCTCACACAAGTGCCGCGGTCACCAAGTGCGCCAAGTGCCAGTGCCACGCCTGTGTACCACGCCTGCCACGCAAACGCCTGCCACGCAAAACGGTGTGTGTGTGTGAAGTGATTGTCTGTTAAGTTTGCGTATGTTAAGTTTGTGTGTGTGTGAAGTTTGTGTGTGTTAAGTTTGTGTATGTGAAATTATTGTATATTAAGTTTGTGTGTGTGAAGTTATTGTCTGTTAAGTTTGTGTGTGTTAAGTTTGTGTGTGTGAAGTTATTGTCTGTTAAGTTTGTGTGTGTGTGAAGTTTGTGTGTGTTAAGTTTGTGTATGTGAAATTATTGTATATTAAGTTTGTGTGTGTGAAGTTATTGTCTGTTAAGTTTGTGTGTGTTAAGTTTGTGTGTGTGAAGTTATTGTCTGTTAAGTTTGTGTGTGTGAAGTTTGTGTGTGTTAAGTTTGTGTATGTTAAGTTTGTGTGTGTGAAGTTATTGTCTGTTAAGTTTGTGTGTGTGTTAAGTTTGTGTGTGTGAAATTATTGTATGTTAAGTTTGTGTGTGTTGTGTTACGGAGGCGGCGGGAGGAGGAGGAGAAGCCCGGGATACAGAATCAAAAACAAGAACCCCACACAAAGATGTGGGGAAATATTATTTTGAAGTTTGTTTAAAAGGAATTTGAAAAGGACAATGGAAGGTGACAAAATCGGAAAAAAACACCCAAACCTTTTTTACACAGACGGTTTAACTTTTCCCGAGAAAGTCTGAGCGAAGGGTTCTTCTAAAAGTGGAGGCATGCTATACATCTTCACATGCTCAAGCCTTCACATCCTCACATGTTCACATACTCACATATTCACAAACTCACACCTTCACATCTTCTTACCTTCACACACACTCACATCTTCACATCTTTTGATCTTCACATCTTCACGTCCTCACATCTGCACCCTTCACACATCTTCTCTCTCTCTCTCTTTCTCTCTCGCTCTTCACCTTCACATATCAGTTTTTGACACTCGAACCTCATTTCGTGCGAAAAGGTTGCCGCGGAGGATGTAAAATCGCGGCAACGCTTTCGTACAAAATGAGGTTCGAGTGTCAAAAACTGATTGTTTTTTGCGACTTTGGTTGGTCCGGTGGTAACGCTTCCGCCTTGTGTGTAGCAGCGTTTGTGTGTAAAAGTGCTTGTGTGTATAGAACCGTTTGTGTGTAAAAGCGTTTTTGTGTCAAAGCGTTTGTGTGTCAAAGCGTTTGTGTGTAAAGCGTCTCTGCGCAAAGGGTTTGTGTGCAGAAGCGTTGGTGTGTAAAAGCGTTTGTGTGTAGAAGCGATTGTATGTAATTGTTTGCGACATGGTTTGTGTGTAAACGTGTTTGTGTGTGTGAAGGGGGTTTTGTGTGTGTGTGTGTCAAAGGGTCTGTGTGTAAAAGCGTCTGTGTGTGAGAGTGCTTGTGTGTAAAAGTGTTTGCGTGCGAAAGGGTCTGTGTGTAAAAGCGTCTGTGTGTAAAAGTGTTTGTGTGTAAAAGGGGGTTGTGCGTAAAGGTGCGTATAAAACGGTTTATGTGTAAAGGAGCCTGTGTGTCAAAAAGCCTTTGTGTCCAAAAGGGCTTTATGTGTAAAAGCGTCTCTGTGTGTAAAAGTGTTTGTGTGTATAACGTCTGTATGTAAAATGTGGTACAATCTTTGTGTAAAAGCACAGTTGTGTGTGAGGCATGTTTGTATGCATGAGCATGCTCGTATGTAAAAATGTCCGTCTTAATTCTTCTTCCTGTGTCTCCTTCGTTCCATCTTTCTATTATGTCTCCTTCAATTTCTTCGCATGCACCTACTTTTCACAACATGTCTGCACCATGTCTCTTCATTTTAGGCATCATCGTGAATTTCTATATTTATGTTTCATGCTATAAGGCCTTCATACTTACACCTCTCACTACGCTCCTCTACGCTCTCGGGCCATCCGTCGTCTAGTTACAAAGACAGGTCTTTACACGTCACACAGAAGCCTCTACACACAGACGCTTTTGCACAGAGGCTTTACACACAGACATTTTTACACACAGAGATCTTTAATCGACACAAAACAAATACACACAGAAGCCTCACAGACGCTTTTACACACAGATGTTTTTACACACATACGCTTTTACACACAGACGTTGTAACACACAAACGCTTTTACACACAGATGCATTTACACACAGAAGCCTTTTCACACAGATCCTTTTACACACAGATGCATTTACACACAGAAGCCTTTTCACACAGATCCTTTTACACACAGACGCTTTTACACAGAGAGGCTCTTACACACAGACGCTTTAACACACAGGCGCCTTTACACGCAGATGCCTTTACACACAGGCTCCTGTACACACGGACGCTTTTAAACAGACGCTTTTACGCACAGACGCTTTTGCACACAGACGCTTTCACACACAGATGCTTTTACACACAGACGCTTTTCACACAGCACTTTTACACGCAGACACCTTCTGACACACACACACACTTTTGCTCAGAACTGTCTTATCGACTTGTTATGTGGAATGCATCGGTCGTGCAAAAAACACCGCTTTTATCCTGATCAGAATGGATGAAAGCTGGGATATGGCCAAACACGACGGTCGAAGAAAGTCCATTTTATAAATGGGTAGCGATCCGTTCACGGCAGTCTCAGATTGCGCCAACTGTGCAGATATAAAAAAACCAAGCCCGTTGAGGAGTTACCATCGCCATAGCCAGCGATATTGCCAAATCCAATCGTGTAAGATATGAAACAAAGAATCGACATGCCGGTTCTTGGCTTAGCCGGTCGCCATCGACGAGAAATTGGGAAATTGGTGCCGGTACGCAGATTAGCGTCCCAATCTGTATCACCAGATCAAATGGGCGTCTTCGTTGGTAGCGGTCCCAAGTGATCTGCCGCTACGTCCTGCAACTAAAAAGACATCAAGGTACAAGTTTTACATCTACTGAGTGTTTCACACACACACACTAGACAAGAACTCGATCATTGAAGTGATCCGATGGGAACTTAATCCCTATAACCAACCATGCAACAAGATTCTTGAGGCAAGGTGGACCTCCGAGGAATAAAATAGAATACCCAGGAAATAAAATCGATCATCTTGACGAAGACAAAGTCAAAGTTCCTATAGTAAGAAATAACCGGTTATAAATTCCATGTGCCACATTGTGCCACCAAACATCTCGACGAGGACTATGGCAAGGTTCCAAAAACACAGAGTGGTAATATGTCCAAATGCTATGCAGACATAGGTTGGCATGATGCCGAAGAAAATCTCAGATTGCGACAACAGTACACACTCTGTTCAGGGGTTCTCGGCTTAGCCCTGTGCCATGTCAGCGCCAATGAAATAATCGGATTGCAGGTACGTCCAGCTGGCCAAGCTGAATATCCCCATTTCACTGGTAGCTTCGTTGGACACAGTCCCAGTGAAATGCTGCGTTTCCTGCAGAAAATTCACTCGAGTAGAAGTTATTTCACATACACACACGCACTTTTACACACAGACGGTTTGCCCACATACATTTTACACACAGATGCTTTTACACACAGACGCTTTTAGTCACAGGCGCGTCTGCACACAGACGCTCTTACACACAAGCACCTTTACACAGAGTTGCTTTTACACACAGATGCCTTTACACACAGGCTCCTTTACACACAGAGGCTTTTACACACAGACGATTTTACACACATATGCATTTACACACACACACACTTTTACACACAGACGCTTTTACACACAGACGCTATTACACACAAACGCTTTTACCCACAGACGCTTTTACACACAGGCGCTTTTACACACAGACACTTTTACACACAAACGCATTTACACGAACAAATGTCGCATTATGCTCGGGAACCCGCTTCGAGACTTGGCCCGCCGCAGCATGATAACATATAATCACATGTTCATTACATTTCTACTATCAAAATGTCGTATTGTGCTTGGGAACCCGCTTCGGGTCAGGTCGCAGCATAATAACACATTTTCATCAAATTTCTACCAGCATGTCGTATTAAACTATGCTTGGGAACCGGCCGCGGTACAACTCAAAATCGCATTTTTTCTCCAGCTTTTGACGATCGGACCTCATTTCGTGCGTAACTGTCGCATTTTTGTGATCGCTCCTGCACCGCCCTGCCTTAAGAGAGAAGAGAGAGAAGGAAGAGAGAGAGAGAGAGAGACAGAGACAGAGAGAGACAGAGAGAGACAGAGAGAGACAGAGAGACAGAGAGGGAGCGCAAGATCAGCAAAAGATCTGAAGATGTAAGATCAGCTGCCATAAGATGTGAAGATGTAAGATCAGCAGATGTGAGATGTGAAGATGTATCATCTCAGCTTCTTTTTTAGCAGAACCCTACGCTCAGGCGCTCTCGGGAAAAAAACAATTGTTGGGTCAGGTCTTACACTACGGATGTCCGGGCTCAGTGGTTCACCCAGATTACTGAAGTTTATTCCCATGGTTCCCCACATCCAAGATTCCTGCATCCCGCACCAGTAGAGACACATCCTCCACAGCCCGGATTGAACCTGTTTTTTTCTGATCTCGAAGCATATCATTCACTGTTTCCAAGTCCATGACCATGTCCCGAACCAACTGATGCGCTTCCGGGGCCAAAGTTTGAAGGTCCTGGGGGCATTGCGTTGAAACACGTCGGACGCAGTTTCATAGAAATCCCAATTATTCTTGTGGTAAACTCAATAATGGACTAAGTGGACCCTCTTTTCCGGGTTATGGTTTGCGAATGCCCCAAATGTTAGTGTAAGTGAGGTATGGTCTATTGTTGGGTTTCCCACATTGCAGTCACTGTATACACTCTGATAAATGCCATGGAATCACATAGCTCGATGGTTTTCCAATGTATAGATGCCCACGGCTAGCCATGGAGCTGATGACACCGGACGGTATATTCCTGTTGTTACCCCAATCATTATCCCACTATCAACCCTATTCAACCAAGTTAAACCATGTAAAACTAACATTGTTACTGCTGTTATCTCAAGTATATTCCCAATGATATCCCATATTATCACCATTGTACCTAAAATTTCGTAAAACTCCTTCGAAGTGTTCCTTCGAAGTGCGACTGCCAATCATCACTTTCATGTTTCCCTTCTTCATCATCATCTTCATCATCATTATCAACAACAACATGATCACCACCTTCGAAGTAAAGACCCAGGTGTATAGATTTTTATAGGAGAAGACACATGTTCATCGACAACTGTATATCTGCAGGTGTACAGATGCAGGTGTACGCAAGTATGCATCTACAACCGCATATTTGCAGTTGTATAGACGATACGGATGGGAATCTACAAGTGCGTATAACATACATTATAGACGCAGGTGTGCAAAGGTATTTCCTAGAGTGCACCTATGTATCCGCAGTTTAAAGTGTTCCATTCCTAGGCGGCACCGCAATGCGAGTCGATCCTGGCGAAACACATCCCTCTCGCGCGAAACGCCTGTCAATCGTCAAACACTGAAGTATAAGATTGCAATTCAGTGGGCGCGCCCTTCCCGTACGAAACACGCGTCGATCAGCAAAAACTGAGGTCAAAATGCGATGCGGCCGGTGCGCAATGAACTTTTCTCGCAAGAAACACGTGTTGATCGCGAAAAAAACTGGGGTGAAATTGCAATTCGGCCGGTGCGCTGTGAACGGTCCCCGCACGAAACGCTTGTTGATCACGAAAGATTGAAGTGAAATGGCAATTTGTTTCTGCTGAACTTGTGCCGAAAGAACCGTTCCCGGATGAAACGCGTGTCCATCGTCCAAAACCGACGTCAAAATGCGATGTTTTGTGGCCAATTTGTGTTGGGAGTTTCTGCGCGTAAAAGCGTGTATATATGTGTGTTTTTTCTGCGTGCATCTGTATGTAAAGGCGCCCGTGCGCAAAATCGGCCAAAAAAAAATACAATTTCTTTGATACCACCACAACACCACCGGACCACTGCCAAGACACCACAGAAACACCATGAAAACATGAACGAGACCCAAAACATCACCGAACACCTTCAAGACTTACGGACACACCGCCAAAGCGCCACCAAGACGCGAAACACAATTGAGAGACCACCGAGACAGCAGCAAGAGGACAGACACGATCAACCGTCAAGACAGACACCACCAATTCCCTAAAGGGTCTGCAAAGGGTTTTTCCCAAGAAGTTGCTGCCAGCATACTTTGCCAGAATCATTTCCCATCATCATCATCATCATCATCGTCATCATCATCACAACACCGTCAGTACAGACATCCACCAACATCAAAACATGCAAACGTGCCTGCTACTGTGTGTCAAAGTGTCTCTGTGAAAAATGCGTGCGTGTAAAGGAATCTCTGTGTAAAAGAATGCGTGCGTAAAGCAGTGTGTGTACTGTAGATGTATTAGCATGTAAACACATTTGTGTAAAAGAATCTCTGTGTAAAGGCACCTGTGTGAAAACCCGCCTGCGTCTAAAAATTTCTCTTAGCAAAACCATCTCTGCAAAAGTATTTGTATCTTAAAGCACCTGCGTGTACAAGCATCTCTGTGTTGAAAGTATCTCTGTGTAAGAGCACCTGTAAGTAGAAGCATCCCTTTGTAAAATCATCTCTCTGCGTCAAACCATCTCTGTGTGAAGACCACTCCCTGTGTAGATGCACGTGTATGTAAACGCACCTCTCTGTAAAAACATAACGGATGGAAACCTGATTCCCAAATGGTTTGAACCCTCCCCCAAATCGTGTTTCCAGCCTCACCCATGTAAGAGTACCTCTTTCCTAGATGCGTCCTGGTCTTTAAAAGCACTTGTGTGTAAAAACCTCCCTCCGTAAAAGTATCCGTGCAAAAATCCTTTTTGTAAAAGTATCTGTGTGTAAAAAAACGCCTTTGTACAAATGTGTGTCTATGTGAAAGCATCTCTGCGTAAAAGTATTTAAAGTAAATTCTTCTGCGTGTAAAGATTAATTTGTGTTAAAAGAAACCCTGTGTAAAAGCACGTGCGTGTAAAAGCATTCCTCTGTAAAAGCATCGCTGTGCAAAGGCACCTGTGTGTACAAGTACCCACGCGTCTGCGTGCAAAAGTTTTTTGCGTAAAAACATCCCTATGTAACAACACCTGTGCCTGAAGGTATTTGTGTGTAAAACCACCCCCGGGTAAAAGCATGTGTATGTGCAAATGTGTAAAAACATGTCTTTATGAAAGCGCCTCTGTGTGAAAGTATCTGCGTACAATCTTTTGCTCGTTTGCTTTTGGAATCTCTAGGCTGCGCAATATTTGCCGCAAAATTGCTGGGTATTTGCAGCATTTTGCAGCTAGCACCTGTACATTGCATGGTATGATGCAACATCAGTTCATTGCACGGAGCATTGCCATCGGACAATATCTTGCAGCAGTGCAAGCTAACATCAGCAAAATGCATGATATTTGCAAGATTTGGAATCATGTCTGAAAACTGTGCTTTGATGTTCACAGCGCTGTGAAACAAAAAATCTGCACACTGTTTAGAAGCCAAAAATCATCACTTGCACAGAATGTGCAACATACTGGCGCAAAATTTAGTGTACCGCGTAGTCTTTGCAGCATTTGCAACTATCACTGGTAAACCGCTTGGCACGCGCAGCATTTTGAAATTGACGTCGGTAAATTGGATGCTATTTTTACGACTTTCTGAAGCTCAAACCTATAAGTGATTGGCATTCGCAATATCTTGAAATTATCATTTGCAGATTGCAGATAATGGCATGGTGTTTGCAGCGTGTTGCGGCTAAAATCAGTAAACTGCACGGTCTTTGCCACATTTTGAAACCAACGTTTGCAAATTGTTTGGGACCTGCAACTCTTTGAAAGTAACATGTGTAAATGGGAAAGTGCACACAACATTTTGCAACTCGGCCTTTGTTTCTTTCTTCCTGCCGTCCTCCCTTCCTTCCTTCCTTCCCTTCCCTTCCCTTCCCTTCCCTTCCCTTCCCTCCTTCCCTCCCTCCCTCCCCCCTTCTTTCCCTTCATCCTGTCGGGATTATGTCCTTCTTTCCTTTTCTGTTGGTTTTCTATTCTAATTTGATAAATTTCCGCTAGGGCCTCGGTGCAAGTGTAGCATGCAACAAGTATGTCAACTCCTCTGGTGAGGTGAGCAGCCCACTGCCCTGGTTGCTGCATGGAATGAGGGAATGTTTGCAGTTGCTTCGGTAGAAGCATCATAGTCAGTATGTTGCTTGCTAACATACGTCAACATCCGTCCCTCCCCCCACTTCAACCCATACCTGCGAACGCAAGGTCGTCGTCATATTGTCATCGTCGTCTTCCTCATCATCGTCATCGATATCGATATAGATATCGATTTCGTCCTCGTCATCATCACCGTCATGGTCATCGATATCGATATAGATACCGATCTTGATATCGATATGGGTATCTATAATCATCATCACCCTCCTCCTCCTCCTCATCATCATCATCACCATCCCAATCATCATCGTCGTCATCATCATTGTCATCCTCATCATCATCAGCAGCAGCAGCAACATCATCATCAGCAGCAGCGTCATGATCATCATCGTCAACATCATCCTCCTCCTCATTATCATCGTCATCTTCAGCAATTGTGATGGTCAGCATGACAACAGCATGCAACTGTTGAAGACTACCTGATGCATGGCACAACCCACGGACCACCAACACAACCGCCCCGACACCACCAACAGCAAACAAAAACTTTTACACACAAAAGGTTTTATAGAGAAAACTTTTGACACACACACACACACCCACAAACAGGTTTTACAGATGCTTTTACACAAGTTCTTCTTCGCACAGATGCATTTACACGCATTTTTTTACGCACAGTTGCGGCTCAGTTGCTTTTGCATGCAGAAATTTTGACACACACACACACAGAAATTTGACAGACAGGTGCTTTTAGATGCAGAGGGTTTATACACAGAGGCTTTAACACACAGCAGCCTTGACACAATATGTTTTTGCGCACAAAATTGTTTAAACACGCGCGCGCACACACAGATGCTTTGACACACAGGTGCCTTTACACAGATGCCGAAACACACAAACACACATGGAATGCTTTTCCACCTTCAGACTCATATGCGCACAGGTTCCTGCACACAAACACTTATACACGCAGAGGTTCTACACAGACGTTCTTGTACACAGATGCTTTTACACACAGACGCTTTTACACGCAGTTGCTTTTACACACACACACAGTTGCCTCTGCACACAAATGCTTGACACACAGAATGTTCTACATACACCCTTTACACACAGAAATGCTTTACAACTTTACACACACAAACAAACTTTTACACAGAGTTAATTTATGTTAATTTTACACACAGAAACTTTTGCGCACAGATTCTCTTACACACAGATGTTTTTGCACAGAGATGCCTTTTCACACAGAGAACTCTACCTACAGAAGGTTTTTGTTTACACAGAAGCGTTCACACAGATTTTAACGCAGATGCTTCTACACACAGACAGCTTTGACACACACACACACAAAAGGCGCTTTTACACACAGGCGCTTAACACGCAGGTTCTATTACGCACAGGGGCTTTGACGCACAGGTGCCTTTACACACAGGTCGCTTTACAAAAAGAACCTTTCACAAACAAAAAATCACACACACACACACAGAAGTGTAAACTTTTGGACGCAAACACATTTTCGCGCAGGTGCTTTTACACGCAGAAGTCTTGACGCACAGGTGCCTTTAAACACATGTGCCTTTACACACAGGTGATCTGACAAACAGGTGCCTTTACACACAAAAACTTTTTCACACACGCAGAATTTTTAACACGGAAAGCTATTTTCCTCACAGGGGGGATGACGCACAAGTGCTTTTACACAGAGATTTTTCCCCAATAGCGGTAGCTTGGGGTTGTTAACTCTAAAGGCGGATGGGCGCCGTCGGGTTCCCGGCTGCCGGCCTGGGCGGTGTCTCGGTGGTGTCTCGGTGGTGTCTTGGTGGTGTCTCGGTGGGGTCCCGGTGGTTGTCTCGGTGGCATCTCGGTGGTGTCTCGGTGGTGTCTCGGTGGTGTCTCGTTGGTGTCTCGTTGGTGTCTCGTTGGTGTCTCGTTGGTGTCTCGGTGGTGTCTCGGTGGTGTCTCGGTGGTGTCTCGGTGGTGTTTCGGTGGCATGTCGGTGGTGTCTCGGTACGTGTCTTGGTGGAGGTCTCTGTGTCTCTGTTTCGGTGGGGTCTCGGTGGTGTCTTGGTGGTGTCTTGGTGGTGTCTCGTTGGTGAGTCTCGGTGGTGTCTCGGTGTTGTCTTGAAACTTGGTGGTTTCTCGGTGGTGCGTCGATGATTTCTCGTTGGTGTCTTGGTGGTGTTTCAGCAGGTTGCAATCTGATGCAAGGTGCTCACGGTGTCTTGGTCGTTTCTTGGTGAACGAAGCTATGCATGATGGCGGAAGCCAGGGCTAATCACCCTGGTGTACCTGCAGTCAACTAGTTGAACTGTTAATTTTGGTTTCTGTTCATGGTTGTGCTGTGATTGAATGATTTCGAGACACCTTTCCCGTTGTCAGGATCAATCGTCTTAAATTAGGAACTTCAAAAGGCGACCACAACCTCATCATTTTAACGTTCCAATTCACGGAGTAAACTGCTTACTCGATCAGCAGTGTGTGTAAAGGCGTTCTCTGTGTAAACCTGTCTGTGTGCAGAGCTTCTATGTGTAAAGGCGCCTGTGTCTCCAAGCATCTGTGCGTAAAAGTGTGTGACCCCATCTGTGTGCAAGAGCATTCTGCGTAAAAACATCTGTGCGTAAAGGCACCTTCGTGTAAATGGGTTTGCGTGCAAAAGCTTTCTGTGTGCAAAAGCATCTGCATGTAAAAGCTTCTGCATGAAAGGTTTTCTGGGTGTTTTTTTTTTGGTGTGTGCAGTGTGTGTGTGTGTGTCCGAGCTTCCGTGCGTAAAAGCGTCCGCGGCAACAATCATAGTGTGTGTGTGTGTGTGTTTGCGTGTGTGTGTGTGTAGAAGCTTCTGTGTGTAAAAGTGCCTGTGTGTGAAAGAGCCGGTGTGTACAAGCTTCTGCGTGTAAACGAGCCTGTGTGCGTATGTGAAAGTACCGGTGTACAAGCATCTGCACGTAGGGAAAAGCTGTCTGTGTGCAAAAGGCATCCGTGTGTGTGTGTATGTTGTTGCTGTGTGTAAGAGCTTCTGTGTGTGAAAGCCTCTGTGTAAACGCAGGCGCCTGTATCAAAATTCTGTTTCGAAGCGCCTGTGTGTGTGTGTAACAGGGCTTGTGTGTAAAAGCATCTGCGCCTAAATATGCGTAAACGCTTTCTCTGCGTAAGAGTTTTTGTCTTCAAAATCAACATCATCATAACCACCATCATCACCATCATCATCATCATCATCACAGCCTTATTGTTTAACATGTTCTTCTTTTGGACTTAGCCTTTTTGTGTGTCTCCTGGTTTCTTTCGGGCCAAGTCCTGGCGCACATGATTAAAAAATTGCATTTTTCTTTCCCTATCAATGATAGAAACTACTAACAGTGACACACCGCTAGGTCCTGGCTCACGTACTTGTCTATCGATAGAGCAGTGGGTGCGGTGCGCATATCTCCCCGTCGAAAGGCGGTGCGATCGAAGGGTGGAAAGGTGATCTCCACCGCATCCAACGAGAGGAAGGTGGGATCTGGGACCTCGGCGCTGTAACAAAATGACATGCGTACATGTGATATTTACAGTAGACTTACACATATGTAAATGCATATTTTAAATGAATATGTATATGTATGTGATTGTATGTGTATATGTATATGTATATGGCTATAGCTAGCTAGCTATCTTTCTATCTATCTATCTGTCTTTCTATATCTACATCTATATCTACATCTATATCTAGATCTATATCTATCTATCTATATATCTATATATATATATATGCGTGGATGCATATGTAAATATATTATATAATATTATATATATATATACACACACACACTACGGTCCAATACTATAAGATGTCACATCCAAGGCTCACTCCCTCCTCCCTTCAATGCGCCCCAACATGGCGCAACCATCTGCGGGCCCATATAAGCGCGTGCGAGCATCTTCTAAAAGAGGGTGGGGCTATTGTGTCCCAGGAACCGCTCCCTTTGTGAAAAAAAAAGAACCTGAACCACGGCAGCCAAGCGATTCCTGCCAAAAAGACTGAAGCAGCATGGACTGCATTGAGGCCAGCACTGCTTTTCAAAGCCGTGACTTTAAAAGTTTGAAGCCCCGAACAGTTGCTGCACCGATGCCATGGTCAATGGTGTGATATATCCATGTGAGATTGCCAGAAATAAAAATTTATCGAAAGCGGCAAGATACTTCTCAGGGTGTTTTGATTGACCCGTCCATCGCACAGCCTCCCCAATCCCTGTTGCTTTTGAGCTCGTTGTTGTTTACTGATCGCGTCGATGAAATATATGAAATATACGTGACGCTCCATCTGCCGGATTATGTTCACCGCACAACAAAGAGCGCACAGCCGACGGAGGAAGTGGTTTATGACTCAGGCTGAGGAGCACCCCTTAGCCACTACAGCCACAACGACCTGATTGTAAACAAGGATCACGGTCTGAAAAGAATAAAACGAGCTTTTCTTGGAAGCATGCAAGAGCGCCTTGAGCTCCAAAACGTTCTAGAATGTGAGCCGCATTTCGCGGTAACTTCCATTCTGATTTTGAAGGATCAATTCAGCTCTGAGGGCAAGCCCCTGGACGAAAGATCATGTCGGAGCCAAAGTGTGCACCAGGCGACTCATGAGCAGCCTATGCTGCGCTCCTTCGTCCATATCCGGTTGGGGTTGCTCCACCAAGAGAAACGCTTCTTCCTTTTCCTGAGCCTCTGTTGAAACGTTGGCCGGTGCGATGCTCTCACTGTCAGAAGGATCCCCTATAGGGGGTCTTCCCTCAAGTGGTGGGCCACGAAAAGTTGAGTCAACAAAGCAAGGCTTCTGGCTTCCGATAAAATGCCTTCTCCATGGAGTATGATCGCCAAAATGGCAGCCACTGCTGTTGCGTGAAACAAGTTTCCTATTGCGCCCGTACATCTTCGGCTTCCTGAAGCGACCTCTTCTTGAAGTGCCCCCTGTCCAGTTTGAGCGTATATATGCCCTCTGCGAAAGCCCATGAGCACTTCTCGAGATGAAGATGGTAATTTACGGGGCCCCTCACCGCCATGCAGTAAGAACTTCTCATGCACGTAAGGAAGGTACTGTAGGAATCATGCTTCCACCAATATTACCTCCTTCGTCGTGTGAGACAGTCCCGGGCTGGGCAGAGAACGCCTCCTTGTATAAAGGTTGGGGAACCACATGCATCATCCGGCTCCGACTCCCCCATTCTGTGACGATTCGCCAGCTCAAACCGAACGACCTCCATCCAAGGAGAGCTCGGTAGCTCCCGGGACAGCCAGTACCACCGAGGCCTCGGTAACCTCATCTCTGTAATGCTCATCTACCTCCACGTTTTCCATCATTGAATCCACAAACCTGAGCTGTCCTTCTTTGCAGTTTTTTGCAGCTCATCAAGTAGGTCTGCCGTGGCAAAGAACAAGTTTGAACGACGGTAATCTAGGTGCTGCCTTTGACTGGAGAGCATCGACAACCTCTGACACCTGCTACCACCGCCGGCAACAATGATCTCTTCTCAATGTGTCTCAGAAGGAACTCGGCGCCGCCGCCCCACGTCCGCCTGATGCACCTGCGGCAAGTTTCAATAACAAGATGGCGGTCCCAGATTTGAGGCCCAAGGGGGGGCGAACGAAAGCTAACTTTCATATGAGCGTGGCAATACGATGCGAGTTTGATGGGTGTTGGATATGCTGAATATAAATTGCTTAGAAACCTGGCAGGATTTGAGCTCGTGACCATCTGCTGCCAAGACCGCCCCAAAATGCCCCGGGAGCTTAGGAGGATGGTTCGAATGAAAAATCAGTCAGACCTGCCCCTCCCCTTGCTGAAGCAAGAGTAACTCCAGCTAGCTACAGCTAGCTTTCGTGAAAAGTCCGGAACGCTTCAAGGACCGGAGCAAACCACCCATTCCTGACACGAAACCGCGCATCTTTCCACAAGGCGCGGATCAGGTTGTAGGGCGGCCTTCAGCGGTGCCCTCTCTCCAAGCCACTGCCTTCGAAAGGTCTATAGGAAAACCAACTCTCCAGCATCTTGAACAAGTAGAATGATGAACACAAGTCATCTCCTGAAACCGGCGGACGCCCCACACAACGTAACAATGTTGCCAGCAATGACCCGAAGCACGGCGTTGCTGGCGCGTAGGTCCACTATAAGGCGTTGAGCCCCCTGCCATCAGGCAATGTCCGTCTGCTTTTTTCAACTCCAAACAGGCCGTTTTTGATCTCCTCGCCATCCACACATGTATGGTGGCCGCTGGAGCCCAGGATGCCCCTCTCAAACAGACAGCGGGCCAAGGCACCCCATTCTCCCGACTTCACCTGAACCTTGGCTCGGGCATCACTTCGGGAAGTTTCCCCCCGTCTGGTAACACGCAGCGTTTCGGCTCATGAGCATTCGTACCTCATCTTCGCAAACGTCCATGATGTTCACTGTGGCCCCAACACCGTCAGGGGGAAGGCTGGGAATCACTCTCTCAACTTCCAACGGCCACGATTTGACCTCGATAAGAAGCCCGGCTCCCTCCAATCCTCCTCGGGTATTCGTCACGGAGCTCCTTATTCGAGGCTGTCTCTCCCGTCAACTACATTTGTAAGTGGCAGCTTCCCTCAGTCGACGGACTGCAGCTTCTTGGCAGACTCTCACTTTTACAGAGAACCAGTCAAGGAAATCTTGCGCACGATCTTCTACAGAGATATTCACAAAGGGGACTTGCAGAATCTGACCTGGCTCTTCGTCGCGTTCCTTGCAACACTGTTTGGGGTCTCTTGCCGGGAAAACTCATGGGGGAAACATCCACACATGGAGGATATTCCATTGTCATGTTTGATTGCTATAGAGGGTAAATCCATGCTTGCACGTAGGCATTAACCTGACACACAGCGCCCACAACCAAGTCTGTCCATAGAAAATGCAGTCGCTGAAAAGAATCAACAAGCCAGGACTCTGGGTTGGAGATGTAGCTGCTAAAACCGTGCTTTTCCGTACGATATCCAAAAATAGAACGATAAACACGGTTCGTGAATTTATGAATGGGTCAACCCGGATTGGCTGATTCTATCAAGGAAACTCGGCTGGGGATTCTGGTTGGGCTGGAAAGATTGAATCTTTGAAGTTGCTGCCGAAGTACCCACCAGTAGAAGGTGCTATCGATCTGCAGTGGGAGCTGCGTGAAGTTGCCCCAGGTCTTTGCCACCGCCGGTGCCAGGGGCATGTTCCAAGCGGTGGCCTTCTGCATGGTTTCCTCCAAGTTCCAACCGCTTCCACCGGTGAAGAAAATCACACACTTGGAAGGCTTGTCCTGGGGTCCAAATTTGGTCCAAAGGAATGCCTACTTCAACATCTCACACCAAAGATTTCGCCATTTTTGGAAGAGTTCCTCACCTCCATCAATCTCTATGAGGAGCCTCTTACACCCCTTTTCTTGGGCCCTCAGATGTCCACTCTCAATTTGGCGTCTCCGGGCCCGAAACCTGCAGCCCAATCTGACAAGCATCTCGGCAGGCAGGTGCATACCAGAAGTAATCATCCCAACATTTGCCCCTGCTTACGCTCTTGCCATTCTCATTGGTCACGATCTCCACTCCCTCCCAGTCATCCGTGATAGTCACGTACTCTTCCATGGCCTGTTTTAAGGAATTTGCGACATCTGCTGAAGGGCCACAATGGGTTTGTCTGAAAACAGGGTGCCCCATTCTGTAGCATGGGCTCAAACCCACGTAGTTTTCAATCCATTGATCCGTTGGTCTCTCAGAAAATTGCCATAACTTCGGGGTCAATTCCCCCATCTTCACACTGTTAACGTGGATTGATAAACCCTGACTATCAAGTGGGCCCAAAATAACGATAAGTTACTGCTAAACTTGATACAACCCCTTATTAGTGAATTGGTGGTTTAGCAAAATCCAGGGTTAACATTACCCATGTTCAGGCCAAATCCCCGTAGGGGATTCAGCCAACCTCCATTTCGGTGACTCCCCACTGATGGATAGTCAAGATTCGCCCACTTACACCCTATATAAGATCCCAAACGGTCAACGTTGCCGACATGTCGCGGCCTGGGAACAAATCGGAAACAAGCGGCAGACAAAGGGGGGATAAGTGAAAATTCTTCAGCCCAGGGCCGCCACAACAAGGGAGACAAGCAGGACACAAGTTGGAAACAAGTGCCACCCCTTCAGCCTAGAAAAACCACAACTAAGATCAACTAAGGAGAAAAATAACTACAAAATTTCAGCCTGGAGAAGTTGAGGTCGTCCGATCCTGTAAGGAAAGTATACAAGCCACCTTCGGACGAAAGAGGTCAGCATCCGCAGTCCCTCCGTGGCGGGAAGGGGCTGCAGCCGCGCCCTGAGAGGAAGGGCCACCAATGCGTCGGCGTAAGCCTTATAAATCTTATAAAGCCCCCCCTAGGCCTCCTTATAACCCGTATCCGTTGGAGGTGCCTTTGAAGTCGGTATCGAACCGGCTCCCCCAGATCCCACAGCAGAGGAATTGAACGCAGCTTTTGAAAGATCAAAAGAAGCCCAGGATCGGGTGTGGAACAGGGAAGTTGAAAGTTTTGCTGAGAGAAGAGCTGCAAAAGCCCTCAGTGCATACCACCAAAGGGAGACTTTAAACAATAAGCATAATAAGGTGCGTCCCCCTCCAAAATAACCTCCTATTCCACCAAAACCCGGTCGCCTCTCCTAAACCTAGCTCCCCACCAACACCAATACAATCGCCAAGGGCAGGCAGTACACAAGCAGCATCCACAACCGGTGCAAGGACAGGCGCAGCCGCAGGCGCACCACCAAGGCCAGCTTCCGCTTAGAGAGAGCCGTAAGCAGGGGATACAAATAAGAAGACACATGGGATCCTTTCAACCCAGAAAACCACTAGAAAGAAGACAAAAAGGAAGACAGCCAGGAAAAAGTAGCTGCGACCCGTGGGAGACATTGGACACGTGCAGTGTCCCTCCGAGGAAACCACCAGCGACCCCAACGGGCAAATTTTGTCAGCAAGGGACCCGAAACAGTGTTGGGTATATATACTGGGAGGAGAATATTATGACAATATAATGTTGATGATGTTGATGCTGATGCTGATGCTGATGATGATGATGATGATGATGAGGAGAATGTTGCGGGTGACGATGTTGAGAATTATGATTTTGAGGATGATGGGGTGCAGGAGGAGGATGTTGAGGATGGTGATGTTGAGGATGATGAGGTTGAGGATGGTGATGTTGAGGATGATGATGTTGGGGAGGATGACGGTGAGGATGATAATGCGGAAGATGTTGTGGAGGGTGACAAGGTAGAGGATCATCGTGTTGAGAAGGAGCAAAAGGATGACGATGATGCTGATGATGATGATGGTGATGATTGTGATGACAATCATGATGGTGAAGATGATGATAATGATGACAATGATGTTGATAGTGATGATGATGATGATGGTGATGATGATGATGATGATGACGTTGAGGATGATAATGTTGATGGCGAGGATGACAAGGATGATAATCTTGATGTTGCGGAAGATGACGTCGAGGTTGAAGATGTTGAGGATGATGACGTCAAGGAGGAGGAATATGATAATCTTGAGGATGATGATGTTGAGGAGTAGGACCGATCCCAAGACCGGGACCAACACTTTGTGCCAGCCTGCGGGCTCGAAATGCGCATGAACATTTCACACGAACCAATTTGTGCAAGAATTTACTGGAATAATGCCAGGGCCCACGATCACGACCCACACTTTTTGTGGGCTTGCGCAGTCAAAATGCGCTTGGACATTCAACAAGAAGCACTTCGTGCGAGAATTTACAAGTAAAATGCCGCGGACCAAACCGCGGACCACACTTGGCGCGAGCCAGCGCATGCAATCGAAATGCACTTGGACATGTCACAAAAGCCACTTTGCCCAAAAGTTGCAGGTTTACGGGTGAAATGAGAAATGCCGCGGACCAGAACCACTTTGCGCGAGAATTTGTAGGTAAAATGCCGGGGGCCAAAACCGCGGACCACACTTTGTGCGAGCCCGCGCAGTCCAAATGCACTTGGACACTTCACAAGAGCCACTTTGAGCAAGAATTTACCGGTAAAATGCCGCGGGCCAAACCAGGACCCACACTTTGTGCGAGCCTGCGCGGTCGAAATGCACGCGGACATTGCACAAGAGCCATTTTTTGCAGAAAATTACGGGTAAAATGCCGCCGACCAGCTGGAGCACCGTGATCAAGCACCGGCCTTTACGCTCACCGTAAGAACCCCTCAGTGTGGACACACTGTTTGGGGAATGCTGGAAGACAAAGCCAAGCACATCAGGCCGACACCGGAAACAACACAGTGGGAGACAAAGCCAATCACATCCGGCGGACGCCCGACCGAAAGGACGCAATTCTGAAAAGGCGGACAGCACCAGGGCAGAGACATCTTAATTAAGAAAGAACTGAGAACCCCAATAATAAACTGTTTGGGCCATGACAGGAAACAAGGACAGAGAGACATCCGAAGACCCGGACACCACCACCGTCAAACAGGCGGACGCCTCTTAAGAAAGAATTGAGGACGCCGACACCAACAGTAAACTCCTCGGGGAAAAACACCCGCAATTCTTGGTGGTTAAGATTCGCACCCGAACATTACAGTATTGGGTATGTCACCTTTGGCTTTCCTGGGTTGGTTGAATCGCCGTGAGATTTCCAATCAAATCCTGCCTTGGTAATCATCAGCCTGGTCTCCACACATGGTTTCAACCAGTCTTTGTTGATGCTGCTGGGTGGGTCAAAATACTTGTCCGCCTCGGTCCAGGAGACGTTGAAGCCACGGTAGAACTCCAAAATCAAACCTCACTGAACTGCAGAGCAAACAAGGAAGAGAAGCATATGAATATGAATGAACAAATTAACCTCATATTAAGATTTGTATAATCGCAAAATAAGACCTTTCTATATGATATAATTTGTAAAAACATATATACAGTATATAGTCTATGATATATGATTTGTGATATATGATTATATGCGTATATTGTATGTGTATGTTCAAGTTCAGTCATGCCCCTGTCTTTGGCGAAATTCGACGACATACGACGACTCACCAGTCACACGGAGTGGAAACGCCAATGAAGATCACCATGCCCAAAAACAACAAAAAGATACTATAGAGCAAATAATACCTGTATGTAAATACCATATATGATACTGACAATAAAATTATATATATATATATACGAATATATATATATATACATATTTATATATGTATACATATATATATACATATAATATACATCATATACTGACAAAATTATGTATATTGCATGATTTATGACAATTTATGAAATACTATGAGAATGCAAGAAGTACCCGGGCAAGCCGGCAGTGGAAGTTTTGAAATTGAAACGCCTATAGCCTATAGAGCAAAACAAAGAATGTGCCTTCTGTGCTTCGCAGCAACAATCTTTTGATTTTTGATTCCGGGGCCATCTCTTTTCAAAGCTGGACCTTTTCCCATTTCATCTGATCTCATCGCATCGCAGCTTCTCTTGGAAATTGCTCATTGCATCCCACTGTGTCATCCCATCTCATCTCATCTCATCTCACGCCGTGCTTTCTCAGCGTTTTTCACCTCCCATCTCGGCGCGAAAGCCGAAAAAAGTACGATTTTGGAGCTTTTCTACACAAGGAAAAAGGAAAATGAAAAGCACCAGAAACGACAAAAATCTGCAAAAGCTCATTGCCGCAACTTTGTGGCGATTGATTGAACTGCCACTTCAACTTGTGAAAACGAAGCTCTCGTGCGAGACCGTCCTCAAAAAGGGAAAGTTGAAGATGCGAAATGGAAGCTTTCATGCGAGACTTTCATTGCGGTGACCATCATTGCTGTTGACTTTCATTGCTGTGACCATCATTTCTGTTGACTTTCATTGCTGTGACATGCTGCGACCATCATTGTTATTGACTTTCAAAGCTGTAACCATCATTGCTGTGGACATCTTTGGACTTTCATGGCTGGGAAAATCAGTGCTGGTGACTTTCATTGCTGTGACCATTATTGCCGTAGTCAACCAGTGCTGTTGAAATTCATTGATGTTCACTTTCATTGCTGTGACCATCCTGTCTGTTGACTTGCAAAGCTCTGGAAAACAGAAATATAGACTTCTAAACTTCCTTTGACAAATACGTGATATATATATATATATATGATCCAGTCCACCGGCCACCTACCCCCCCGTGGTATCCCCCCCTCCATATATACATACAGACAAACAGACAGACAGACAGACATACATAAATCCCTACCTGCATGTATACATACCTTCGTACATACCCACCTGCCTGCATAAACACAAAGACATATATTTGCATACCTACATACATACATTCCTACTACATACACACCTGCCTGCCTACCTACCTACCTACCTACCTACCTCACTACCTACCTACCTACCTACCTACCTACCTACCTACATACATACATACATGCATACATGCCTACAGATAGACATACATACCCACCTACATCCATTCTTACCAACCTACCTACTTACATACCTACCTTCATACATACGTGCATGTATGCATTCATTCATCCATATATTATATATATATATATTACACCTTCCTAGATACTTACCACATACCCCGCACATACCCCCACCACAAGGGGGGTTGGGGGGGGAGGGTGAAGGGGGGTGAGGTCGCGTTCCGGTAATGAGGGGCCTTGGATCTAAGGTAGAAGCTACGAACACTTGTGGTCACACAGTCGAAGCGCGGCACCTTTCTATGCAGCTATGATAGCAAGTCTTGAGCCACGGAGTGGCGCAGTGGATCAAATGAATCAGAGTGAACATGTCACATGGTATGTAAACTGTATGTGCATTGTGTAGACACGTCCCCAAAAATAGGTTACAAACAGACGCAAATTTTATTCGTGTCGTAACATGCAGAGAAAGTTTAGCTCTTGCATAAGAAACGCTCAGCCTATGCTCTGCTGTGAAACACGGTCCGGAGACAAAACGAAAAGCTACTCTACGGCTCGTGACATCTCAAAAATATAGTGGTTGATATTGCCGTTAATCGGCTAGTGTTCCTTGATTTCAGCATCCCATGCGAAGGGTGTGTCCATAGAGATACGATTGGTTGTTTCTCCTTTGCAAGGAGAGCTGATCAAAGTAAATCGAATCCGTTGGGAACTGTGGAACCATATCCAACCAAGTTCCATCTGGATTGCGAAGCCAACGTTCGTATGGCACTTGATATCCGCGAACATACACAACAGACGCATTCTGTTGGTCCCAACGATAATAAGGCTGTTGATAGTATCCTTGACCGTGTTGTCGGTTCTGATACGGATCTCTTGGAGGATATACTGCTGATAGTTTTGCTGGTAGTTTTGCTGATATCCATGATTCAGCCAGGCATCCTTGTCCTTGTTGTTGTTGGCGCTGTTGGTAGCCACTGTTCAACCAGTGTGCTCCTTTTCCTTGACCGTGAGATCGGTTCTGCTGAGGATTGTCACCAGTTCTGCTGCGTGTTCTTCGGAATTGAAGAGTTGCAGAACGTTGGCGTCCATGGTGTTCTTCTCTCCTAGCTGGAGTTGATCCGCGGTGAGTTGATCTTTCTCACGGGCGATCACGGCCGTGTTGTCGGCTCGCAGATCTTTCTTTGTTGGGTCTCTCTGTTTCTCGGAAGTTATCCCTTGGCAGCGGTGGAACGAGTCCCGGCGCTCTTGTCTCAATTATGGCGTTCCTGGCCTGCTTGAATAAATTTGCATAAACTCTTGATTTTTCTCCTGCCATTTGCCTCTCCGCCGGTTTCGGCTGCCTGAGAGCGAATGCGAAAGTTTTTGATGGGCCGCGGAATATGGTCATGAGTGGAGAGAGAGTGAAAAGCTTGATCGCTGTCTCCAAGCCCTAAGTCATAGACAAGGAGATGCTTGGGTTGCTCCACGTCGGCCAACAAAATTTTGTCATCATACGCTGAACCGGCAATGCCGTCCGCTTTAGCGGACTGTTGCTTGCCTCGGTCTTCAGTCATAATGGTCTGCTTGGCACAATACAATGAAATTCACAGCATGCAGGCGCAGTCGGCACCGGTGTTGTTCTCCTAAGATTTGATGTATTTGGATGCCTGGGCGGAAGAGACTACATTATACGTGATACGATTCAGTGCAGACCGATTCAAGTTAATTTGTCCGAGAAACCTCTCTAAAAGATCAATTAATTAAGATGCAGCTCCGGAAACATCCCTTTTGAAGTTGCGCTGTGCAAAAAGGCTGCCATCACCTTGGATGAAATCAACCTGGTGGGAGATGCAAGATGCGATGAATTTGGCCCACCTTTCACATGCTTCTGCATATGCGATCTTGCAGGCAAAAGATGATATGTGAGAAACGGCAACACGTACCTCGGACAAACCGAGTCTTCTGGCGTCATGATTGTCTGCGCCGGATATCGGCTTGAGCAGCTCGCATGTTTCTACTGATTCCTTACCTTGAATTTCTGAGATGTGCCAATCTTGATCATCTCTGGTACTGGCCAAGGGAGCCGGATGCGGCGTGATTTCGTTGGCCAGGTTTGAATCACAATCAGGGAGAGTTGTTCTTATTCCATCTTATTCCTGAGCTTGTGTCAACCATCTCTCCTGAGGTTACCTGTCCAAAAGCGGGTCTAAAAATACAACCATGAATGATCCAGAATTTGTTATCAGGCTTGGTTTTTTGTTCTGTAACATACTGACGCTGACCAAGCAAGTCAACAAATGATCCAACCTCATGCGTGCCACGTACAAAGACTGCAACGGGAGGAGCCGTGATTTCGGCGTGCACAACCATGCCCAGCACCGCGTGATCACGTACAATGTGCTGGTGTCTGGCAATTCCGCCAACCGGATCATTTGCCTCGCAGAGTCCAACATTGTCCGCGCCGTTTCGGAAAACTAAATACGGAAGCACTACACAGTTAGGATCTTTTCTGATCCAGGACGGAAATTTCACGTGGCCTCCAATGCATGGTTTTCCGTTGATATTGCCAAGATTCAGAGTGAGAAGTGACAAATGGTAAGTATCTTTTTGGCTCTCAGCAGCGTTGTCCGGATTTCGGAACTCGCCGGTCTTGATGACATTTTTGCTGAGCAAGACGGATCTGTACAACTCCAGGAGGTCGTAACATTCATCCTCAGTCAGGTCATGATGCTTGCAACTGATGAGAATAGGTGGTCTCCAACTTGGAAGTGGTACTTCTGGATCCTGATACTGAATGTAATGCTCTTTGAAAGTGGAAACACGTCTTTTTCCCGGCAGGGTGTAGGCTAAGTCAGCAAACTTGTATTCTTCAATACTGTGCTTCAAGAAAGATTGCAAGTAGCTGTTACCGACCTCAATTCCCTCGGTGCATTTGTCAATTAGGTCGTCAAAGGCTGCTTTCCGGTAATCTGATTGTCCAGACCTCTGTGATCCAAAATATGCTTCTTGGCCTAAGCAAAAAGGTTTAATGAACAAGGTCCGTGATATCGAACGTGGAGTCCTTGGAGCAATACTGTCTGGAAGAAACTGCTCACCAAGTTCCGACGATTAATTGCAAATGTGGTGATCACAAGCCTCACCGTGAGATCGGCAGCCCAGGCAGTAGGCATATAACCACAATGGTGACACCAATACATGACATGGGAAAGGCGACAATCTTTCACATTCCGACATTCAAGTCTGCGATCCGGTCTTGGAAACCATTAGATGCTTGCGAAGTCTTGAACGAAATTGTTCTTGAAATTGCCGTATACCTTTTTGGCCACGTCAGCATCACGCATCATATCTTTGGCCCGTTTGCTAGTTTCACGCTTGGGAGGTGCCTTTACCTCCTGTTTATTTGGGCCTTTCTTGTCCTTCCCCCATTTATCGGCTGGTGCGGATGCGGACGATGAGGCGGTTGCCGAATGATCCGGGATATCGGATTTCTTCTGCCATGCTTTTCTCGGCATGGCTTTCGAATTAATCTTATGGGGAAAGGCAAAAGAAACCGAGGTGTCACTGTCACTGTCGCTTTGATATGGACCATCGTCATCTGGTTCTTTATCCGTCTTTTTATCGGATGCTTCTGCTTTTTCAGGCATTTTCCTTTTACCGGACACTTCCTTTTTCATTCCTTCACGGAATCGTTCAGAGGGTCTTCCTCAGAAAGAGGAGGTTCCAACGGTCTGTCATTAGGAGTTGGACCGTCTCGGGATGCCTTGGCCGGCGCGGCTCGTTGAGTCTTCAAACAGGTAGTGAATACATTAACGTCAGACGCATCAGAAAGTCTTTCCATGACATGATATACTGCTTACGAGTCCAGATGCTTCTTGTTATTAATATTTTTTTACGTTGCTGCCAGTAAAATTGATGATGGGCAATGTGAAGCATGATGTCTCTTTCAGGCTGGTAGTCTGTCATCAACTCAAAGTCGGCATCAACAACAGGCTTCTGAATTCAGCAGCAGTCAATCAGAGACCATACGCTGAGAAATCGGCTGAAAGGAACGGCCTCTTTGGTCAAAACGTATTGACTCTCTGTGAAATCGGGGTATTTAAGTCTTCAATGCATGTCGGATGACCTACAATGATACAATCTGACTCGGGTCGGAGAGAGTCCTCCATAGTGGACATCTTGTCTTCCTCCACGAATACCTCCCGGAAGCAAGCCGAGGCGGCATGTCGACGGGAGGTTCGTGTCATTAGTTCCATGGACCAGATATCGGTTTGGGAACCTGCTTGGAACAAACTTGGCATGTTCAACCGTAGACTGAATGCCCAGACAAAGGAAGACTGACACAATGTCGAGTCCTTCGAGCTGATCGGCCTGAGCCATACGCTCGCCGTCTTTTTCAAAAACTGAGGGCTTAAACCACGGCACTGGGTTTGCTAACTTCCCTGGTTCACTCAGCACGAGTCAAAAAGCCAATTTGCACCCGGCTTTTATTGGAATTACTACATATATGCACCAGGGGTATCATGTATATATTGCCGTAGCTCGGATCCTCATATTCTTACCCACCTGAGATTCGTCGAGAGTTTTGAGTTTCTTGTGGCCTCTGCTGTTCATCTCTCGGATCTTTCGAGTCGTGCCTCCGTGGTTGAAAAGTTCGTTGAGACAAAGTGATCCGTCTTCATGGGGCAAACGACCGCGCCTGAACACATAAGAGAAGTGTTTGGATCCGGGCTCAAAAACAATGTCATTCATAATGGCGACATAATCATTATCTGTTTGAACTCCTCCGTGTTTTCGCAGTACATGGATCACAGCCTCTACAAACGCGACAGAATTTCCACGGACTAGGTCCAGTGGCTGCTTGAAGGCTGCCTCGATAAAGCTGTCTCTCAGTGCGTATTCTTTTTCATCTCTGAGAGTGCTGTCATTATACCTTCGGTGTCTGCCCGTACATTCGGGCCGTCCACCTCTGGAACTGTCTTGGAGTTTCACCACGTGGCGTGCGTTCTCCTTTAGGAGCGAAGCCCGTAGAATCGGGACGTGTTGATCTGGACTGCATGCGCAGGCGGCATGATTCAGTGGGACAATGAAAAGTGCAAAAAAGGTTGTAGCTATGGACAAGGGTCTGCCGTTTTCCCTGTTGAGCCGAGAGGTGCACACACAATTTTTCTTGAAAAGAAAATTCACTTTTCAAAGTACATCAGTGCAAACACAAAATCAGCAATGTCTGCACAAAGAAATGAAGTTACATTGTACATTGTGTGGTTCATGAGATTTTCAATAACCCAAGTGGTGAGGAATGCCTGTGCTTCAGCAGGGATCGAAACGGTGGATGGACATCAACCTGATCAAGCCTTCCAGTGGTGATCGACAAATGAAGTTGGTCAGGTTTCGCGGTGTGTTTAGTTAGCGGGTCGGCTAGGCAATATTCGCTCGCGATATGAGTACGGTCATCAAGATGTCCAGAGTTGCTCTCATGTCTAAGCATTTGGATTAAGATGGTGTGCTTCTTTCTGTTCAGGCAAGTGTGTCGTTTGAGCGGTGGTCACCAAGTTTTTTGCGTCGGTACGCATATGTATGGGAACAATTTCGCCGCTCACGTCGATCCATCAGACTCTGAGAAACAAGCACGTTCCAAAACACTTCATGAGTGCGTTTAATTCAGCGACCGTGTTGACTGAGTTGTTGTTGTTGTTGTTGTTGTTGTGCTTGTGCTTGTGCTTGTGCTTGTGCTTGTGCTTGTGCTTGTGCTTGTGCTTGTGCTTGTGCTTGTGCTTGTGCTTGTGCTTGTGCTTGTGCTTGTTGTTGCTGTTGCTGTTGCTGTTGCTGTTGCTGTTGCTGTTGCTGTTGCCGTTGCTGTTGTTGTTGCTGTTGCTGTTGCTGTTGCTGTTGCTGTTGGTGTTGTTGTTGTTGCTGTTGCTGTTGCTGTTGCTGTTGCTGTTGTTGTTGTTGTTGTTGCTGCTGTTGCTGTTGTGGTTGTGGTTGTCGTTGTCGTTGTCATTGTCGTTGTCGTTGTCGTTGTCGTCGTCGTCGTCGTCGTCGTTGTTGTTGTTGTTGTGATCTTATGGCTGTCATAGCCAATGATGGAACCACGCGTTGCGGAATCAGAACCGGATGATCGGTGTGTATGTGTATCTTGTCCATAACCGTAAGATCGGTGCGTGTTTCGTGTTGGCAAATATGTGCGGTCTTCAGCCAAGAAAATGACATGTGCACGCTGACTGGACTTATTACTATTAATTACCAATAGTACCGCACAAGGCAGTGGCGGAAGTTTCAAAAATAGGAAGCCTATAGGAGAGATTGGTTGTTGTGAATCGCGGATGGCAGAGCGAATCCACTGATGACCGACAGGTGGTTGGAGTTGTGTCTTCTGGAGTGGCTGCAATGGTTGCAGTGGTCACCTCACCACAACTGCTGGATGTAGTGTGGTGTAGTGCAGTTGTAGGTGTAGGTGTAGCTGTAGCGTAGTGGAGTTGTAGTTTTAAGCTGTAGTTGTAATGTGGTGTAATTAGCGTAGTGTAGTTGCAGTTGCAGTTCGAGTTTCCCTTCCTTTGCCTTTCGTGAAGGCATTCCTTTGACAGAATCCTTACCTTTCATTCCTTTCTTGCCCTTCTTACCTTTAAGATTTTTTCTTTCTAAGGGGGTTTGGGTTTTGCAAGCGGGGTTGGCTTCGAGGAGGGGTGGGTTCCTAGTCTATACTATATTAAGTTAACAACCGGACCTTGGAAAATTGATAAGCATCACTTGGCAAGTCACTGCTGCATCAATATAGTATTTGTACCAGCAGCTGAAGCCTTGACATTGGACGCCTCCTGTCAATCGTAATCATCCACTCCTGCTATTTCTTTCAGCTCACTGCTGCTTTGATGGTGTTTAGCATTGGACATAAGAAGATAAATTTTGAAGTTTTATATTTAATAAATATATATATATATTAATATATATATTTTTATTTATTTATTTATTGTATCTATAATATGGATAATTAATATAATATCGACATTTAATTTATTTGTATGTTTCAATATTATATATTTAAATCATATATATATAATATATTAGTGTGTGTGTGTCGTTTTAATATTTCATACACAATCATACACATAAATTTGATGTTTAACATGATAATTCACTAATAAATTCATCATGTGCTATTATTGTCACATAATGTCTGTAAAATATGTAACAGTGACTGTCAACTTCCAACCCCGAGTGCACATTGACCGCACAACGCACTAAATCCGCAGTTATCGTCGTTTACTACACATCGTATCTGACAGCTGTTAAATTTCACCCGCCCCCTGCAATGCTTCCGGTCAGCTGCTGTACACTGTACAGCAGGCACTAAGGCACTAAGTGCTGCAAAAGAAACGAAATGATACTCTCAAAGACTTTTTGTCGCGCTGGCTGCCGCTAAGCTTCCACGTGTCACCATCCAGTCAACTAAGAAAGGCTGCCGAGATCTTGCTTTCAGCAGTCAAAGCTTGTAAACTTTTTCAAAATTGGAGCCATTATTGCCATGGAATCAAAATGGTTGGGATGGTCTCAGAGACTTGAATTGCACCGACTGCTGAGTCAGAGCGTTAAAAAAGTCAGTCAGCGTCAGTGAGCTTATTGCGCTCCTTCAACTTCAGGCTCAGTGACAGTTTCTGTCGGAATTGGCTCTGCACCCAATTTGCGCAGAAGAATTCTAGCAAAATGCATCATGCAGTTGATCACTCTCAGTGGCTCTGACTCATTCATCTCATCCCGACACCGCTGACCAAAAACCAGCGTGGCATTCAACAGCTGCTCGAACAGCATGCCATCACCCAATGGTGAGCTTGACACCCACAGCACCATTTTGTCCGAATTTGCTTCCAGTTCAGCTTGAAGCCATGACATGAACGTGGCATGGCATTCAGCAACTGTAGGGCAGAGATCGCACCACATGACGTCGATGCGCTGATTCAAGGCGATTCTCCCCGTAAGCGCTGTCAATTTGAAGGTCAGTTGGAGGACGAAGGGGTACAGCAGCAAGAAGTCTTTTTCCCGGACGTCTCTCGGCAAGTGATCAAGCCACATCATCCATGATGCCAAGAACGCCATGATTGCACCTGACACTGAGCTGTCAAAAATTTGGCTTCAAGCCCGTTTTTTGATCTACTACTTACTATTCATCTACTAAAAAGCTTAAGACGGGAAAGTAAACATAATAATTGGCCAAAATATTATGAACCTAAATGCTGGCATAGCACTGTGGCCACGAGTGATCTTCTCACTATCTCCAGGGGTCAGGTAGCTCTTTGCCAAATGGTAAGTAACTGTTTCGAGAGCAGCATCGATCATAGTGTTCGGTGATGATGGCGGCATGAGTTCACACACACTGCAGCGAAAGCGAGTCAGTCACTGAATGGTCACCGTCCCAATCCTATAGTATCTTCGAGTCTTGAAAAACAGCGACAGTCGAAGTGTGCTGATCATGCACATTGTTTTGACTGAAGCTTTCAAAACTTCAAACTGACTGAGCCGAATTATACACAGGACTGACTGCCATGTCAGTCTCACTGTCATCTACTATACCGCCAACTGAATCTGAGTGAGAGCATGCTTCGATTTTATTTTCATGTCCACACTGAGAGGGCTGCTGAATAATATTGATTTTTCGCAAAATGTCATGCCGCCGCGTCTTACAAATCATTTTCTTTCCAGCCAATGGATTTTTTTTTCCATGGACCACCCAAACACAGACAGTGCCTGGAATTCAAGCGCTGCTCATGACAACTGAACTACTGAACTTTGCTAGAATTAAAATTGGCCAGCCAGCTGCCGTCAGTCGACATCGACTGCGGTATCATGCGCAGCCTCGTCGAACTCCTCTTCGTGCTCGTCTTCCCCAAGCAAATCATCTGCGGCCTCAACCTCAAGCTCAACAGCCTCACTCTGATCGCCATCTGCAGGATCATCAGGTGCATCAGCCATTGCAGTCACCTTCACGCCAGCAGCACAGGGTGCAACTCCAGAGGCAGTTGAAGGTGCACTGTCAGGGACCTTCGATGCATCACCACTTTCAGCGGCAGCAGCAGCGGCTGTCAGTAACTGTTCCTTGCAGTTTGCAGCATCAACGCCAAAAAGCAAGGCACAACGTGCTTTTGACATGGTCTTGGGTAGCCGGTATGGAAGCAGTTCAATGCAGAGGCAACTGACTGACTGAGAAACCTGCACACATCTCCTTCACGTACGCCTTGTCTTTCCCTTTCTCAAACTCAAGGCGGCAGAGTTCCTGGCAGGTAATACCAGTGATTTATATTATTCGACATGAATTCAGAGCCCCAGTCAGTGCTAGTTGTCTGAGGGCTGCCTACAAATTGAGGTCAGCAGAAAAACATCAAATTGGGATCCTGACTGCAATCTCTTCTTGCTTGTTTGCAGTAACTCCTTCACGGTGCTTCACCTTGCAAATAAAAATAATGTGCTGAATCTGAAATAAACTTGATATTAAATCCGCCCGCCCTAAAAAGGGCCAAGTGTGGTCAGATTGGTAACGCAGGTCGGCCCAAATCGTCGAATGGAACGTTACGATCCATCATGACCAAGATTCTTTTGCTATCGATCACGCTTCGTTTCAAGCATGTGCATCACATGGCTTCAATGGAGTCCATTGGATCGCTTTGGGCCAACTTCAAACTTCAAGGCCAATTTGGTGCCAGCTCGGTCCATGAGCAACTTGGGCCCAATGTTCAATTTGGGAAAGGACGGCCAAGTTTGACCCCAGTCGACTTTGGTTGGGCCAAGTCCGCTTTTTTCCTGTCTGTCCTATTATTCCCTGGGTGTGGGCGGTTCTCGTCGCGCAGCGACTCAAATCCAATCTGATGCCAACTTATCTATAACATTATTACAGTTACAGCAACAAAAAAAGCAGGAAGTGAGATGCTGAGTCTGTGACTGTCATTTGTTCATGACCATCACATGAAATGCCAATCTTCTGAAGCTTGTAGTACCAGTACTTCCTGGTCTTCTTCAAGGTAGTAGCTGAAGCAGCAGCAGGCCGTTTCTTCATCATAGCAGGTCGTTTCATGATAGGTTTGTCATCGTCACCACTGTCAGTCGCTTCTGGCTCTTCAGCGGCTGGGGCTTCAGCAGCAGCGGCAGGCCGTTTTTTTCCAACAGCGGCCGCCTTCGGTTTGGCAGCCTTCTTATCAGAAGACTTAGTAGACTTAGACTTCCCTTTGGCCTTTGCCTTAGGGAGGCAGTCTGACTCTGGCTTGGCTTGCGACTCCACGGCTTTTGGCGCAGCAGCGCCCCCACCAGCAGCAACTTCATCATCATCATCTGATAATTGAGTCACTGCGTTCAACTTTCCAAGCATGGTGCCGCAAGAACGGGCAACAACCCTTGTGGCTGACACTGAGTCAGCCAGTCAATACCAGAGCCACAAACCTCGAAAAAAAATTAGCATTACAATGACAATTGAATTCCATTATTCGGATTATAATTTCTCTTTGCATTCGAAATTTGATTTTGAAGATCAATGACTGCAATGAGTTCTGCGCTTTCACAAACTTTAAGTTCTACGGTCATCATGATGTTGTATTGCAGCTGGCCAACTTTGACATCACTTTTTGCTATCACAAGCAACACGGTCTGGCTGCGATTTGCAGCATGCAAACGAGTAAAAACGGCTGCTGCACTGTCTTCAAAAAGCGATACCTTTTTTGATTATGATTGAAAATAACTTAGTCAGTCATTTCACACCAATTTGACAGCTGCCTGCGCCGGAATCTTCAACTGGCAAGTGAGCCAAAACTTTGGCTTGATAGCTCGAAGGACGTTGTGGTCAAGTGTCACCTGCAGTTGGCTGCAGCCCTCACATGAAGAACATGATGATAAGGCAGTGAGACGATGTGGAGCGTCAGTGACATGAATCAAACTACCCTTTTTGTTCAGAGATAGCACCCAAGAAAAAAAACAAGCTGCCTCCCACACGATCGAGCTCATCCCAGATTTTGGGAGCACGTTGAATTTCTTCAGAAACACCGCGCCAAACATACTTGCCCGTAAGTCCAGCTTCTCCAAGTTCTCTGGAAGTGCCTTTGGTTCGAAACATGTCACCTTCGAGGAGGGATTGACACTGTAACGGAACGGCCGTGGCGTCCCAGTAGACTCCTGCCAGCAAGCCAGGAGGCTCACCACAGGAAAAAGTAACAACTTGTTGGCTAATTATAATTTACTGTTGTAAAATGTTTCAATGTACTATGTGTCAAAAAAAATCTCCTGGACAAGGGGCGTCAGCGCATGGTCAGTCACAGTGAGCTCCGTGATGCCGTGCTTCTGAGCAATTGAGCAGGCCAAGTCCGAAAGGCATGCCAAGCGCTTACCCTCAGAACTCGTCAGGCAAATCAAATCAGAGTCCCGCTCAAGGATGAAGGGGATTGCATCTTTCGACTCCCCACGGGCCACACCTCACAGGGCCAAGCTATATAACCGCATTAAAAACCTTCACAGCCAAATAGAAAAATTATAAACTGTGTATAATAATTCATTGTCATCATGCCTGCTGGCTTCTCCAAATAGGTAGCAACATTGAAGCCGAAGACTTCAAACGCAGAGCATTGAATGTCACTGGCTGTTGGATTGTGCAGCCACAGCTCGTCCTTGTCACTGGCCACGACAAACAACTCCGGGCGTCCAGTGGCCTTGCACTTTGCTTGAGGCCTTAGATTGACAGCATGACAATAAATTTAAATGAGTCAACACCTCATGAATCTTTTTCATGGTCATGTCAATCTTATAAGACGTTTGGTTTCTATTCTATTTCTTCTAAAATTTGCACACCCATTGCCATCCCACCCCATCGCGGCCAATTTGCACAACTTGCGCGTCAAAGTCACCCTCTGGCATGACAAAGTCCGGGATGATGGGGCGTTGGAAATTCAATGGTCGCTGTTCCCCTTGACCATAAACAGGCTCGCAGCGGGTGCGGTCTGAATTGCCCGGCCTGGTACCAGCATCTGGCGCCAAAAGTTTGAGGCTGTGGGTGGAATTCCATTCCTCCACCTTCATCAGCAGTGGCTCACCCTTCCCATGGAGAGAATCAAGGATCTGGGTTGGTATCCTCAGCTAGCAATATACATACAAAATGATGATTCCTGATGCAAAAACCAAACACGAAGTGTGCTTGCTAGCATTTAATTGATGGCCAGGAGTCTTGAGTTTCCCACCGCTCACTGACAAGATCTCCAAAGACGGCTTGGGATCATTGAAGTCAGTCTTGGTTCGAGTTTTGGGCCCTGCTTCCTCACTGTCATCCCACCATTCCTCAAAATCAGGAGAGGAAAAAAGAATATCAATTGAAACTTCATGCGTCACATGACATGATGCCATGCATCAAAATCATCAAAGACCTTCAATTGTGACGAAGTTTCGTTGAAGACTTTTCCTTCGATCCAGCTGATGGAGGCATCAATGCCAGAAATGACTTCGTCATCTCCCCGAACAACATAGGCTGCAAACTTCCAATCTAGTCCACTGCCGGACTTCAACCGTTCCATCTGTAGCTCCCAAAGACTACGGCCCCACTCATTCCACCTGCCAAGTTCAAGTTGGATTGATTGGGATGCCCTATGACGTGAAAATCAACATTGGGAGCCTGTTCAGTGTCAGGTCCACTACAAAGACCTGGCTGTCTGCCGGGAAATCAACACCATCCAGGATCTTCTGCAAAATTTCCTTGGTTCCTTGCACTCCTCGTTGTTGTACCTGATGGTGTGGGGCATCCTTCAAAACCAAAAAGTAAGGCGGCATTACCACTGAACAAACTCGATATACCATTTAGTGATTAAGAAGAGTTGCGCGGACGTTGGGAGGCGGAGGCTTCTCTGGGTCATCAGTCCACAGCTGGTTCACTCGTGCTCGGGTCACTGGGCCCAAGCTTCCCAACAGGCACGAAGCATTCTTGAAGCCAAACTGCTTATGTATTTGGCTGATTCCGGCCAAGCCTCAGAATTGGCTTTAATCAGGAATTGAACCTGAACACCAAACAATATTTAGAGGCATTTCCGAGGCAAGTTGAAATAGAGACTCAAACCCAAGGGCAAAGTTGGCTCTTGCGACGTTTGTCGCCAGCATGGCCAGAATCTTTGAAGCTGCAATGGATTTCAAATAGGTCCAATGACCTAGCTTTGGACAAGCTGTTAATGATCGTATGTAGTACCACATGAAACTGACTGATTCGGTTGCAAAATATATCGCGATAAAGATGATCTTGAATTATTATTTGTTCGACAAGAAACCCCATGAGTTTGTCCTCCAATGCTCGGCGGTAGTTGCAAACAATGGCTTTGTCGATTCCAGGATGTGTTTGCACTTGCAAGCTGAAGAGTATGGCATTGGAGTTGCTACTTGAGAAGGCTTTCGCCATGTCGCATGTCTCATCCACAAGCAAGGCACCTGACACTGAGTTTTGTTCAATGAAGTAGTAATCATTGATTTCGATATTCAGAGAAACGACTGCTGAACATAAACCAAGTGAAGTTGAAGTGTCAATGCCACTTCATGTGAATCAGTCTCACTGCGAAAGACTGATGCTCAGCCGAGCCACGAGATGGCCAGACTGTCATGTCTTGGATCATGATTGTAATCCTCAGATGGAGGAAAAAAAATCAATTGATCTCCACTGGCTTGGGCTGGGGCTACTAATAATTAATAACTATTCCACTGGTTCATCTCCAATGTTAGACATCGAATCTGACAGGCAAGATTCGCGTGGGGTGCACCTGAATCTGCTTGATATTGAATCAGATCACCATGAGCATCTGACATCACATCCAACTTGACATACCTGTGATTCTGTCGGAGGAAGGTTTGGACAGCTTCCTTTCCCTTCTCGAATCTCTGGGCCAGGTACTTCATGTCCAAGTTCCCCTGTCACTTGCTATTGGCTTCACTGATGACTGCCAAAACTTTGGGAATGACTTCGATATGGTTTGAATGGCTGCCATGCACTGACATGCCTGGCGGTTGCAGTGATCCTGTGCAGCAGCAAGCCACTGGGTCATCGCATCGAGGTCCTTGTCCAACTTGGACTCCACTTGTTTCAAGGTGGCTGTGACAACTTGTTCGTGCAGCCTGCATAGTTGAGTGACAGCGACGCACAGAATTCAGAGTGTGGAGTTAATAAAGACAAGCAGCTCAGCGTCAGCTTCCATGTGTTCCTCTTTCACCTCTGACTGGTGGGGAGCATTCACAAAAAAGAGATTTAACATAAGACTTTAAAGCCACCTGATGTGTTTTGACAACCTGTTAAACTGGGCATCAGACCTTTGACTGAAACTTCATGACTGCGGCTCGGAAGATGGCAACTGTGTCCAAGTCAACTGGAGGGACACTGGACTCCAACATGCCGATGAGCTCTGCGTCGGCATGTTTCAACATGAACCTTGGTTTATTGGATATCAAGGAAAACTACTATATAATCATATTGTGTTCAACGCATGGCTCAGTCTGACTCAAATGCACTGCAAATTTGAAGCAATGATCAATGCTTCAAAAAGACGACTTGTTCAGTGTGGGCTTTTCTGCACGTACAAAATCAGGGGGGAAGTCAGCTTCAAACTTGTCCATGCATGCCAAGAATGCTCCAGAGCAGCGCTGTACGAATTCCTGAAGTGCAGCCAGCAAGTGGCTGGGGCTTGGTAAACTTCTTCCCGTTGACTTCTTGGAAACCAAAAGTGGAAGGCTAAGTCTTAATCTTAGGGTCGACCTCCTTCAGTCCATATGGTTTTCTCATCTTCATATGGGTTGCCTCATAGTTGTTTTCCATTCTGTCCAGAGCCAGGTGCAAAACACGGTCTGAAGCAATCAGATGATCTTCCCATGCTGCCATGCTGGCACTCCCAGAAGAGAAATCCCTGTTCCAAGCCCCACTGGCAATGCTCTCATGTGTCAGCATCTTGCCGATCGACCATTTCCTGACATCATTGCATTGTCTTGCGCTACAGCCAAGTTCTGAAGATTCACATTGAAATTGTTCTGAATTGACATTGTTTTTATGTTTCTGAAAAAACTTAATATCAACATGCTCAAGATTCTTCACAAGAAAGGCGAGACGATCAATAATTTCGGGGTTAACTTTGGTGTGCAGGTTGATGGCAGCATTGCTCTCCACACGTCCTATCTGATAGGCATCTGCCACCTGAGCTGCTGAATTCCACACCTGGCCAGAGCAGGGAAAGAAATCAAGTCAGTGTTGGGACAAATAGCATCAGAACGATTCACACAAACTAGGAAGGAGGGATTCAAGCCTGATCGGCGATAGAAGCACTCTTGAAGGACTCCAACATCCGCATTTGATGGAGAAGATTGAAAGCATTAGGCTTTCTGCACACTGTCGCTTGCATTGTTATACCTCGGGTAGTTTGACAACAATGCCTGGATAATATTTGGAGCCTCTTGCATAACAATGTAACAATGATCTGTGAGCTGAATGCTCAAGATAGTCCAGCACGATAACATGCCTTTAAGTTGCTCCTGTTCGCCAGCACCAGCATGTGGCCCTCCTTCTCCACGGCCACGGTCGCATGGATTGTGCCGAATCCCCTGAGATGATGACATTCGATTGCTCAGTGATTCTCAGTGGCTCACTCTCAGCACACAGCATTAAGTGAGGAAACACATGGCATGGAAGTCAATCAAAGGCAAGCAACCGTTGCTCTTCAGCAGGCCATGCCTGCATAGTAGGTTGATCCACCCCATTGAAAAATGAAATCATGGCATGAATCAGCGATGGATATGGTTCTGAAGCTGACTGACTGTGGCCTGAAAGAAAGCTGGGCAGTCGTAGGCCGCCAACATGACTGTCATAGCTGCAACTGTCCGGGTCCATCCCTTGACAAGGAAGCACTGGTGAGGTGGAATCCAGTGTTGGCTGACCGCGTCCTCAGACACCTCGCCAGCCTCGAATTCGAACTTCGGTTTCATCCCATGCTCAGGCTGCATGCTGCACACCACGAGCCGCTCAACTCCCGGGATCGTCGGGTCAGTCATAAACCTGCCAGTCTGCAACTCATGGTCCTCGTGCTCAATCCCAGAGACGCTTTCTATGATTGTGCTATGCTTGGCAGGGTGAGATATATATAATATGTGCAGAGTCAAGAAACCCATTTAACAAGACCAGGCGGCACATAGTGTTGAGCTGATCCTTGGCATGAAAAGTTTAAAAGACTTTAATACAAAACAAGGCGGAAATACACAGCATCGGGATCCTGAGTCGTCACTGACATTGGTGATGCGGCTAAGTATCTGGTTCCAAGAGACCTTTACAGCCACAACTGCTATCCCAAGACAGCATCCAAGGTCGCAGCAAGCAAGCTGTGGCAGTCTTCAGGGTGGATGGTGTTGCGTAGTGCCTCATGTCAGCACATAATGATAAGATAAAAAAAAGCTTGAAAACTAAAGCACTCGAAAAAATCGAACTTGATGCAGAATTTCAAACTCTCAACTGAAGTTCTCTTAGGAAAGAACGACTTCTCGTCTGGCGGAAAATGAACATCGATCCATTTCAGGAATTTCTTTCTGCTCTCCTCACACTGATCTTGTTTGGACGGAACCATTAGAAGATAGATTTGTCAAGACATTGCATGCACGCAAGCAAACTGTCCTTGGATCCAAGCACATGATCAAAGTACTTCTCCATAGTCAAGTGTGATGCAAGACAGTCTGACCTTGAAGGTGAAAACTCAATTCAACAAATCGTCATAACATCTATTTTACTGAGAACGATCCAACCTCCGAGTTTGCTTGAAGAACAAGTATTACTCAGACAAGTGACATCCATGTGTCAAACAACACCACATGCTCACACAGTTTGGCAGCATGCTTCTCAAACTCATCCAAAGTCCGCTGGCCCTTGGATTTGCTAGCCTTCATCTGTTTCGCAGATCCACCAGACTCCGCCTTGCATGATGCCCCTGGCAAGGAAAGCTTTCGTTTCATCTGCCCCCCCGACATGACGAATTGCAGGGCGGCAGCCAAACCTGTAAGCTCAGATGTCACGGAAGACATGAAATACTGATGAATTTGGAAATTCAACCTGATTGCTCAACGAAGTGTTGCCCGTGAATGCAAGCCACCATCATGGCAGAAAACTTTGACTTATTATCCCACTGACTGGCATGGGAAATTCACTTGAAATGGAATCCTTCCATGGCATGCCATAAGAGTTCGGCCATGTAAACCTTTTGGACCCCTTGCGACTTTCGTCTCGGCATGTGCAATCAGCCGCTTCTCTACAGTGCTGAAGCCTGTGCCCAACTGTAACAGCAGAAGCTGCCTTCTTGGTAGTATTATGCTCCTGTGGGTTTTGAGGTACTCTCATGACCTCACCTTTTTTACAAATTGGCGCAGACTCAGAAAAAAATAAAATCGAGACTTTCAATCGTCATGTTCACGCACGGTGAACAGAATATGACATGATTGCAACCCATGGGACAATCATCGCATGCAATGGATCCAGTTGATGATGAAAAAAAATGTTTATAAGTTTGTAACGACGTTCAATTAACTGTCGTCACAAAATTTTTGGGGCATTCATTTTTTCAGAAAAAACAAATTTTGTGTTGATGGCTGGTGACCGTCAACACAAAATGCTGTCGTCACAAAAATTTTGGAGCCTCCAATTTTTTTAGAAAACCAAAATTTGTGTTGATGGCTGGTGACCGTCAACACAAAATAAACTGTCGTCACAAAATTTTTGGGGCATTCATTTTTTTCAGAAAAAACAAATTTTGTGTTGATGGCTGGTGACCGTCAACACAAAATGCTGTCGTCACAAAATTTTTGGAGCCTCCAATTTTTTTAGAAAACCAAAATTTGTGTTGATGGCTGGTGACCGTCAACACAAAATTAACTGTCGTCACAAAATTTTTGGGGCATTCATTTTTTCAGAAAAAACAAATTTTGTGTTGATGGCTGGTGACCGTCAACACAAAATGCTGTCGTCACAAAAATTTTGGAGCCTCCAATTTTTTTAGAAAACCAAAATTTGTGTTGATGGCTGGTGACCGTCAACACAAAATAAACTGTCGTCACAAAATTTTTGGGGCATTCATTTTTTTCAGAAAAAAATAAATTTTGTGTTGATGGCTGGTGACCGTCAACACAAAATGCTGTCGTCACAAAATTTTTGGAGCCTCCAATTTTTTTAGAAAACCAAAATTTGTGTTGATGGCTGGTGACCGTCAACACAAAATCATATTTATTGATGGTGGACGGGGAATCCATTTTTTTGTAAAGTAGGGAATTTGTGTTGACGGGGGGCGCCCGTCAACACAAACTGAATTTTTCTTGTACTTAAGGCAAATGATAAAAAATCAACATTTTAAAAAAAAACTGAACAACATGCCCCTAAATGTCCATGCCGCACCCAAATTTTTTTGCATTTTTTGACTTGTACTTAGATTTTTTGAAAAAAACATCAAATTAAGGAAATTCTTGGATCCATCATGTGATTGTCGCAAACAAATCATCGATCCAGCACGCTCCAAAATAGTTCACCGCTGGCAGCGCTCAACTGAAAACTGCTTTGAAAACACAGGTTATGGACATAGGTCTAACGATGAGGACAGCAAAACATGATTTGACTTAGTTTTCAACTAGGTTTTCAGTTGGTCGCTGCCAGCGGTCAACTGAGACACCCAGTGCTTTCTGGAGGCACATTTTGTGAGGACGGCATGTCCGTTTCATTTTGTGAGCACGCCTTCCAAAAATTCACTACATATCATCAGTAATTGCTCCCTCAAATGCTTCAGACACGATCTTAAAGGCTTCCTCCCATGGAAGACCAGATGCCCACAGCTTAGCACTGGCTTCCAGGATGTAGTTGTCCTTGTTCTGAACCCTGTACTTCTCCAACTCGGCCCTCTGAACCCGCTCATACTTGAGGGATGTTCCATGTCCAACCTCTAGAACAATGAAGGGGTCCGACGAGTCTCAATAATAAAACATGTGTGGGTTAGCACATCACCTTCAGACAAGCTCCAACAACCCTACTAACATGTGATTGTCAAGTAATTTTCTCATCCAAGCGTCAGGATCGTATTGAATTGCCCGCGGGATTCCTTGACCAGCCACCCCAAGACCAACCACTGGCCCAGGGCATGGCAAGCACCTGCAGGGGAAACACGTCACGTTGAATCAAGTTGTTTGGCATCTCACATGTAAAGGTGTTGCATCTGTTGCGCAAAATATTGATGCAACTAGTTTTTTTAACTTGAACATCAAGGCACCGGGACACAGGCAGCAGATCTGTCCGCTCAACACTTCTGTTGGCCAGTCTCGTCAAATGAGCAGATGCTCTGTTCAAGGTGAAGGGTTCCTCACCTGAGATGAATTGCAAACAGTGTAGATCAAACCTGAAGAATTCCTGGACATAAGTTGCAAACTTAGCAAGTGACTTCAAGTGTTGTTCAAAAGACAATTTCCAAGTGAGATTAAATCTTGTTTCAAATGACATGAAAGACTTTGCAACAGAGGGGCTCAATATCTTGGCATATTTCAGCCAATTTTCAGCCGCTTTCTCATCGAAGTCGCGGTCAGGATTGACAACTGTCAAACATTGACATGTGGAAACGGGCCGCAATGCTAAGACACCACATTGACGGGTATGGCATTACTATCTATCACAAGTTATCAGACTGCGTGATGCCATGAAATCAGAAGTAGTGCAGCAGGCCTCGAGGGACAGAGCCTTTCTGCTGAATTTCTTGACATACTTCATGTGGCAGGAACAGCATTGGCGACTGAAATTCGGCATCGCTCATCCATTGTTTTGTCCTCCCCGTCTCAGCAAAAAAAAGATGTTGCTGCATTGGATGTTATCATTCAAGTCGCATGCCATTGTTGCACTCCAAGAGATGCGCCATCCAAGGAAAAATGAAATTGGCATCAAAAAAACATTAGGGAAACAAGTACTGTCCTCAGGATCACATCAGACCCGTGCTCATTGAAACCCAGTTTCTTCCAGAAGTTTCCCTTGATGCTGGCTCGATCCATGCCTGGCGCAAAAATAGAATACAGCATTTAATATGCAAATTTGAGGGAACAGTTACAATACAATTTTCCAGAGATTGGTTGTTATGTTTTGTGTGTGTATCATATCCACAAATGTTGAGACTCGACAACAGGACATCTGAAACAATTTATCCACCTTTGCTTCGAAACACATGAGGTTGAAGTGCCAGCCAGCCTAGATCTTCGAAGCGATCAAATGCGAACACATGTGGAGCACCAGCTCCTCCAATACCACGTAGGTGAGCACCATAGCAACTGAGGTGAAGGAACGTCTTCCTGAGATTTAGACTCAAATCCAGAAGAAATTGGTAAATTTCCACTTGGGTTGGTTCACCACAAAAGGCCCCCACAAGTCCCCAATAAATCCATGTTTTCCCTGCATTTTATCAAAGATTTTGGGACTTGTGGGGGCCTTTTTTGGGGGACCAACCCAAGTGGAAAATTAAGGGAAGAATTGAATTGATTCAGTTCCTCCCGCATGGTTTTCTTGCAATCGAAAATCCAGTTGCGAATAGAGTTCACAATTTTCACCTCTCGGAACTTTTGTTCATGTGGACGTTGCTTGGGATCCACAAGAAATTCTTGCAGCACCTGCTGGAAGTCTTCGGGAGTTTCCAGGTGCTTTTTGCTTTCCAGCAGATTTGAAAGCACACTAAACCAGGCATCCACGTCTTCGTGGGAGTGCCCACTTTGAAGAAAACGCAGTTCCATCCGTTTCAGTCGGCGGCTGCCTATCAAATATCCTGCCATTCTGGTCAAAGTATTATTTTTCACCTCCCGAGAGGTATTGTCAGCTTGGCAAATAAGTTCCATTTTTCTGATGTCAGATGTTTCGGATATTTGATTGACAACGTAGGCAATCAGCTCGCAACTCCATGAACTGTCCTTGCGGACGAAAGGCTCACTGAGGGCCATGAGGATTCCATATCCATGTGCTATCACTGCTGTGGCGTCCATGCAAGGACGAATGCATCCACTGAGTTCCTTCGACTGGAAGATGGTATCCCGTGGATACCGGTACTTGTTGTGGTCCTGCCCGTCAGTGATCAGGCATATTGAATGCTCACCATCAGGTAGAACAGGAATCCTTGACCGTGTCCTTGCCGCCCAGTATTGGACACGGTCATCATACTGACGTTGAAGATGTTCACTGTAGGCTTTCATCTGCTGATTGCGAAGTTGTCTGTCACCAGACAATTTCCTCAGAAGCAGCTTGTGTCTCGTGCACACACCACACTGGGCATGGTGTGACTCCTCCCTCAACGCCAACTTGGCACCGAAACTTTCAGCCCATACCTGGCTCAAAACGGGATGAATGGTGCGAAAAAAAAACATCCAAACGAAAGGCATAGTACCCAAAACGAAACTCAACAGAAAAGTTGTCAGTTGCGGATGGAGCCCCGAAAATTATAGACCCAACAGGTCCCGCATACTATGCCCCGACTTGCCCCGACATGACCCAAAAACGGCGTGATCCTTTAGGCCTGGATACAGGCACCAAAAGAACACGCCAATCTTGGCCCAACATCAATCAGCTCAACATAGGCTCCGAATGGCCTCCAATGAGCCCAACATAAACCCATATAGTCCCAACATAGTAGGCCCAACATGGCTCCTACATCATCATGGCCCAAAAACGGCGAGTTCATTTGGGCCTGGATACGGGCACCAAAAGAACACACCAATCTTGGCCCAACATCAGCTCAACATAATTAGTTAGGCTCCACATGGCCCCCAATGAGCCCAACATGGACCAATAACAAGATTTCCCTTGAAAAGGGTCCTCAGGGAAAATGGGGTCCGCGCGCGCGCGCGAGCTTCGATTTGGAGTCACTTTTGGCGCGCGCGCGCGCGGACCCCTTTCACCGCGAGGGATCTCTTTCAAAGTTAAATGTGTTCAAATATAGGCCCAACATTGGCCCAACATGGCTCCGACATGACCCAAAAACGGCGTGATCCTTTAGGCCTGGATACAGGCACCAAAAGAACACGCCAATCTTGGCCCAACATCAATCAGCTCAACATAGGCTCCGAATGGCCTCCAATGAGCCCAACATAAACCAATATAGTCCCAACATAGTAGGCCCAACATGGCTCCGACATCATCATGGCCCAAAAACGGCGAGTTCATTTGGGCCTGGATACGGGCACCAAAAGAACACACCGTTCTTGGCCCAACATCAGCCCAACATAGGCCCCACATAAAACAAGATATGCTATAATATCATTTAATACACCCAACATATCATGTAATTATGTGTGTATATAATAACATGAATTTGAATCCTCTGTCACGGTGTGTCTTTGCTCTTCTTTGATCAAGTTTGCGCTTTCACCACTCTCCAGCTCATCTTACGTTGCAAGTTTCAACCCAGTAAGAAATTACACGTGCGAATCAGAAAATGTAACCAGACATAATAATAATCCTCTGAGATTCTTTCGAAAAAAGCTTCAAGCTGATCTTGGTGCCAGGATGCCTCAACTGAAGGAGGCCCAAGTAGTCAGAATACGAACCTGGTGGCAGGAGCTTCATCTTAGACTTATCACATCCTCGGTTCATCTGGGCTGCCAGTCGTGGTCTTCGACCTCTATGCCGTCGAAAACGCAACTTCCCTTCAGTTAACAAGTCACCAGCCTCTGTGTGGCCGTCTGCCTTGCGTTTGACTGCAGCTGTGGACTGGTTGGCATCAGGCATTGGTTCACTCAGAGTCTGATAAAGCTCCTCCAGGAACTCAGTGATCATGGCTCTCCTCCCTGCAACTTTCGGATTCCTGAACAGTTTTCTCTGGGGTGCACTTCGCCCATCGATAGGTGGGGTAACACCCTTGGAAGCAGCACTGCGCAGTCGCACATATCGCTTGGATCCAATTCCAATCAACTTCCTGAAGGCCTGCTGACAGACTGGGCGATGCAACACAACCTGTTTTCGTCGATGACAAGCCGGGGTCGCCTTCAACATCGCAGCAACCTAACGGGGTGAAGAAGTAAGATTGGTCCAGCAAATCTAAGTCCAATAAAAATGAGAAAGAATCATCCATATTTAACACCATATGCTGAATCTATACTATAATTTCACTCACAGGATCGGAGGCCAACCTCATTGTCCATATCCTGTTTATGCAAAGATAGCAATCTCGCACGCAGTTGGACCAACTCGTCTACAGATCCTTGAAACTGCCGGAAGCAGCTTGAGCGAGCATGAGATCTTCTCTGCCGAGCACATCCACACAGAGATCCAACCATTCGAGCAAGCTGTTGTTTCCACTGGGATGCATTCATTGGCAAGCTTGCCTTCACAGGACGCTTCTCAGGCCGAGAATGCAGATGAGCATCCAAATTGCCCTGTTGCTCATCATCAGAAAGCTGGGCAACAACATTCTCATCATCAGACAATGAGGTCAGCGACTGTTGTGAATCTTGCTGCATTGCATGGCGGCACCGTGCTGGACCAACTATTATGAAAGAACATACCATCACAAAGGATCAAATCGAATATGATCATCATGATCATCTCCATCAACCTTCTTGAAACATGATGATTGCGACTTGCAAAAGTTTTCTTTGCGCCCTTGGTTGCCTCCAAAACCCTTTCCCCCATGACAGCCTGACAAGTGGCCTGCAGTTCCTCGGAGATATAATGTCCGAAAATGTTTGTAAACTACATGCTCAAATCAAGAGATTGAAGCTGAAGCAGCACGCTATTTTTGCGCAAGTTGTAGCTGACGCAATCACATGAAGTGCAAGCCGGGCACATTGTGGGATGACAATGTTCCCACATGCTTTGAGCCTCTCCTTGTCCACTTGCGATTGACAGGGCTGTAGCCAGTCTGTAATGTCAGGCTTGCAAGTCACATTCCAGGGTCGGTGAGAAGACTTTCTCATCTCATCTGCTGTCATCAGCTCCAACACCTGACAATGAATGGTTAATAAACGGTTAATAACCAAACATGGCATGCTGCATGTCATGTGTATCATTTGACCGCAATGAGAAAAAAGAAACTCCGTCCAACAGGTCTAATGTCTGAATCTGAACCTAAGACCCAAACATTGAAAAGGCGATGACTGTATTCAGGCCGCACAGCAAGGAGAAATATCCTCTCGCGGTTCACCTTCAAGGGCAAGCAAAAATAATTCTCTCGTGACATTACGACTCAAAAACATTGCTCGAGACAATGATGAGACCAGCGTTACAACCCTGCCTGGGCACCAACATTCTTACCAGTCAGCGTGCACCATTGAAGGAAGAAACCCCGCTGTGCAAACTCCTGTGGCCACAGGGCTGCAACGAGAATACCTCTCTGAGGGTGCAATGGATTGAATGGCTCCTGGCAAATGAAGAGGAGCAATTCCCGGTTGCTCGGGCTCAGGAGGTGACTGACGTTCTCGAGGAAGCAGAAGAACCTCCAGCCGAAAGGCAAAACCAAGCCACAAACACCATTATCATTCCACCCAGAATCCGCTCAAACCAAGTATTGTCATGCACACAAACTGGGTGAGAGACAGCAATGGAAGCAAATCCATGATTCTGTACAGCTCCACAATCAAGCCAGTTCTGGAATCTTGCAATCCAAGCATGGCTCCGGCGCGGCAGACCCCCTGATGGCACAACAGTAACAGTGACTTGCAATTCAATGCTGTGATGAACGTGAACTGGAACCCGTGACCATCAGCATGAAGAATGGGCAAGAACACTCAGACCCTGACTTGACAGGGAAAACCTGCTAGAAGCCCTTCAGCTGCCAGCTGAGAACCATGAGGAATAAATTCTCTCACGTCAGAGACAATGTCAGCTTGAGGCAAAAAGCCATCCTGCATCCTGGTGCACCAGCAAGCAGTTAGCAACTTTTAAAATGCTAATGATATGGACTTCCAAACCCTGTCTCATGACGGCGTCCTGACTTCAAGGACAGCTTGACAGTACTCACTGTTTTCAACCTCATCAAGAGGATAGCTTACTTGCACAGCAATGGAGATGAACCATTGTGTTTCTGGCCAACTTTGCTGGGTTTCCGGCAAAGGCAACTGTCTGGAAGACCCTGCGCAAATTGCAAATTACACTACGAGACTAGAAAGGCATGCAGCACAAACATTGTCTAATCGCAATGCAATTCACAAGATTATGACTGACTGAGTGCTGCACTGATGCACTCCAATGTCCAGGCCACCCACACCAGAAAAAAGGCTGATGACTGGAAGCCGTGCTGCTTGGCATGTGGAATCCTCACGACAAAGAAGGTGGCTTGAAGATGACTTGGCGTGTCCATCATCATACGATATTAAAATCCTGAGTGCCTGGCTCCAAACAATGCTTGCCAATGTGCTCGATTCACACTCCCTGGGAGTGGAACAGTCCAGTTTGTAGGAAGACCTGACAACGTCAACAGCCTAATGATACACAAGTTTGTGGTGAATTTGACAACTTCAACTCTCACTGTGTTTGTTGTCATGGTCGATCCGTTTACAGTGATACAGGAGCAGCACTGAGACGATTATTTATTATATATATAAGACTGGCTTTTGCTGCTGAGCCACCTGAGATCCATTCTGCAAATTCAGGATTCAGGAAGATGCCACGTGGTTTGTTTACTTGCCTGCACTTCCACTTGTAAAAGTCCCACCATCGAATCTGTGTCGCAAGGTCCTGGGCATGGCGGCTTCAAACTGACAAAATGTTGCGAATATATTTCATATGTGCCATGAAACATCACTGGCAAATAAATACTGGCAAGAACCTAAACTGAGAACCAAACCTGCGTGGCCCTCACGCTGAGATATCTTGGATTGGCTCTGGTCGTTGTGGGAAAGCATCCTGACATGTAAATGCATTTTAAGAGTGATATTCTGTTTAATTTCAGTCGGTGAACTTTCAGAATTACACAACACGAATGAATGCGCAACCACTTAATGAGACAGAGCACGAATTGTTCCGAAGCAATGCCGGACTGTTGCCACGTCCCGCAGTGGTGTTGTCACCTTTCCATGTAGTTGTTTCCTTGCTGCCATCCCTGGTGGTACCTTAAACACTCATTCAATGTGAGTTGAGTCTAAGTTTTGCTCACTTCAAGTTGTTGCATGTCAAGTTGCAATTCTCATGTTCAGAGGGTCAGCTTCTGGTTCATGGTCTCCCCAAATTGGCACGTAGGGAGCTACATGGTGCTGTTGAAACCATGGAGCTCTGAAACCAAACCTTGGCCACCGCTGCGTCTCTGCAAACTTCTTCACCTGTCAGGGCAACTCAACGCAAAGGATCTGACAGACCAAAATTTACACAATAAATAAAACTGAAGGTCGAACGCATCATGCTGCAAATAGCATGCCACGCGGCATGCTGCAAATGATTTTCCGACACATTCCCGGTCTCTTTCTGACTGGCTGAGCCTTACGGTCTTGTTGACCATCATGTCCACCAGGACGTTGAAACCTGCACAGGGAAGTGATACCAATGATCAGAACAGAATATATTTGAATGCAGGAATCTGATGCCAATGATGATCAAGCAATGAATTGTTCTGCAGGCAGCCCATTGATCCTTTTTATTCAATGTCATCCTCTGTCAACCAGAGTTGTTCGAATAACTGTGCTGGCTATTCGAACAACTCTGGTTGACAGAGGATGACATACTAAGGTAGGGACATTCTTTATGTCATCTGGTCACGGACTGCGGTGTGAAACTTTGCATCATCTCATTCCAAGACATAGGGTCCACGTTCATGACAACATGTTTCCAGTACGCAGTGTCTGGCAGGGTCTGGGGCGCACGTCGCAAACGTCTGGAAACAGGGGTATGACGAAGCAGAACTGATCCAACTTGACTCCTGTTTTCCCCCAAGGCAGTTTAATGTCCGTCCGTGGTTCCAAGTTTAGCCACAACTGCACAAGCCTACTTTCAGAAGGTGGGTCCAGATCATCCTGAAAACCAAGATTTGTTGTGGTGTCCACACGCCAGTCAACTGTGAAAGCGCAAACCAATCCGTCCCCAAAAAAATCATCTGGAGATACAGCATCATCACGAAGAGAATTAGCCATGTTGAATTTCCAGGATTTCAGCTAAATCTTCGTAGCAATCAGTGATTTCAACGGCAAAGGCGAAGCAAGTCACCCGTAGCTGTGCCCTGTCTGACACGCTCAGGTACAAGAAAGTGATGATGTTACGCTCAACACTGCCAAGACCAAACACCACTGTGAGGTTCCAAATGTCTGATTGTTCCCACCTGTCAAGGTCAAAATCTGAAGTCACGTCCACGGGAGTCCAGGCTGGAGGGTATGCAGCTCTCATGCAAAGATAAGCCACAAAATGAAAAAGCAACCCGTGAAAAAAGCAGCCACCACTGAGCACAGAAGTCGAAGAGTGAAGGTATGGCTTTGTACTGGTCCACCTAGGACTATGGGATTTGCTAAGGCTACTTGTCCCCTCCGACGCATCTAAACTTTGAACGACCCCTGTGGTTCGAGTGGATTGTTTCATCCACTTGAGAATGAGCAGCACGGACGTAGATAAACTTCAGCATTAATTGTTTGGAAAGTTTGACTGCAGAGACAGTGGCAGAGAAATTGCAAATAAAGAAAGGATCATGGTTAAAAAAGTTTTGACATGTTGATGCAACCTGTCTGCATGGCTGAGTTCTGAACTGCACCATCAAGCTCTGAATCTGTTCTTCAGCAGGAAGTGGCCTCGCGTAGTCACTTTCATTAATTTATATGGCCACTAACAATTTTCCTGCTGGCTTGCCCCCCTAACTTTGGCAAGCCAAGAGGCAAATTACATCTATTACTTTATATATATATATATATAGAATCTGTGTTTGCCCAAACTTGTGACTCAATCATCATGCCTCGCAATTCATGCAGTGCTCACACTTCTGCTCAGAGTCAGACCCATCACTCAGGGTTGACAATCTCCTGCGTGGTGGGTCCTCCAAGTCGTGCCTCAAAACCATATTCGACATTCAGCTGCCGGCGCAATGACGGCAGCAACATTTCAAAGCTGAGAACCAAACTTCACGCTTTAAATCTCATTGTCTTTTTTTATATTATATATTTGAACTCCATACGCACAGAAACTGAGTAAGACACTCATCGCTGAGGAAAGACAAACTCCTCCGGGTTTGCTGAATCCCCTCAAGTGACCTGGCTTGGCAACATCTATAATCAAGCATTGCTTAGCAAAACATACCGTGCGAACTGACAATGTGACTGCCAATCAAGTTTCAACGTGCTGATTGAAAAGCTTGGGCCATTGGACTGAGTCAAAGGCTCATCACTCAAAATGGACAAACTTTTTCTCCTGGCACCACCAGACCTGAACTAAACCCTTTCGGGTGACATCATGCCATTGTAAATTTTGAATCTGCCATGGTAGAAATTTTGACAGCAAGTGCCAGGCGATCAGTCAAACCAAATAGATAGTAAAACCAAGCGAAGGACTGCAAAGCGGGAGAACTGGCTGGGAAAGGTTCTGCCGGACTTCTCAGTGACCTGACACTGAGTCAGTCACTTTTTGCAGCACATAGTTTCGAAGAAGAAGTAGACCACAGACTGTCCACAATTTAACCAGAATTTACGTCGCAAAATGTTTCAGCCCATCAGTCAGGGACTGCGACCTCCTCTGTAGTTGCCCTTGACGGTAGTCCAGGGTCCTGATGTCGCAAACTGTAAATTTATGGAATGGACCTGAAGAGCATGCCATCATGGTAATATTATTCAAGCTGTTTGGTGTCCAGTTTCAATCAAAGCATGATGAGTAGAATCATAAAAGCTACTGCTCAGGAGTCTGAGTTCAGAGCTCATCACTGCAAGATCGAGATGGCAGTTGTGTCACAGAAGAGTCCTGCAATGGCCTAACAGGCAATGAACAAAAAGTTTTGTTTCCCAATAATATACCTTTGTTTCTGGTTTCAATGAAAGCTCCATAACCATGCAAGGCATGATGCTCATGAGCACAAATTAAGTTAGTAAAAGTTCAAAGGCCTAACAGTGACAGGCGATGTTTTTCCCAGTGGGCCCCTCGAGAATAAGGCAAGCGAAAATCCAATTTATTGCCAAATCCACAATGACAACGTTTGCATGGCAGCGTCGTGAAGTCTGAGCTCGAAGCCTCCTCCCACTTGCAGAGAAATCTAGCGCCCTGATGATGCCAAAAAAACACATTGCTCATGTAAAACTTTATTGAAAGCCAGCTGCTTAATTCATGATGTACTGTTCCATTTTAATGTTCAATCCAAACTAATAAGATCTGTGTCTGAGTTCAAGACTCTTCCGTCCAACTTTGCGGAGTCTCTGAAAGGAATGACGATGATGGCCTGTGTCGCTTTCCAGGGATAATGGGTACGGAAACACAAGTTTTCATGTCAGAGTCGTTGCAATGAACTCAACATCCACAGATACAAAGTAAAAAACTAAATTGCTCACAAAAGACATCAGGAACTCAGGGCAACACCCATTGGCATCAGAGCTGGCACTGGTTGCCATGCAGCCTGACAGTTCACTCTATTTTACTGCTATCTATTGAACCTAATATCATCAAGATGACTTGCACTGGACCCAGCTGCGAAAAAAAATCCTTTGGCCTGCCATATGGGGCTGGGCTGACAAAAACAATCCGGATCATGTCATTGGGAATCACATGAAAAAAATGCCACTCACATGTATCGAGCGGACGGCAATTAAATTGTGGAATCAAAGATGGCCAATCACATTCAAGGCCTGGCCTGCGAGTTGGATTTGTTTAGCAAGTCAGTCTTCCATGTGACAACGCTGCAAAATCAAGGTGCAGAGTTGGAACTGAAATTTTGATACTGGAAATGGACCTGAAATTCAATGGACGTCTGAAATCTTACCTGGTCAGTGTTGATTTTTTTCACAAATTTTGTCCCAGTGCCACGTCTAAAATTGCTGCTATCCCTCAGTGCCAACCAAAATCCTGTTGGTTTTAAAGGGGTGACTTTGATAAGGTTACCCTGGAAGCAGGATATTGCTTGGCACTGAGGGCTCTCAGTACGGCGCGGGCGCATCAAATTCAAACCCAGCTAAATCTGAGACTGCAAGTGAAACTGACTGCCATGCAACTGAGACCTGAACCCGGCCAATGACTGGAAATAATAAGTGCACAAAAAATCGCTGGTCACTGCATTGTGCCGCTGCGCGTCATGAGTTTCAATAATATAATATTAGAATTTGTCGCCATCGTTGTACGGACACCACCCCCTCCCAGGCAGAAACTCCACACCCACCACATTGAACAATAATTAACAAAACCAAATGTATATGTTTCCATACTATGTATATTATACTATTATTTACATAATATATTAATATATATAAATAAAGTAAACATATGTTAACATTAAATACTTTATTACATGGAATATTATGATGAGATAAAAATTCGTCTTCCAGGGCAACAACCATTTTTCCTTTTAATCCTTTTCTCCATAATTAATGGCGCCTCGAGCCTTTCGGATGACAATCATCGTCAGCCAGACGAATGGCTTTTAAATGGTGGTCAGAGGTACGTTGGGGCTGAGTTTGAGTCATTCGACGAGTCTGCTGATAGTTTGTTGGAGTGCCGGGGACGACTCAAGCCCCAGCATTTGTAACATGTGCTCTCGTGGTATGATTCATGGCCTACTTCAAGCCAACCCCGCTTGCAAAACCCAAACCCCCTTAGAAAGAAAAAATCTTCTTTTCCTTTTCCCCAGAAAGCTGTCTTGCTGGTCGTTCTCCCATGCTGTATAGCCTTTTCCTTTTGACCTCGGACGGAAGCCGGGTCTTGAACGTTTGCCTTTCTTTGCAATAACCCTTCGGCTTTCCTTTCTTGAACGATCGGCCGTATAATCGACGCTTAGAGTAAGTACCCTTAGCGCCCAGAACCCAGAAATCGGTTTCTGTAAAAAGGCCTGTAAATCTTTCCTCTCCTGTGTCCTCATCTACGACCCAGAATCCTTGCTCTCCTTCATCGGTTTCTCCTTCAACTATGATGTAGAAGGAAGACCGTTTTCGGTGTGGGATTTTTGGATCAGCGACTCCAGTCCTGGACACACAGAACAATTCAAGGAACAACTGCTTCACCTGCAAGTACGTGCTGTGGCATGGCGATTTGGCGGGTGTTCATGGAGGAAACAAAACGTTCAGGTTGTTGTTCATTCAGGTCTGCTTCAACTAAGAAAATCAGTGACATCAAATTGTCTCACAGTGGGAATGCTTGTTGATGCTGTGCGATTCGTTATCGTTTGTTCCCGAAGGGTGCCTTGATACGATATTCTTTCTTCATCATTTGGTAATTGCTGGTAGTGCTGACGCCGTTCATCAGTGAGTGCTGCCAAATATTCTGTCGTGCCTACATCCGGTAAATCGGTCAAATCATCAATCAGGTCGGCCCACGATGCAAGGAGTCTCTTCTGTGCAATCTCGAAACGCCCTATCCAGTGCACGAATTCATTCCGGCCTCGGTATGTGCGAAACAACTCGAGGAATCGCCAAAGAAACACATGATTTACTCCCTTCAGAAAGTATGGTCTCAATGTGTCCTTGAAATGGGCGAGGCCACGATCCGGATCTCAGAGTCAGGCATTGTCAGGCATTGACTTGTAGAATGAAGCGGCTCCTACCAATGCATTTTTGAGTGATGGGCCATGTTTGTCTGTATCTACTGTTGTAATGCCTAACCAATCATCTATTAATTCATACTCAAACCAACTAGATTGGCCGTCAAAGTGAGGTGGCACCTTCGGAGTCATTTTGAAACCAGTTCTGGAATCAGTCGTATTAACGACGCAGGCATCCAGCTCTTCATGTATTTGAACTTGGAGTTCTTCGTCTGAATCCATGCTGTGGATTAAGACCATGGCAACTACTCGTGGTTGTGCCACAAGCTGCCCTGGCTAGTCCGTATATCGGCGCAGGTGCGAGAAGCAACTGCTGTCCGAATATCGGATCTGAGCAGGGCACAGAGCTCCGCTACCACTTTGAGGTAGCGTTCCGAGTAATGAGGGGCCTGAGCTGGAAGCTACGAACACTTGCGGCCACACAGTCGAAGTGCAGTACCTTTTTATGCAGGCTATGCTAGAAGTCTTGAGCCACGGAGTGGCGCAGTGGGTCAAATGAATTAGAGTTACAGTGAACATGTCACATGGTATGCAAACTGTATGTGCATTGTGTAGACACGTCCCCAAAAATAGGTTAGAGGGGGTTGCGGGGGCTGGTACATATATATATATATATACACACACACGCAGTCAACCATGTGATTCGCTGGTCCAAGATGCCTTCTTTGTTGTAGGCAGCCAGTTGGATACTCTTGGGCAAGAACATGGAAGTCTTCCCAAAGTAGCCTCAGCCGTTAGACGTGACTCGCGCTTGCGAGACTCAGGGGATTTTTTTCTCGCCAAATGTTCCGACCCTCAACCTACAAGGTTTGGGATAAGATGGGTGGGCTGTCGCTGCCAAATCCTTGAATGCCAAATCGTTCAATTTATTCGGGTGTTTGTTCGATCCTCAGAATGCTGGTGATTCTGATAATTTCAACGAGTCTTTGGAATCTATTCCTTCATTTCCAACATGCATCGCACTCCGCAGCAGGAATGCGTTCGAAGCACTGTGAAAAACAAGACCGCTGCAAACACCTTGCCATCATTTCTACCAAGAAGCCCATATTGCCCAGGTTTCTCGGCGCATTCTGCGGATAGTCGCGCTCAATCTGTGCCCATGTGCGGGCATATGACTCAGTCCAGCCCTCTACATTGATGTGGTTTGTAGTAGCCACCGGTGTAGCGGAACAGCCGCGGTCCTGCGGCCAGCCAACTCAAGGGTTTTTTATCCTTGCCCCTTGGCGCTGCCACCTGATGCCATGGAGATCAAAAGGGGCGAAACATGATGAAACATACCTGCTACAGCCTTTCAAGAGGGTGATCAACACCCAGCATAAAATCGGAACATAAAAGTTTTATTGAAAAGTAGGGGGAACAGGTTTCTGGAGAGGACGCTTATAGGAAAGTGAGTCCTCAGCAGAACTGTGGGGCTCCCGCCCCGGATTTTAAAAACCCATGCTTCAAAGGTTCGGGCCCCTACTGCAAACCAGTGCGGCAACGACGGAAGGCATTCACATATATTAAAATATCCCGGGTAGCAAACTACCACCGTTCCCCTGTCAAATTAGGCAGATACAAAAGATACATGAATATACGGTCAGAAAAAAACTCAATACCAACATGATGAATCTGACACAAAGACTTTTGCATAAGTTTCTCAAACTAGAGAGGGAATCCAGATCCAAAAGACACTAATTACCCAAACATCAGCGTGAAGCCGGCGAAGTAGTGCCAAAACAACAAAACTTTAAAAAGAGAGGGAGCATGCCCTGTATATCCCTATAAAGATGTAACTTACACTTCGGCACGCCGGTTACCAAGAGGATGCGGAAGAAGTTGCAGAAAATCTTCAACCATTCAGTCAAATAGAAAACGCGCACGAATCACAATTGCCGTGGAAAACGCGAAGTCAACTTGGCTGTCTTTCATGTTTACTTTCGGATGAGATCTGCACTTGTTTTCTTTGTCACACGCGGCGCAAACTGCCTTTTCCTTATATGTAGGCTCTACCAGTGAGGACAGCAAAAGCGCCGGAGATGTCATGGGCCACAAGTGTGCAACACGGATGGAACACACAATTGAAATGTCGACCCCTATGACAGCTCACATGCCATGCCATCACCACCAAGAAACCCACAAGCAAGAGACCACCCATACACCACCAAAAGCACCACTTAAATGCCACCGCAATACCTGCAAAATACCTCTCAAACGCAACATTACGAATGCATGCCCACCCAAACGCCACCAAGACGCACCTGCGCAATAGAGACTAATAGGCCTCGAGGTTTGCACCAACACATCGCCGACACTCCACCAAGGCACAACCAAATCACAACTGACACAACACCAATACACCCCTAAGACATTATTGACACGCCGAAGTGACACCATCCTTAACCAAGACACAGCAACAACCCACACTGCACAACTGACAAAGGCAGTGCCCAGACATAACGGCTCTACATCGGCCCAGCATGGGCTCAAGAGGGCGCAACAACAACCCAACATGGATCGAATTTTTGCTCAACATGAGCTTGAGATAAGACCAGCTTAGCCGGCATAGCCTAAGCGCAGCATGCCCCAAAAGAAGCCAAAAATATAGTTGAACATAGCATCAGAAACATCAGCAACGCAGCAAGAAATGCTGTTTTTCTGTGCATTTACGGTGTTTTTGCAAACGCCTTGCATGGACCAAAACTCAACGTGGCCCAAAATGGCTCATCATGGGCCCAATATGGTCCCAACGTTGGCCCAACATATCCCCACATCGCCCAACATCTTCCCAACATGGGCCAAGATGAGGCCAACATGGCCCAAGATCACTATATATTGGTGCAACATGTTTCCACATAGGCTCAACATGGCCCAGCATCGGGCGAATGTAGCCAACAACATAGTCCAACATGGTCCCAACTTCGGGCCAACATGGACCAAGGTGGCTCTACATCGGCCCAACATGGACTCAAGAGGACGCAACAACAACCCAACATCGATCGAATTTTTGCTCAACATGAGCTTGAGATAAGGCCAGCATAGCCTAAGTGCAGCATGCCCCAAAAGAAAGGAAAAAATATAGTTCAGCATGGCATCAAAAACATCAGCAACGCAGCCAAGAAAAGCCGTTTTTTCTGGGCATTTACAGTGTTTTTGACAAGATAAAGGCCAGCACACAGCCCAAAATGGCTCATCATGGGCCCAATATGGTCCCAATGTGGCCCAAAATGGCTCAAGATAAGCCATGATAAGCCCAATGTGGTCCCAACGTTGGCCCGGCATATCCCCACATGACTCGACATCTACTACCCAACATGGGCGCCATGGGCCAAGATGAGACGGACACAACCGGTGAAGCGTCTTCTAGCCATTGATGTCCATCTGGGAATCTGAAAGCTTCAGGCCACCTCAATGAGCACACCCCAATTCTAAGTTGGCTTACAATGATATATTTTTTTTGTATCTAAGTTGAGATATCCAGCGTGAACCCTTCACCATCCCCAAATTTCAATCCGTTCTTGTCCTGAATGTTCAGCGGATTTGCACAGCCGGCAAGTGCATAAAAAGCATCCTGGTTGCGGTCGCTAGCGTGCCGGGCCCAGCGCTAAGGGGACAGCAGAGAACTTGGATATCCCAATGTTCACAACTTCATCAGTGGTTCATAAGCATGGTATGGAGCACTTATACACAGGATACAGTATCCCTAGTTGTTTAATGTAATTCTTGGATTATGTGTACTTTGGCAATCATCGAAGAACCAGGATGCACATCCAAGAAGGTTTATGAAGTCTCCCTCAAATCTTTGTTCTTGGTGTGGTCCAACGCGCGGTCCTGCATGGTGTGCAAGTTTGGCCTGTTTTTGGGCACGCTGTGCATTGTATGTACGTTCCGTTGTTTGTTTACCTTCTTCTATGTCTGTATGCGTAGGTTTACGCTGTGCTTTGTACTGTCTCTGTATGCGCTGTTTGTCACGTTGTCGGTGTCTCATTTCTATGTCTGTGTTGGTGGGTGGGAAGCAATAACGATGGTTGCTCGTTTTGCTGTTGCCTAATTCTCTTGATTGCGTGCCTTCTCAGTAGGTCGGTTCAGCGTGTCAGAACATGGAAACGAAACCCCTCCTCGTGGTCATAGCATCTTTCCTGTGTTAGTTGTGTGCAAGTCAATTCTACGCTAGATGATGTTCGTTTGAACTTCTTCTTTTACAACCCTTGTTTTTTGAATTTTCACTGAAGGACATGTGCTGACTGGAACCCAGAGCTTAGATAGGATATGGGCTTTCCTGAAAAAAATGGGGTCGCATTGTTGGTAAGCCTGCAAGAAATAAAAGAACATCGCACGCAAATGCACACAATTGGATTGGAATATTGCCTGCCCATAGTGCTGGCTGCACAACTGCAAAATGCAGAAAAGGGACTAGCTATGACTTGCTCAAGTCTTTAGCTGAAACCGCCAGCAGAGGCGGCTCTAAAAGCACATGACTCATGGAAATGTAGCTGGGGACACGGGCAGTGCCCTGCTATGGTTGCTACTAGTAGAATTACCTTGTTCTCTTCCGTTCGGTCCAAAACAAACTCAGCCAAGCGTCAACGGTGTTGGGCCCCGGTCCTGTCTGCACCACGTGGAATCCCAGAATTTCTTCCAGCAAAATGTGAACCACTTCTGAAGTCACATAGGCCGCCGGCCAGTCACACACCCAAACTCCGATGGGATAAGGGCCCCGTGGGCCGGTCAGGAATTTGCGATCTGACTTTGGAACGGCGACACTTGGGAAGCAGGCCGAGATCTCTTGCGACTGAGTTTGGGCACATCCTAGGATCAGAACGGTGAAGGCTGTGAAGTGTCGAAGATGTCGCGAAAGTGCCAACTGCAACATTCGTGATCATTCGTGCGAAGGCTAGACGTCTAGGGGTCGAGAGCCACGAGACCAGGTCAGACGGTTGGAGGCGGATCAACAATGACAAACATTGTCAGAAACATGGTATTGAGCCAAGAGGTACGCCGAAACAGAAGGGGCCTGGAGTGAAAAACAACTTGCTGTAATGCCATCGGGATAAGTAAGATTTCACCCAAAAAATAAACTGGCACAAATCCAGAGACTCAATGTCACAAATCTTGACTGCCCTTGCTCTTAGCATCTGGCCGAGAAAGTGTCGTAACCTCGCAAATCAGCAAATCAGAAAATCGGAATTCTCCGGACGCAGGGGGCAGCAGGCACAAGCGTCATCCAGGTCTACGGAACATGCTTTGATTTAGCGCAAGACAAACCTTTTGACATTGCATCATTCATCAGAATATCCAAAATATCAACAGTAACACCAAGTGATGCGCCACGAACTTCTTAGAAAACGTGCCGATATCACTTTTTCACTCTGGTTTGCACATCAAAACCACCAGCCAGCTGTTTTTGATGGTTGCTTCCCTGGATCCCCCTGTCTGAAAAACTTTGGTACCATCAAAGACAGACTCTGCATCAAAAAACACCACTGTGAATCCGGATATATGTCGAGATATTACATCAAAATGTGAGGCCATTGGCGAAATGTGAGCAACAAAAAATAACGTTTCATTCTCGTCGGGTCTTTTCAGCGCTGTGTGTCTTCTGCCTATAAACATATATACTTAAGGATTGAAACTTAGAATGTGGTCCGGTTTCCAAAATTTTAACCCTTAACTTAGAATGACGGCAGTTAGAATCTCCCGGCCATCACACCAAGAAACGCCATCCCAAACTTAGAATGACCGGACATCATACAAAAAATGCCATCCCAAACGTGGTTCAGTGCAAAAAATGTGAGAGTTGGTTTAGGGTTCGTTTAAAATTTACTTTGGCTTGGGGGTTGGTTTAGGGGTTATTTAGGGTTGATTTAAGGTATTGTTACGGTTGGTTGAAGTAAGGGTTATCTTAAAAGTGTTTTAAGGCACTAGAGTCATCAAAGGACGGAAGGACCCAGGGACCAGAGGACCAAGGGACCGGAGGACCAAGGGACCAAAGACCAGAGGACCAAGGGACCAGGGGACCAAGGGAGAGGACTGGAGGACCGGGAGATTCAAAGACTACAAAGGGCCAAAACACTGCACCAGCGCAGGAAAACTGATTTGTTATTTTTTGATCCCTTAAATATTTTTTGATGCCTTAAATATGTCTTTTTGAACCCCGTGCCTTGAAGCACCTGCTTTGGGTCTTCAAAGAATTTGCTCAGTAACGCAGCACCTGACTGGATTGCGCGAATCATGACACAAGATTTGCTGATTGCATTGTTTCATGTAATGTTCTTTCATGGTGCTCGTCTACACTCTAAACGTCTTTGCCAACCGCCAAAGATGACTTCAATGTATGTCACCGCAGCAGCTACAGCCTGGCACCTTTTCGTCAGCGCAATCAGGCGCAAAAAGAACGCGAAGGCAAACGGCTATGCCGTGCAGGTGTGCTGGTCTTTAAAAAATGTGGAGGTAAAAAACACTCATTTGGGAATGTTTATACCGTATACCATCTATTTATGGTGATTTGGGGGATTGTTTTTTTATTGTGAACAAACGAAGCTGCCACAATCGTCCGCTCAAGCTTTTGCCGCCGCCTGCATAGCGTAAGCCAAAATGGGTCCTGGCCTTTCGGGGATTTGGGCCATATGCCCACGTCAGGTGCACGGTAACATGCTTCCTTAGTGTCCCTGGCAAGTCATGCAATTCTCAGTTGATATCTTTTCTTTGTTGCCAGAGGACAGGGGATGGAAGAATGTCACCAGAACTTCAGGACTATCGCCTATCACGGCCTGTTTGTTGGCCAGCTGCAGATAGGCTACTCTATCTACATGGATGAGGCTTCAAGCACTTCGGAAGGCGTAAGTCCAAGCCGTTCCGAGGAAGGCATAAGTCCAGGCCGTTCCTGTGATGTCAAAAGTGCTTGCCTCTCTGCACTAGGCGCTGGAGTGGTTCACTCGCATGTTGATCCTCCAAATCTCGAACTCCAACATCAGCAGGACGCTTCTCAGCAACGAATCTTGAGTCAGCAGCTTTTGCCCGGTCAATCACAGGGTCAAGCCTTGTCAAAGTGCTCGCTCTGGAAGATGCCATCGGCGAAGGCAAGGTGGCAGGCATGGTTGGAAAGTTCCCGCCACTGGGTGTAGGCACGGAGGAAAGTCCAGCCTCCGAAGGTTGAGCGCCAACACCCATCATAGCTGACACAACTTCGCCAGGAGCTACAGGTGGTAGCATAGCTGCTGCTTGATCGGCCAATTGATCCTCACACTGCTGTCGTGAAAGTCCATCAGCAGTTTCACTTTGGGGATCGTCAGGAAGTCCAGATTGAGTCTTCTCCTCAATGGCCTCCTTCACGCAGTCCTCAATTGCATCCCGCCATGTTGAGCTAGCAATCTGCTCCATAGTTGATGCCCTTCTCACATGTTCAATGGGACACTTGGTGACTTGTCCTTTGAAGCTCAAATAGAGATTGGGACCTTCTCGGGCAATTACAAGAGCACGGCCATGCCATTTCCGCAAGGTCAAACGCTTTCTTGAATAAGGTTGGTGTTTGCAGACTCATCCTCGCCAGCCGGTCGGCCAAGGTTTGGTGAATCCTCCTCCTCTGAGTCAATCTGGTACTCTTCAACCGCCATAGCTTCCTTGTCATACTCATGCTTGAACTGCTTCTCAATGCCATCCACCAAGAGCTTTGCAAGTCGATGAGGATAATGACCTGCAGGTTCGGTCACAGCTTTGCCACCCAACACAGGTTGATGTTGATGAAGACGGTTGCAAAACTTTCCATCCAACAACCTAGAAGTGATCCAGCTTGACGTTGCTACCTTGGTGGCTTTACTGTGAAGTCCAAATTTCCCACGCAGGTCAAAACGACACTGATGAAAACATGCCAGATGGTGGTCGTGCTCATCAAGGAACTTCGTCATCTCAGGTTGCGTCCATGCTTGACTTGGCTGAGGGTTCTCAAGCACGTAGTGACGACCAGCTTGTTCTTGGATATCTGCAAGTTCCAAGGCAAATTGCAAAAGCACTGCACCGTCAACTTGCAACTTGGCAATGTCAGTGTTCTTGTTCAGGTGGAGCAAAGGACTCCATGGCCCACATGGAAAGGCTATCTCCAAGAAAAAGGGCTTCTCCTTACGAACAATTGCTTTGGCACGTTCGCGATCTTCAGGAAGTAGCAAATTGAATCCCGTTTCCAGTGACATAGCAGTTCCAGTCTTGTGCCCACGCCGTGCTGCTTCACGACAAACACGCTGGGTATGAGTATAAACTTCAGACGCCAAAGGCTTTGCAGTTGAGAGTTGAATTGTTGAAACAAATGCCTCTTTCAAACCTTTGTTCGTAGCATCATACCATTGTTCACTGAAACATCCAAAACATCTTTGGGAGAGTTGGAGACCAACACGCGATCTCGTTCATGTTGTTGCCAGGCCTGAGCAATCATCTGACCAAGGCCCTTCTTCACGTGCTGATTGATCTCCCAGGGATTGGCAGCATCATCTTCTAGTCGAAGGTCTCTGCAAATGCTGCGTCTCATCTCTGCATAGTACTCTGCATTCAAGCGTTGAACCTCCTCGTCGCTGATCTGCTGATCTGCCGCTCCAGTCATCCCCATCCGACGACGAAGATCCTCCGCTTGATTCACCTCCTCGAAGCTTCCCATGGAGTCGTCTGGGCTCTCGACGACTGGCAGCACTGGGTTGATGTTGCTCTGCAGGTTCACATGTTGCATCACCTGAGAAAGCATCGTTTGAAACCTGCTTTCCTGAGATTCCATCAGTGCTTGAACTTGTTGAAGAGATAGGTTGTTGGGATCTTCGGTCAAGGTGGCTGAAGGCGGAGGAGATTTTGCCTTTGGCTCGGGAGAGGAAGCGCTGGAAGATTTGCTTGGCTTTCCTTTGGCTTCCGGCTCCTTGACATGCTTTGTCTTGGCCATCAGCAAATCTACAGCTGGGCGACATTTTTCTTTCAGCTTTGCCATGGTGTCCCCCTCGGCGATCTCCACATGTAGCAGCGTTGCCAAGCGCAGAAGGTCTTGTCGAAGGACTGGCAATCCTCCTCTGGGACCTGGGACCAATCAGCTCGCGAGCTGCGGCTGTCAGCTTCCCTTCTTCTTTGAGACGCTTGGCCTCCTTTTGAGCTTCCTGAATTGCATCCGCTCGGATCTTGCTTGCTAAGCCCTTGGTTGCTCGAGCCGCCAGCATTCCAGTCAGTAGCGGATCTTCCATGAAAGCCAAATTGAAACCCATCCGGTTTCGAAGGAACACTGCATCCTTGAGGTTCTGCGCCGTGAAGGCTCCAACTTGTTGCGCCCTGGTCAAATGGCGCTTTGCCAGACTGCCATTGGCCACCATGCTCTCGGCCTGTTGACGCCATTGCATGGTGTCGCTGATCGCTGGGTATGGAACAGGCACCCAACGCAGCGATGGTCGCTGCAAAAGCCAAAGCAGCAGCCCTTGGACGTGCCATGCACTTCGCAGAAACAGGCGCCGCACCATCCGAAGCCATTTCACCAGCAGAAGAGGCTTTTCGGACTTCACGTCCATTGCGACTTGGAGAAATTGCGGAAGCCGATGTCGACATCACATCTCGAGCCAGTGTCGGCAAGGTCGGCCGTGCAGTGGTTGATTGACAAAATCCAGAATTTGCAAGATCTGCTGCGCAAACGCTAGACTCGGTCACAAGATGCTCATGTTCTTTGGGAAAACCTTGGGATGCATGTCCAAACTTCTGCTTCAACCAACCACCAAATGAAAGCTGCAATTCAACCACACCATCTTGACCAAACTTTCGCCATCTTTGGGAACCAGGCCTGATCCACGCTCGCGGAATGATTTCCAGCAGGAAGTGGCCCGCGGCAAGTTGCCTCAAAGGAATGTGGCCAGTTCTAAGGCGATCACAACGCAGAAGGCGTCGATTGAAGTTCAACACAGCTCTAATGCCGTCTAAATAATCACGGCCAAACAGCAAACCCAATGATGGCACATCCACAACTGAAGTCCAAAATACAAATAGTTGATCTCCTAAAACCATGGGCAATTTCCAACGTTCCAAACTTCTCTGAACCCCACCATTTCCAAAACGAAACAATTCATGCTCTTGCTGTCGTTTGACCAATGCCCTCACATCTGCTGGGGCTTTCTTCAACTCATTCAAAAATCCACTGAGCCATGTGGGACCAGCTACTGTCCTATTGCATGCAGAGTCCAACGCGCCTACCAACCTTTTGTCGCTTGCAAGCTCAATTTGTTGGGGCTTCTCAGGCACAGCGGTGGAAGTCTGCATAGACAGGGCTTCAGAAAGAGTTGAGGTCGGCAGACCCTTCACAGCAGAAACAGCACTGATCTCATGAGGCTCAGGTGGATCTTCCCCAAAGGTCTCAGCAGGCATCACGTACTCAATATTCATCGCTTCAGCTATCATGACATGTTTTCCAGGCTTCTTGTCTTTCTTTCCCAAACCAGCTCCAGGTTCCATGCACTCCTTGTCTCCGGCCCAGTGGCCAGGCAAATTACAATCAAAACACTTCGTGGAGGCTTTGGCACGGTTCACCTGGTTGCCATGAGGTTTGGATTGAGACATCGCACTTCCACTGCGACCATAACCACGGTCACGCTTCACTTCATTGATCTTTGTGCGCGCCTCACGCATTGAGACTAAGGCCTCAGCAGCGCTTTCCACTCCAGTTTCCAACTCTTCCAACAACTCTGGCTCAACCCCTTCGGCTTCAAGGGCTTCCAAGTCGGCAGCCAAGGTTGCTGCCTCAGATTGCAAGACTTCTTCCAAGCTCGGCTCTTCTTTCCCCGCATCATCAGGGATCAACTCAGCTTCGCCATCATCAGGCTCCTCTGTCAAGTCGGCTTCAGTCACATAGCTCTGACGAGTTTGAGGACCTTGAAGACCTAAAAGTGCTCCTAGAGGAAACAGAAGCTGAAGTGTGAAAAGGTGGATGCATGGAAGAACTTGTTGTTGAAGGTCAAGGTTGAAGGCCTCCCGGATGAAGAGCTCGAGGAAGAAAGAAACCTTTGCATCAATGACGGTTTGCCATCGCCGCCCCCAAAAGGTCTCCGTTGCAACGGCTGAGCACCTCGCGCTCCACAGCCTCGTACGAGTCTTGGCCGGCAAGCGCCGTCTCCAACAGTTGCTTTTTGATCCCATCTAATCTAATCCAAGCTTCTCCCTCAAGAACCATCCAAATTCTGCTGCTGGAAGTTGAATCCCCTCTGAACGAAGGTCAGCTGCTAGGGTTCGGAAACGAGTGCAAAACTCGCTGATGCGTTCGCCAGGCTTGCGCCGCAACTCATTGTAGAAAAGGTGGCGCAGCTCCCCTTTCTTATCCAAATCGGTCTTGCCGTTGATGGATTCAAGGGCGTCCAACAACTTGTTGAGTCCATGCACGGGATCGGTCTCCACAAGAACAATGGTCTCGCCAGTGTCGGGGTCGGTCGCCTTCTCAGCTCGCTTGCATTCCAGCTCTTGCGGAGTGAACTCTTCTCCACGTTGCCTCACCACGCCGCTCTGGCGAAGCAGCCAACAAGCTGCAAGGTTATATTTCATGGCCTGCTCCAGGTCCAAGCTTAGCACCCACCATGACATTTCGCGTTTGAATGACCGCCAGGTTGCCGGCGATCCATCCTATACTGGCACTTTGTACCATGAGCTAAGTCCCTTTGTCCTCTTCCATTGAGGTCTGCGGCAAAGGTCTCAAGGGCGTCCTTGTTGAACACCACATCCAAGTGACCTTACCTATCTATTCTATCTTAATAATCTACATGAAAGCAAAGCAGAGAAAAAAAACAGTTTCTCTTGAAACAAATTCCATTGCGGTCCTATCCTGTACAGTACTCTGACTGATGCAGGTTTCATGGAGTTCCCATGGAGTTCCCATGGAGTTTCCATGCAGTTTCCATGCAGGTTTCATGTTGGTTACATGCTGGGCCCGGCACCTCCACGTAGAGCAAAAGATGCAAAAAGAAAACGCACTGTCCAGCCAGGACGGGAGGGGGAGAGGATACCAGCACCGTGACCTGTCTGTGGTCAGGTAGGAGGTATCAAGGAGAGGGATAGGTCAGCGGGATGAGATGGGATGGTGAAAAGTGGGAGTTGAAACCGAACCGTCACCTGTCTGTGGTCAGGTAACGCTCACAAGAAATCCGAGATGAAGAAACTGTATACCACCCAGCCAGAAATGAAACAAAACGGTGCCCAAACTGACACTAGTTCCAGAGACTTAGTCTGTAGAATGCAGCTTGTTAAACACCAGGTGAAAAAGGTCCAGCCAGCGGTCACCAATCTGCCAGAGCCCAAAATTCCAGAAAGAAATAATTACCACCAGCCAAAGCAGCTAGTGGTTTCCCACCAAAATCCAGTCCAAAGCCCCTGCCAGAGCGATGTCAAAGATAATGAAATGAGATGCCAACCAGCTGATGCGGAGTTGCAAGAAAGGCCAAAATGCACAAAGAGCTCGACTCAGGCTCCGGTGCCACTGTGAACAAACGAAGCTGCCGCAATCGTCCGCTCAAGCTTTTGCCGCCGCCTGCATAGCGTAAGCCAAAATGGGTCCAGGCCTTTCGGGGATTTGGGCCATATGCCCACGTCAGGTGCACGGTAACATGCTTCCTCACTGTGCCTGGCAAGTCATGCAATTCTCAATTATTGTTTTACCCACATTATACAACATTGGAAAATGATGATCAAACAACCTAAGTCGGGCCCCCGTTTTTTTTGAGACAAACCCAAGCAGACCCAAAAAAACACGGCTGTCAAATAGATCGTGCGCAGCGAGCACGTGACCCAAATATGGACCCGTATGCAACCTTGGAACATATGCGAAAGTCATTGGGGATCATCATTCCAAACTTTCTATCGTGGAAAATCGCAAATATGAAGGTTTCCCAAGTCATAGGGATACCCCTAAATCATCCATTTATAGATTGATTTTCCATTGTAAACCATCCACTTGGTGTACCCCCATTTATGGACACCCCTATAACCACCAACCAGGCGTCCATCGGGTCCATCTCGGCTGGCCATTCGTTGGATCCGAAAGCGGCCACAGCACTGGGCCACCCGTCTAGGACGGATTTGCTGTAGCTGGAAAGCACTCAGCTGATGGCAAAGGTCGGCACAAAAATTGCCCAGAGGTTCCAGGCTAACTAACGCTACACTCCAATCAGCTCAGGAATATATAATCCCAGACAGCACATTATCATTTTTTGAATGCGCGGGTCTGTTGAGAACAGTTACCTGCGCAGGAAAAACAGGCTCCACAGCGGGCCGGGCTGGCCAGTCGTTGAGCGGTCTACTCTAGAGTCGGAGTCCGTCCTCGGGCCCGGAGTTCCCCCTGCAAATTTGACCCAATGTAGGCGGTAGTTCAACCAGTTATGGATGATAATCCCCGCACGTTGATGGGAAAGGAATTGCTTTCTTCAAGTCAACCCCACCAAATGACACTCTGACATGCTTATTTTGACAAATATTGTACCATCTTGTCTGACATACCTGCCAACATTCTAGCTGACGTAAATTCTGACATTTTATCATTCTCTGGCATTCTGCCTGGCATATCTTCTGACATTCTATCTGGCATTCTATCTGACATTATGTTGTTCATATGTTGTGACATATGTTGTGACAATTTGTTTGACATATGTTGTGACATTTTAGCTGACATATATTCCAACATTTATCTGAGATTCTATCTGGCATTCTATCTGACACTTATGCCATCTGACAATCTATCTGGCATCCTATCCAAGATTTCCACTGCCATTCTATTTGACATGTCATGTGGCATTCAGTCTGACATGTTGTTTGACATATATTATATATTCAGATATTTGATCTGACCATCTGCCTGGCATTTCTTTTGACATTCCGTCTCCATTTTAACTCAGCATTCTATCTGTCTTTTGTCTGACATATATTTTGGCAATGTTTCTGCAGCTCATCTGGCAATCTCTCTGACATGGTGGCTGCCATGCTATCTGACACATTTGACTTGCATTTTGACATTCCTTCTGGCATTTCATTTTGGCAATCTGTCTGCCATTTTACGTCGGCATCGTGTTCGGGTCCGAGCGCGGACGCGGCATGTCTTTTTCAATATCTGGAGATCCTCACCTGGGAGGCAGGGAACAAGGGTAACTTGATCCATTCCCACCCGTCTTGACAAGGCAAGAATGATCGTAAACCTTCATCCCAAGATTCTGTTACTTGCAGTCGGGGCATCGCGCCGTGAATCCATGAGCACCGCATTGGTCACGGGCTCCCCGCACGTTGGGTCATCAACGACCTGGAGATATGGTCTTAGGTCCGGTGATCACGTTGCCCAGGGACAGAGCACCCTCTGCTAATCGTTTAGATTACTCTGGAATAGGTGGCGCAATTCGATGATTTCGCGTTTTTAACTTGAAATAAACCACGGTGGTTTTCCATAACTGGAGGGTACAAAGAAGTTTGCTCTCGCGCCCGAATGGGCAAATGTCCACACATCCATCTACCAATGCATCCATGCATTTCAATGCCTTCTCGCTGAGTATCCATGTCTCTGGATGGGATGTAGGGATGTAGCTCACTTATTGTTGACTCTTGACTTTTCTTTGGCAGATGGATGGATGGGCACTTAGGAGTTTAACAGCATGTTTGCATCCACCCTTGATCATTTGTCAACTACTTTGATTTTCTTTGGGAATAGATAGAAAAGAGAAGATAGATAAGATAAGATAAGAGAAGAGAAGATAAGATGTAAGACAGAATAAGATAAATGAGAAAAGAAAGAAAGAAAGAAAGAAAGGAAGAAAGGAAGGAAGAAAGAAAGATAGATAGATAGGCAGATAGATAGATGGACAGATAGATAGATAGACAGAGAGATAGATAGACAGATAGATAGATTAGGAAGGTAGGTAGGTAGATAGATCGATAAATAGATAGATACAGGAGAGATAGGATAGATAGGACAGATAGGAGAGATAGAATGGATAGGATACATAAGATAGATAAGATAGAAAAGGAAGATAGGATAGATAAGATAGATAAGATAAGAAAGACATAAAACAAAGATAAGGTAGATAAGAAAGATAAGATAGAGAAGATAGGTAAGATAGATAAGATACGGTAAGATACGATAAGATACGATAAGATACGATAAGATACGACAAGAAACGGTAAGAAACTATAAGACAAAAAAGAAAATAAGAAAAATAATATAATAAAAACTCAAAATAAGATAAGATAGATAGATAGGTAGGTAGGTAGATAGATAGATAGCAAGGATAGATAGGATACATAGGATAGATAGGGCAGATAGGATAGATAGGATAGGTAGGATAGACAGGATAGATAGGGTAGATAGGATAGAAAGGATAGATAGGATAGATAAGATAGATAGGGCAGAAAGGATAGTTACGATAAATCGATTAGATCGATTAGATAGATTAGATAGATTAGATAGATTAGATAGGTCACGTAGTAGGTTAGATGGTAGGTTAGATAGTAGGTTAGATAGTGGGTTAGATAACAGGTTAGATAATAGGTCAGATAGATTAGATCGACTAGATCGATTAGATTGGTTAGAAAGGTTACATAGTAGGATAGATGGAAGGTTAGATAGTAGGTTAGAGAGCAGGCTAGATAATAGGTTAGATAGATTAGATCGGTTAGATCGATTAGATCGATTAGAAAGATTAGATAGGTTAGATAGATTAAATAGATTAGATAGGTTAGATTTAGATCAGTTTTGATGGATTAGATAGATTAGATAGATTAATTAGGTAGAATAGAGGGATTAGATAGAATAGATAGATTAGATAGATTAGATATATCAGACAGAAAAAAGAGATTACATAGATTAGAAAGATTAAATAGATTAAATACATTAAACAGACAAATTAAACAGAGAGATTAAATGGATAGATTAATGAGGCAGGTCTAATAGATAGATTAAGTAGGTAGGGCAGTTAGAAATATTCGTTAGATAGACTAATTAGATGGATTAAACAGATAGATTAAATAGGTAGGTTAGATTGATTGATTGGTTAAGTGGTAGATAGATAGAAAGAAAGAAAGATAGATAGATAGGTAGATAGGTAGATAGATAGATAGAAAGATAGATAGATAGGTAGATAGATAGATAGGTAGATAGATAGGTAGATAGATAGGTAGATAGATAGATGGATAGGTAGACAGATAGATAGACAGATAGACAGATAGACAGGCAGGAAAAAAGATAGATACATAGATAGATAAATAGACAGACAGACAGACAGATAGATAGATAGATAGATAAAATAGATAAAATAGATAAAATGGATACGATAGAAAAGGTAGGTAAGATAGATAAGATAGATAAGGTAGAGAAGATAGAAAAGATAGAAAAGATAGAAAAGATAGATAGCGTAGATAAGATAGAAAAGATAGATAGCGTAGATAAGATAGAAAAGATAGATAAGGTAGGTAAGGTAGGTAAGATAGGTAAGACACGATAAAACAAAAAAAGCTTAAACGACTAACAAAAGATAAGATAGATAAATAAATGGATGGCTAGATAGATAGATAGATAGATAGATAGGTAGATAGATAGATAGACAGACAGACAGACAGATAGATAGATAGATAGCTAGGTAGATAGATAGATATATAGATAGATAGGTAGGTAGATAGGTAGATAGATAGGTAGATAGACAGATAGGTAGGTGGATGGATTGATAGGATAGATAGGATAGATAGGATAGGTAGGATAGATAGGATGGATAGCATAAGTAGGATAGATAGCATAAGTAGGATAGATACGACAGATAGGATAGATAGGATAGGAGAGACCCCGCCATTCCCACAGGGGGGGCAGGGAACCATGACTATGACGGGGGGGTGGGGGTTGAAGGCCTGTACCATATATACATATGCATCCACAGATTTAATTATGTGTGTGCATGAAAGGTACATAGATAAGAATATGCATTCTTTATATGCGTGTGTTTGCGATAAGCAACACGGCTGCCTGGCATTTTTCGGTTGGCGGTGGGCCTCCTCTTTCTCCCCTTTCTCCTCTTTCTCTACTTTCTCGGCATTATCCTCTTTCTCCTCTTTCTCCGCGTTCTCCTCTTTCTCCTCTTTCTCCACTGCCTCCACTTTCGCCACTTGCTCCAAAGTTTCACCACAGGCTGAACAGGCACATTCGCGCGAACCTGACAGGTAGCGGGAGGATTCAGCCAGCCTCCCACACCAAAATATGATAAATATGGGGATATGATAAAACCGACCACCTACAGATATAAAAGCAAATGACATGGATTGATGACAGAAAACTGGACGACAGTATGGCCCAAAGAAAGCAGAAGGGAGGAGACAAGCAGAAAGCACGAAAGAAAATATGATCATGATTGATGAATGGTCATAATAGGAGGATGATGATGATGGTGGTGGTGGTGGTGACGATTATTACTATTGTTGTTTCTTATTAAGAAGGAATGGTGAAGGAATGGTGAAGGAGTGGCGGAGGATTGATGAATGAATGATGAATGAGTGATGAATTCATCACTCATTGGGTGATGAAGGAGTCTTGAATGAATGGTGAAGGAGGACGAGCGAGTGATGACTGAGTGATGAATCAGTGACAGATGAGTGATGCATTAGTATGAGTGACGAATAAGCGATGAATGAGTGATATATAAAATGGTGAATGATGTATGATGACTGATGTAGATGAAATATCACACATCCACTCCTTGATACATTTTACATTTTACACATAGATTGATTTACACAGGAAAGCTTTTACGCACAGAAGCTTTTACACACAGAAACTTGCACACACACAAGAAGAAAAACCAATTTACACACAGAGCTTTTGCACAGAGCAGCTTTTCCACGGAGAAGCCGTTACGCAGAGCAGATTTTACAGAGAGCAGTTTTTACATTTACACTGTACACACAGAAGCTTTCAAACCGAAAAAACTTCGCACGGAGCAGCTCTTACACAGAGAAACCTTTAAAAAGAAACGCCTTTACACTCAGAAGTTTTGACACAGAGAAGTCGTTCAACAGAGAAGCTTCACACAAAGAGGCTTTTGCCCAGACAAACTTTTACGCACTCACGCCTTTGCACACAGCAGCTTTAACACAGAGAAGCCGTTACACAGAGCAGCCTTTACACACAGACGTTTTGCACACAGAAGTTTTTACATCTCATTGAAACATTTACACACAGATCCTATTACGCACAGAATCTTTTGCACAGAGAAGCCCTTACACAGGGCAGCTTTTGCACGCAAACGCTTTTACACACAAATGCTCTTGCACAAAGGCGCTTTGACAGACCCGCTTTCACACACAGAAGGTTTTACGTGCAGCAGCTTTTACACAGAACCCTTTGCGCAGACCAGCCTTTACGCAAAGCACTTTTACGCACAAAAGCTTCTACACAGAGAAGCATTTATACACAGAAGCTTCTAGACACAGGAGTTTTTACACAGAGAAGCTTTTCCACAGAAACTGTTCCACAGAGCAGCTTTTTACAAAGAAACTTTTATACACAAAAGCTTGTTACACACAGGAGCCGTCAGAGCGAAAAAACATTACACACAGACACCTTTACACAGAGAGAAAGAGGTTTTTTCCACAAAGAAGCCGTTACAACCCGCAGCTTTTCCGCACAGAACCTTTTATATACACAGAGATACCGTTGCATAGGGAAGCTGTTACACAAAGCAGCCTTTACACACTTTACAAAGTTTTTTTTGCACAAAGAAGCTTTTCACACAAAAGCTTTTACACACAAAGATTTTACACAGAGAAGCTCTTACACAGAGAAGCTCTTACACAGAGAAGCCGTTACACGGAGCAGTTTTTCCACAAAGAGCCTATCCATTATCAGGGGATCTGCGCGGCTCCCCCAAACCCTCTCACGCCAAACTAATTCCATCCTGCCCGGCCCCATCAAAACAAAAAACCTATGCTAGAAACGAACAGCACAACAGGCAAAAGCGATCAACTACATAGTACCCCTACGAACTGCAACACTTACGACATACGACCTACGACCCACTCCCTGCTACCACCACTGCTACCAGCCAACCGTTGCCAAAAACGCCGGCCAGAACCGTTGCAAAAAATACCGGGGAACTGTTGCAAAAAAAATTCAAGGTTGCAAAAAAACACCTCGGAACCACTGCAAGAAAAAACACCACTGTTGCCAAAAAAATTTGGTAACTGTTGCAAAAAAACACCGGTAGGAGCTGGGGAAAAACCCTGCCTGACACTAAAATGGTTACTGTTGCAAACAACACCAGTGCTGGAAAAACATTGGTGCTGATGGTCCCTTCTCCCCATCTCTTCCCCTCCTGCCACGCCCGGCACATTGAGCCACATCATCTCAGCGCCGCCTGAAAAGTGGCAGGCCCCTCCCCAACATCCCCATTGCCACACATGCAGAGGATGGTGCGCTGTGGAAACTAACCGTTCAACCAAGGCGAACAACTATGCAAAATTTACAGCCCATTATGTCAACTTCTTCCAGCAAGTACCTAGGTGTTACATTACACCACCGTAGACCCCAAACAGTGGGTGGATTCAAGAAGTGTTCTGAGGAACAGGGTCAAACACATGAAATAGCAGCGACAGGAATCGTGAAAATGTTTGCAATAAGTGCCGGAGACCACTTCACATTTAGTTTTTTCGGCTTCGCTCGCTTTATCGCAACGCTAGATGACGAAAAACGATGAAGGAAACATCCGACGGAGGTGCAAGAGTATTTGGATCCAAACACTCGAATCAAGCAGCATAGGAGTGTCAAATTGGATGTAATGAAAACATCGGAGGATGAAAGTGAAAGATGATATCATTCTCAACACCCGAGCCCACAGCCTCCAAGCGGGCGAGCAACTTCACGCTAGAAGTGTGCATTCAATATTTCCAAAGCATCAACTAAAATGCAAAATGGCATCACTTGCCACAGAGGGAAACAAAAAAAGACACAAGCCGGGCGACAAGCGGGGAAATCAGGGACACAAGGCCTTGGGAACAAGGACACGCCATCCAAAAAAGGAAAACAAGAAGGAAGACAAGCTTTGCGACAGGAGGGACAAGGCAGACAAAGCGTTGGGAATGCGGACACACCATCCATCCAACAAAGGGAAACAAGAAGTGAGAGAAGCTGGGAGACAAGCGGGGAGACAAGCTGAGAAACAAGCTGTGAGACAAGCTGGGAAACAAAGGGGACAAGGCCTCGGAAAAAATACACCATCCAACAAAAGGAATCAAAAAGAGACACGATGGGAGACAACGGGGAAGGCGGACACACCATCCAACAAAGGGACAAAGGAGGAAGACAAGGTGGAAGACAGGATGGGAGACAAGCTGGGAGACAAGATCTGGCAGACATGCTGTCGATCAAGGGAGACAAGGCCTTGGGATGGATGGGAGACAAGGCCTTGCCAAGGCGAACACACCATCCAACAAAGGCACACATATAGAGGTGGTAAAATGGGAGATAAGCTGGGAGACAAGGGAGACAAGGCGGACACACCAGCCAACAAGAAGGAAGACAAGCCGAGAGACAATGGGAGGCAAGCTAGGAAACAAGCCGGCAGACAAGCTGGGTGACAAGCTGGGAGACAACACAAGCACGTCAATCACATCAACACACATTTCCGGCACAAACAGTTCCAGCACACGCACCTCAAGCCTGACCAGAACAACTACCAGCGCAACGCCATGCTCTACCTCAAGCATATCAGTCACCAGCACAAGCACAAGTACCTCCAGCACACCTCTGACAAGCGCCAGCTTCTCCAGCAGTTTTGCACTCAAGAAGCAGGACTTCAATGTTCAGCGCTTCAACAAGCAGCACAGGCACGTCAAGTACATCAACAACAAGCAGTTCCAGCAAAAAACAGTTCCAGCACAAGCACTTCAAGCCTGACCAGAACAAATACCAGCACAACGGCATGCCCTACCTCAAGTACACCAGTCAACAGCACCAGCACAGGTACCTCCAACATATCCTTGACCAGAACCACCACTTCCAGCACTTCCACAACCAGCACCTTCACAAGCCGGCACAAGTACATCAATAAGCACATCAACAAGCATTTCTAGCACGAGCATGTGAAGCCTGACCAGAACAACTACCAGCGCAACGGCATGCTCTACCTCAAGCCAGCACAAGCACAAGTACCTCCAGCACATCTCCCCCCAGCGCCAGCTTCTCCAGCAATTCTGCAACCAGCACCTCAAGAAGCAGCACGTCTATGTTCAGCGCTTCAACAAGCAGCACAGGCACGTCAAGTACATCAACAACAAGCAGTTCCAGCACAACCAAAATAACGGCATGCTCTACCTCAAGTACAGTCAACAGCACCAGCACAGGTACCATCAGCATATCCTTGACCAGCACCAGCACTACATCAATTGGCACATCAACAAGCATTTCCAGCGCAAGCATTTGAAGCCTGAACAGAACAACTACCAGCGCAAAGGCATACTCTACCTCAAGCATATCAGCCACCAGCGCAAACACAAGTGCCTCCAGCACATCTCTGGCCAGCACCAGCTTCTCCAGCAATTTTCCAACCAGCACCTCAAGAAGCAGCACTTCAATGTCCAGCACTTAACAAGCAACACAATCACGTCAATCGCCTATACAAGCATTTCCGGCAGAAGCACTTCCAGCACTTCCGCCAGTGGTACCTTCAACAAGCAAATCAACAAGGAGTTCCAGCACAAGCACTTCAAGCCTGACCAGAACAACCACCAGCACAACGGCATGCTCTACCTTCAGCATATCAGCCAACAGCACTCGCACAAGTACTTCCAGCACATCTCCCCCCAGCGCCACCTTCTCCAGCAATTCTGCATCCAGCACCTCAAGAAGCAGCACTTCAATGTCCAGCACTTCAACATGCAACACCGGCACGTCAATCACATCAACACATATTTCCGGCACGAGCACTTCCAGCAATTCCGCCAGTAGCACCTTCAACAAGCAAATCAACAAGGAGTTCCAGCACAAGCACTTCAAGCCTGACCAGAACAACTACCAGCACAACGGCATGCTCTGCTCTACCTTAAGCATATCAGCCAACAGCACTAGCACAAGTACTTCCAGCACATCTCCGACCAGAGAAAGCAAGAACACTGACAGACATGGGCATTAAAGTACGCAACACTGGCAACACTACCAATCCACAGCACAACATCAACTAACCTACAACACGCAACACCACTCCTAGCAGCGCAGGCGATACCACTCCAGCAAGCACAATCACCGACTTACAGGACAGCATTCCCGACTTACCGGGCACAAACACCATCCGTCCTTTCACCACAACAGCACCGAACACAACCACGGCAAAGACAGTTCATGCTTGGATCAAAACAGGCAGTTCCCAAGCAACACCAAGGAGCACTTCATGATGCCTTAAGCACACTCCAGCAACTTTTGAAAAAAGTCCCGAAAGCAGAGCACAGCAATTTCGCAGACAAGCAGCATCATTGGGTGGGACTTGGCTTGCTGGTGGCAATGGCGACAAAAGCGCGCAATGAGGAGCTCCGCAAGATGCTCTTGTATGCGGTCACGCAGCTTGAATGACTAGCCCGCGATGATCCGAATCATGTACAACATTCCGAGTTCCCAAGCAACACCAAGCAGCACTTCATGATGCCTTCAGCACACAAGCAGTATCACTTGGCTTGTCGGTGGCGATGGCGGCAAAAGCAGACAATGAGGAGCTCCACAAGCTGCTGCTGTCCGCGGTCACGCATCTAAGATGCTTAGACACACGCACTGGCAGGCGCTCGTTCCAGGTTCAACTGACAGAGTAGTCAAGTTGTATGCTGTACCTTGTTCTACTGTAACCCTCGTGTTTTGGAGCCATTCGGCATGAGACCAGCAATGACGCAGGGTGATTTTGCCATGAATGTTTGAATTTGGAACAAATCATTTGAGGACGGTCTAGTCCTTAAACAACCACATTGAGGACAGTCTTGTTTGTTCGCAAAATCGTGCCCCAGCGGCTTGCTGTGTGTGAAAAACTATGAATCAAAGGGTAAAAGCAGGGCGCCATCCCTCTCATAATTGGTGTATGGCCAACGAAGAGGCCAATGATGAGAGCTGTAAACGTACCTGCGAATTTCTAACTTAGGACATGGCCAGGTGGCTAAGCCATAAACCACATTAAACCAACCATGCCAACATGACATGATAACACAACATAACATAACATAACATAACATAACGTGATTTCATTTCATCTCATTTCATCCTCGCCTTTCGGGTTGTATCCAAGTGTGTGACTATGTTGGGTGTGACAGAGCGGAGACGGCGGATGGAGGAGGAGGCGGGTGGGCGCAGGAAAACAAGAACGCCTCACCCAAACAATGATGTGGGGAAAAGCTTCAGGATGCCCCAAGCCCGTCAAAAATCATCTTTACCTAGCAGAGAAACCCACGCAGTCCTTCCCCACCTCCCAGCCCAGCAGGCTGCACGCGCTGCGGGCGACGCAGCAGGCGTATTACCTCAGCCAAACCATGGTGGAGAGGTAACGCTAAGAATGATGGCGGTATGGGCAAAACAGGACTTGGTACAACTTCGAACTGGTCGCTACATACAGCAGAAATGCACGGTACATATTTGACCTGTGGCACCTGTGGTGATCCTCTGACGAAAAGCCATCAGCGAGAAAGAGGGGTAAAGAGAGAGGCCATGGGGAAACATCTTTGGCCATGGGGAAGCATCCTCTGAAACATCGAGAAGTTGGATCGGGTATCGGCCAAACATGAAACCCATTGAAGTCGTATGGGGGTGAACTTTACCTGTTTGTCTGTTGTTTTGTGAATTTTCTGTTGTACACACTTGCTGCGGGGTGAAATCCATTGCGGTGATCACGGAGAAAATCTTTGTGCTGACAAAGCACATGTGCAAAAGCCCCGGCTGAGCGAGGAACAGCCTCGCCCTGGCAAGATTCCAAGCCCGTGGCCGTCTGCTTGGGGGGCTTGGGAGGTGCCCGTCCCTTATCAAAATCAATTCCAGCTAGCTACCACTAGCTTTTGTGATTACAAATCCCCATTAATGGGTTTATACCAATACCTGACTTCACTTGAATGCCTTGGAAAAATAAATTCCAAGCCTTCGCCGTATGTTTTTGATCCTCATCACTCGGTGCTTCGTATGGCACGAGAACACTCCCTCTCTTGCAGGGTGAGACCTCGCGGCTGGGAGTGTTGCAGAGCTGCCCCCACAAAAGCCATCAAAGCTTCAATAGTCCGATTTGAAGAAAGGAAGTCCAAAAACTTGGATACAGAGTTGGAAGTTCTTGAAAAATCAACACAACAAATGGCAACAAAGTTTGATGTCCCACCCTAAAATTCATCACAGCTATGGAAGATAACCCCTTTTGAATCGGAAATTTCCTCGAGAAACTCCAAGTTACAGATGTTTTGCTTGGCGTGCAGGGAGAGGAGTAGAATAAAGTAGCGTAGCATAGCGTAGAGTAGAATAGTCACTGATGGTTGAAATATACTTCTTGATGCTTCTTGTCATGAAGTCCCTTTTTTGTTTGAACGTTTAAAACGACAAACCCGCACCCTGCCAGTACTGGCCGTTTTCGATGTTGTCGGGACATCATCGCTGCGCTGGGACAAAAGTTCCGTGCGAAGCAGTTGGATGGTGTCGATGATCCGGGAGACATCACCGGGATGCCTGGGTCCCACGATGAACTTCAGCAGATTGGCTTATGGAGAAATGATCCCAAATTCTGACTTCGGGAATTCTATGGGATAATCATCTACAAATGCTGATTCGAAGCCATGTCTTTGAAAACATGCTCTGCCATAAACTCCACATGGATCACGTTTTATCACGCCTTAAGAGATGAATCTTTTTTGATCACTTGGATGGCACTCCAATTAGCGATTCCACATGGCTAACACAAGTTCTAGTGGTGCGATTCCAAAAAATTGGGATCCCCTCCAGTAAGCCAACAATGGCAGCTATGAGAATCCGTGGTTCTTTCTTTGGAAAGAACGACTACAAGTGGCGGACCAATACCATGTCTAGTCTTCTTTTACCGGAGGGCATAACCCTCAGAAGTGGGAATGTTGTGGAATGTTGGAATCTTCACCAGAGGTACTCCATGCCCTACAAAAACCCGACATCTGCCAGTCACATTTGGTCCAGCACTTCCTTTGCACTGGCAACTTCAAGGTCAAGAAGTCCCGCAGACACCTGGTGCCGTGGCTACTTGCGGCTACTTCACCTTGGTTTTTATGGCTTTCTACATGCTGGGGGAATTTTCCCTGTTGAAACTCCCATGGTTGATCCCAGTTTCGGTGGCACTTTTTTGGATGTTTCCAACCAGCTCTTGAAATTGACCCCATGGTTGTTTCTTGCAAACGTGGGGGCCAAAACTGCGACCCTCGCGTTTTTTCAATTTCACGGTTTAGAAGTTGATTGCTGGAACGGGGCTGTCTTAAAATTGGGAACCCTCCCATCCTATGGTTGAAACTCCCATCCCAGGGTTGAAACTCAATACCCACTTGTCTCTTCATGACCATGTATAGGGGTAAATCCTTTCTTCACACAAGACCATGGATATTGCTTCCAATTTTTCATGGTTGCCTCCCCATTTCATGGTGACATTCGACAATTCTTCACCAATTCTTGGCGCTGTTTCCGAAAGTCCACATGTTTCATTGTTATTTCTGGTTTAATCCCAATAAAAGGCGCTTTCCTAAGTACTAGGGGTACCCCCAGTCATCCATTTTAGTAAGATTTTCCATGAAATAAACCATCCAGCTATATTCGGGTACCCCCAGGAAACCCCCAATTCTCAGGGACACAAAGCCTCCTGCCCCACCTTCTTGATGAGCTCAGCAATCTCCATGCTGCTCTGCCGACGGCCCAAGTTCAAGATGGTGAAATCCTCCCAAAATCAGGAATCAAAAAGCAGCAGCCAGCTGCGAATACCTTCTGGTAAACTAGCAGTTTGCTATGGAAAATCACAATATGTTTAATAGGTAAATCAACTATAAATGGCAATTTTCAATAGCTATGTTAGTCACTCTGTTAGTCATTACCAGAGGGTAGAAGTGTCCACTTGGCTAGGGTCGCAGCCGTTTTCAATCTTTTTCATATGGCAGCGGTTCAGGCGACCCAAAATGGAGTGTCATTGGATGAAACCTTGGAGTATGAATAATAGTGTGGTTTCGACATATAACTTGTATATGGGGGTTTGAAATAATGCGGGTACACCAATAGCTGGATGGTTTATTTCATGGAAAATCCGAGAATAAAATGGATTTTTGAGGCGTACCACCATTTCAGGAAACCTCCATATATTGTAATTATTAGAGAATCATTACAATCTTCAGACCTATTTGCATGCAAAACTCTCCTGGGAAGCCCCTAAAAGTGTTGAGAACATCTACTGCCAAAAGCTCCTGACCAGGTAATACCAGGACCTCAAAAAGATTTTTACAAGATCGTCCTGAAAGCACCTTGTATAGGATCTTACAAGATCTTTTGCAAGAACCTCCTAAGAGCATGTCGCAAAAGCTTTCATTCAAGGACCTCTTAGAGGGTTTCGCCAGCTGGCTGCTTACAAAACTTATGCCAGGATCTCTTATCACAGACCTCTACATAAGATCTTCACACCAAGACCTCTGAGACAATTTGACAAGCTCGTCAAAGAAGGACTGTCTAGAGGATCTTACCAAGATCTTCGTACAAGAACCTCCAGCATCCCGCAAGAGCTTTCATACAAGCACCCCTCATAGGGGGCATCAAGATCTTCAGGAAGGAGCTCCAAGAGCACTGCGCTGCAACGAGAAACGAGAACCATCCAAGGCGCACCAGCAGTGACGAGAGGGCTGCACCAGCCACAACGAGACTCAAAAACCAGACGTCCGAAGCAACATTGGACGTCACAGTTCCACTATACGATTTACAACTTTCACCATCTTTTGTAGAAAGTATTGCGCCTGCCGCGAAAAATTGAAGCTGAGGCATGCGCAGTCTTGCACCTACCACCCAAAATGATCTCGACATTACATGGGCATTTCGAGCCTTGCAAGACATCGTCCACATTCACCATGTATATCGCCTGCAAAAAAATTGCCTCTGGCAGCACCTCTCATTTCGACCCGCGTGTTTTGTAACATGCACGAAGTATTGCGCCTGCCACGGAAATGCAAAAATGTCTGATGTCCTGTACCTGCCACGAAATAAAGAAGAACTTCTGACTCTCCAAAAATGCCGAATCTCTTGCCCCCAACAAAACATA